TGAACCAACAAAAAAATGTTGACTTTGGTGAAGTTCATAACGATTTAATAGAAAAAAAATTACTTTTTCAATTTTAATTTAAAAAATTTTTTTACTTTTAAATATTTTAACTTTGGTGTGAAGTTCATAAATGACGTTTATAATTAACGATTTAATAGAGAAAATATATTGCTATTCAAATTTTTGGCTAAGAACTTTTTCGTAACAATATTTCTTTATCAATAATTCAAAAAAGAAAAATTTGTTTATATTTTAATTATTTTATTAATTATTATTTTTATTATTATTATTATTATTATTATTATTATTTTTATTATTATTATTATTATTACTATTATTTTTATTATTATAATTATTGCCCTTATTGTTAAGAATGATATATATAAAAAATAATATGCTGATTATGAGCACATTAAAATTCGAGTTGCACTGACGTATACAAAACAATGTCCTGGAGATGAAGTACCTATTGTTTCTCGCATGGACCGACACACAGTCTCAAGTGATAAGCAAACAAAGTCGTATAAGGTCTATCGCAAGTATATTATATATGTATATATATGCGTGTGTACAAAATAGAAAGCAGTTTATCATCTCTCTACCCTTTTACTTTTTAATTATTTTCAAATGTTTCTTTGTATATTAAACATTAAAAAATGCCTCAGTAGCTTCATTTAATTTTCGATCAATTTTAAACGTTCAAATGAACGGAAAATTTTTTTCTGCTAAAGTATTTTTAAAATGTAAAATAATAATAATATTAATAATAATTATTATTATTATTATTAACTCAAAATTTTTCGAAGCCATAAAATTATTTAAATAAAAGATGTTTTGATTCTTCTCTTTGGCCATCAGGCCAAACAGAAGAATCAAAACATCTTTTATTTAAATAATAATTACTATTATTATTATTAATAATAAAAAAATAGGAAAAATAAATAGGAAATAAAATAGGAAATTTCCTTAGGAGAAAAATTGCAGTAACTTTACACTTGATGAAAATGAATTTAAATTTATGTCTGAAATTTCATAATAAACTTGTTTTATAAAATCGCGTAAAACTAGTCATTTTAATTATATATATAGTCTATAAATAAAAAAAGAAATTTGACAAATAATGTCTTTTAGATTAATTCTGATCTTATTGGGCAGGAAAATATATATTTTATTTTTCCCATCACATTGGAGGCGTGACATTGAAAGTATAATTCGCAACAGATCGATATAGGGGCAATTTGAAAATAAGACCCCCTTCAAACAGAAATATATACAGTGCACATTCACAACAACTGCACGTGTATTTCAGTTCGATATATTAAAGCGGGAGTTATATTAGTACAGTCACCAAATGTACAATCTTTGACGGGATTAGCTCCAATGCATTAGTCAGAAAACTCGATTCTTCGACAAAAATGGGAATTACGACTTGCAGGTGACCATTATTACAACATCGTAATTTTATTTTATTAAGGAAGGAGAGAAAAAACTTTTTTTTTCTATATAAGAAAATTCTTTATATTTTTTTTAGTAGGTATGTATATAAGATAATTGCGATTGTCTAGAAGAAAAAATCTCTTTTAATTTAAATTCAGGGGAAAAAAATTGTTTAGTGAAAATTAACATCAAAATGAAAAATGTATTTTACAACAGTAAAGTTTTACTATTATTTACTAATAATTACTATTATTTAGTAATACAATTACTATTTTGTTTAGTAGCTTCGTAAATATTTTTCTAAGTTTTATGTTTCTAAAAGTTCCTATTTTCTATTTTATGTTCCTACTTAGACGCTAAGCGTCGAATAGTTCGAGAGCTATTGTTTGCAATTTTTAGAGATGAAAATTTTAGTAATTTCGCTTCTTTCTTTTACTTTGTGAGTAAAAAAAACGTGCAGTGGACTTTTTTAACCAAAGATCTTTGGAACAATTGTTTCGATTTGGCAAAAATAAAATTGTTTTCGTCGCACAGCGTCGTCGCTAACTTCCAAGGCCTCTAAGTTTTAGTAAATAATTACTAAAAATTGAAGAATAAATTTTTACTAATTCAAATTAGCGTATTTTAAACTTTTTACATTAGGTTTTTTTTAAATTAAACTTTAAACTCGATTTTCTCTAATTAAATTTTAATTTCGAGTGTTTAATAATTAAATTTCAAATCAGAGCTTTTAAATCAAATTTTAAATTAGAATTTTGAACTTAAATTTTATATTGGAGCTTTTAAATTAAATTTTTAATTTGAATTTTTAAATTAAATTTTTTATTAGAATTTTGAACTTAAATTTTAAATTGGAGCTTTTGAATTAAATTTTTAATTCGAATTTTGAACTTAAATTCAAAATTAGAGCTTTTAAATTAAATTTTTAATTCGAATTTTCCAATTAAATTTTAAATTAGAATTTTGAACTTAAATTTTAAATTGGAGCCCTTAAATTAAATTTTTAATTGGAATTTTCAAATTAAATTTTAAATTAAAATTTACAAGAATTCATTTTTAAGACAGAATTTTTAAATTAAATGTTGAATTATAGATTTCTTAAATTAGTGCTTTTAAATTAAATTTTAAACTAGGTAGAATTTTCAAATTAAATTTTAAGTTAGTGTTTTCAAATTAAATTTTAAATTAGTATTTTCAAATTAAATTTTGAATTAGATTTTTTAAATTAAATTTTAAATTAATGTTTTTAAATTAAATTTCAAATGGCATAGAATTTCTAAATTAAATTTTGAATTAGAATTTTTTAATTAAATTTTAAATTAGGTTCAAAGAGTTTTTTTCAAATCTATTTAACTTGTCAAAAAAAAACTTAAGATTATATTTTATATTAGTTATAAGCAATTTTATAAAAAAAAACAATATCAAAAAATTTCTTTTTTGCCCAGAAAAGTGCAAAGAAATTGATGTTCTTAAAATTCTGAACGTTCAAATAAACAAAATTTACTTATTTCTAATTCGAAACTAAATTTTTACTCAAATAATTTTTGCGTATAAAAAAATAAATTATAAAGCTCCTAAATATCAAATTTAAGTTTTTAATTTTTATTGCAATCAGTAATTTATGAAAATATTTTCATTAAAAATATTTCGATCATTTAAACGTTAAAAACTTGTGAATAATAAAAATTAAAACATGAGTTAAAAGAGCTTGAATTTAATAATACCTACTTATAATAATTTTTTTTTGATAAACCCGTATGAGTTTAAAATAAATAAATAAATAAATAATAGTAATAATAATAATAATAATAATAATAATAATAATAATAATAATAATAATAATAAGAAAAATAATAATAATTTATGTGGCAGTGCCATCAAATATTTAAAGAAAGGAATTTTTTTTTAAACCTGACTTAATATATAAATAATTTTTTTTCATCTTTAATGATAAATAGTAATAATAATTATGATAATAATTATAATAATAATAATATTAATAATAATTATTATAATAATTATAACAATAGAAATAAGTTAAAACAATAATAATAAAACCCGAGTTTAGAAGCAATATCCTCACATTCGAAAAAACTAAATTGCACTTCTTTAAAACATAAACATCATCTTGATATAACTAATTTGACTGAGTGTGCATTGTATATTTTAATTACTCGAGTTCAAGGAACTATTTTCTTGTAAATACTAAGAAAATCTTGATTCAACTTTTAATAGAATTGACCAAGTTTCTTGCTTAAAATTTTGGCGCAGAAAGATGAAGAAGAAAAAAAATAAAGAAGCATTGTTTCGAAATAGTCAACTCTACATTAAAATATTAAAGATTTAAAATAAAAAATTAAATTTTCAGAAATGAATAAAATGAGTGTGAAATATTATCAAGTAGAATAATAATTATTATTATTATTATTATTTTTTTTTTTTGCAAACCGCGAGTATAATGTCATCCCTTATTCTTAACGCATATACTCTATTTTACTATCAACAGGAAGATCCATTCGCACTTGAGCGATTGTGACATCGAGTCATTAGCATAGTTATCCGGAAGCTGATAATTATTATTTAACGCAAACCGTTACACTTTTTACAACAGCTGCACATGGTTGTTATATGAAATCTGTACAGGATTCAAATGTGCATACCAAACAAATGCGCGTTATACTATTTCACTGAAAATAGATCGAATTTATTTTTGTAATCACGAAAAAGAAATTTAGTCCAAAAATAGAAAAAGTTAGACTAACTTTACTTGTCATTGAAACTATCAAAGAAAAATATTCCTTTGAGGCTGAATTTAAAATTAATCAAAAAAGGGAAAATTATACCAACTTTTGCTATTTTTGCAAATATTTTACAGAAATTTTCTTCGAACTTAGTAATTTTTACTATAACTTATTTATTTTTAAAGCAAAAATGTTTCTTTTTGAAGTAAATTTTACGAAAATGTACTTTGAACGGAGAAATTTTTACTAAACAATTTTTACTATACAATTTTTACTAAATTTATTTCTCTTTAGAGCAAAAATTTTGCTTCGATCGAAGTATAGGAAAATGAACTTTGAACGAAGAAATTTTTACTAACTTTTATTTCTCTTTGTAGCGAAAATTTTGCTTCGATCGAAGTAAATTTACGAAAATGTACTTTGAACGGAGAAATTTTTACCAATCAATTTTTACTATCCAATTTTTACTAACTTTTATTTCTCTTTCTAGCGAAAATTTTGCTTCGACGGAAGTAAATTTTACGAAAATGTACTTCGAACGTAGCAATTTTTAATTTTAATCCATTTTTTACTAACTTTTACTTATTTTTGGAGTAATTTTTGCTACACATTAAAAGAGAATTTTACAACTGGGAATTTTTGCTCCGAAAATAGTGAAACTTGACAAAAATGCGCAGAGTTTCTTAACACTTTTGGTTTTTTCTATAAAAAAAAACAAAAAGTTTTTTTTTTCCTTTTCAGTCAAATGAGAATGTAAAAAGGAAAAAGAACAATTAGAAAAATAGTTTTCAAAAGGGAGAAGAAAATTCGAAAACTACTTACGATCCTCGCCCTACAGAATCACGATATTCAGCGACAGAAAATCCGAACATTGACTGACGATACGATTTGTAAAGAGTATAATGTTTAGTCTCAACATTAAAGGCCGTAATTTTCCAATATGAAGAACTACCGAAAAAGGCAATTAGCCCCAATAGAAGCCAAAAGAGCCCCATATTTTTTCTTTTTTTTTAAATCACTCTCACTATTTCACAAAGTGATCAACACCAAACGTTATCTGTTCATGTCCAATGATTTTTCAAATTTTTGTTACAACTGTAGAGTTTGCAATAAAAGTTTGCGGAATCAGTTTAAAAAATTTTCAAGTATAATGCACGAGGGAAAGATAAAAGGGATTTTGCTGAGGTCTTTTTTGATGAATTTTCTGTTGTGTGTGAATCATGAAATGACCGGTGTTAAGGACATGTGCTGAAAGCACGAGGTGAACGGAAGCCACGAACTTGCTTTGGCGAAGACGGCTTGACGAACGGTCGCGGACAGACTGGTGTTTCTGACTGACTGAAGTGGAAGAGTGGAACTCAGTTCTGTTCAGCTCCCACCCACTGCACTACATGCTGCCATACAATTGTTCTTCATCTCATCCAATTTCATTTAATGTTTTCACGACTCTCATTATTGTCATAAGATAATTCACTAAAATGTAAAAATAATATAATTCCTCTAAATAAATAAATAAATATTCCTCTAAAATAATAATTATTTTTTTCGATATTCTGTAGATAGAAAATATCCCCTGCATATGTTTTAATATTATTTTATTTTCAATTTTCCATCGGGTTTTATATTCTTGTCGCATCATTCATAAAAATTCAGTGTGAACAAAATAATTTTTTCTTCATATAGGAAAAAATTAAATTTTAATTTACACTCTTAGTTGAGAATTTTTATGCTTTATGAAAACTTGGAAAACTCAAAACATTTCCTGTGATGTGTGGGAGTTTTATTTACTGAAAGGAATATTGTTCAGATAACAACTATTAACTTATGTTTGTTTTGTTATTAAAATTTATTATATTATTATTATTGTTAATAATATTATTATTGATTTTTTTATTATTATTAAAATAATTTTCTGTAGTAATTTTGCATTTAAAAAATCTAATTAACAGTTTGCAAAAGAAAAGGCATCTTTGACGATATAAATTAATCAAATAACAAATCAAGTAAGCTTGATTTCTTTTGCTTGCATAACTTCTTTTACTATCAGTCCCTCATTTACAAATAAAAAATTACATTTCAAATTGAATTTTCTTTTATAATAATCGAATTGAAATTCGTTTGTTATTAGAATGATTTCAAAATAATGTTAAAATAATAATAATAGTAATAATTAAAATAAATAAAAAGTAATAAAAATATTATTTATGTACGGGAAATGTGAAAGGCCGAAAGGTCGTACATATGAATCCAATAAAAATAAATAAAAATAAAGTAATAAAAATAAAATAGTAAGAATAATAGTAATAAATAATGTTGTAATAAAAATTATTTTTACTTTCACTTTCATTTTCATTTTCACTTTGATAAATTTTTATTTTCACTGACACTTTGATAGGTTTTTAATTTTATTTTTATTGTCACACATTCACTTCGATAGAAAGTGAAAATGTAAATAAAAATCTATTCTATAAAAATCTTAGTGGAAATTAAGGGGCCCCGAAATTAAAGTGGAAATAAAAATCTAACAAAATGAGAATGAAAGGGAAAATAAAAATTTGTCAAAGTAAAAATGTAAGTGAAGATAAAAATCTATCAAAATGTAAATAAAAGTGAAAATAAAGTTGAAAATAAAAATTTATAAAAATAAACATTAAATTGACAATAAAAAACTGTCAAAGTTTTAACTAAAATATTCGTCTCTAATAAATTATTTTTAATAAATTTTTTCGAATCCTTTTTGAGAATTCAATTATTTAAAAAACAGAATGTTCAATTAAAAAAATTTTAGAATCTACATATTTACAATTAAATTTTACAAAATTTTGATTATTCGAAAATTTTTCAATTAAATATACATTCAAAAATTAAACTTATTTAAAAAAAATTTAAATGAAAATTGTTCAAAAATTAACTTCTTAGTTAATTAATTTAATTAAATTCGAAATTTAAGTAATTTTTAATTGAAAATTCAATGAAAAATAACTTAAAATTCAAATTTTCGAAAATTTCAATTCAAAACCTTTCGAAATGCAATTAATTTCTCGAATTTTTAACTAAAATTCGTCTCTAAATCAATTTTTTTTTAATAAATATTTGGAGAATTCAATTATTTAAAACAGAAAAAAAATCCAGATTAAAAATAATTCTTAAATCCATTTGTTTAAAATTCAATTTTACAATTGTATATTCGAAAATTTTCCAATTAAATTAACTTCTTAAAAATTTTGAATTAAAAATTACTAAAAATTATAGTATTATGTTAACTTGGTTGAACAGTGATTATAACACAAGTGAATTAGGTTTTGTAGGATTTGATGTTTACCGTTGTGATAGAAGTGTACATACAAGTGACAATGCTAGAGGTGGGGGTGTATTAATTGCTGTCAAATCTAACTTAAGAAACTCTCAATTATTTTCTCATATAAATTCAATTGAACATTTATTTGTTAAAGTTAATTTTAATAGGGAACATTATTGTATTGGTGCATATTATATTCCTCCTAATGCAACTATTCAAATGTATGAAACTACATGTGAGTCATTGGAGTGTGTACTTGAAAAATTTCCATCCACAAAAGTGTGTATCTTTGGTGATTTTAATATGCCCTATGCTGTTTGGAATTCTGATAGCAATCTTGGCCCTTTTTGCAATTTTAAAGCAGGATCTCTCAATTCACATAAATTAATAACAAGTATTGTATCTGACACACTTGATTTCTTGAATTTACCACAAATTAATTCTTTTTTAAATAATTATGGATCTTTACTTGATCTTATTTTTTGCAATTTTTATGAATATTCGTTGCATTTAGTTCAGGATGAAATTTTGTTAGAAGTTGATAAACATCACCCTCCTTTATTGTTTGTTATTGAAGACAATATAGAAACGTCACCAGACTTGACATTAGGACCGATTACTGATAAATTTGATTTTAGAAATGCAGATTATGCTGCAATAATGTATTTTTTGGATAATGTTGATTGGAGCGTTCTTTTTTGTAATTGTGATATTGATAATGCCGTTGAAATGTTTTATGACTATGTTTATACTTCTATAGAATTTTTCGTTCCTTTAAAAACAATATATAATTCTACCTTCCCTCCTTGGTTTACTTCGGAATTAAAAAATCTAATAAATAATAAAAAACTTGCACATTTGAAATATAAACATAGTGGTCTTTCCACTGACTACGAATCTTTTTCTAATCTACGATCACAATGTAAAACTTTATCAAAAAAATGTTATAATGATTATATTTGTTCGACCGAACTTGAAATTGTAAAAAATCCCAAAAATTTTTGGAAATTTGTTAATTCTAGACGTAAAACATTTTCAAATATCCCAAGTTTTATGCATTTGAGAGATACATATGTTGAAAGTACTAGTGACGTCGCGAATTTGTTTGCTTCCTTTTTTAACTCGGTATTTACAACTCCTGACACAAACAGTTTTCATTGTCCCACTTGTGACCTTGATAAACTTGATCTTAGTAATTTTTCCGTAAATCAAGAGACTATACATTCTCGTCTCAAAAATTTAAATACTAATAAGGGTGCAGGTCATGATGGATTACCTCCACTTTTTATTAAGACATGTTGCTCGTCTTTTGTTTTTCCACTTTACTTACTTTTCAACAAATCAATTTCTTCTGGGACTTTTCCTTCTTTTTGGAAAAAAGGAATTATAGTCCCAATTCATAAATCGGGGGATCTAAGCGATATTGCTAACTACCGTCCTATAACAATACTAAGTGTATTTGCTAAAGTATTTGAAGGTATTATTGCGGATACTCTTTATTCTACAGTTTCAAATGTAATTATAGACGAGCAACATGGTTTTACGAAGTGCAGGTCTGTTGACACTAATCTTAGTCTTTTTTCTGACTTCATTTTGCTTAATATGGAGAGTGGCCATCAAATAGACGCAGTATATACTGATTTTTCGAAAGCCTTTGATAAGGTCGATCATAGAATACTTATTGCAAAGCTCAGGAACCTTGGTATTTATGGTAACTTTCTGTCCCTGATTGACTCATATTTACAAAATAGACCTCTTTTAGTACGTGTCAAAACTATTTTTTCTGACTGTTTCACCGCTACATCGGGGGTACCCCAAGGCTCTCTTCTTGGTCCTTTACTTTTTATTATATTTATTAATGACGTACGATTAGTATTTAAGTATTGCAAGTTTCTTTTGTATGCTGATGACTTAAAATTATTTAAGGTGATCAATAATCATGATGATTTTCTTGCCTTGCAGCATGACCTGAATGGTCTCGCAGAGTGGTGTCTACTTAATAAATTACCTCTAAATGTTTCTAAATGTTTCGTTATATCATTCTCGAGATTAAAATTGGTCATTCACCATGATTATGTTATTGATGATAAGCATTTGACAAGAAAGGACCAGATCTCTGACCTTGGGTTAACCCTAAGTACAAATTTCTCGTTTAATGACCATGTAACTAGTATTGTAAACAAATCAATAAGAATACTTGGTTTTATCACGAGGAGCACTTTTGATTTTCATAACCAACGTGCAATGAAATGTCTTTATTTCTCTTTAGTAATGCAAATAATCTTGAATTTGTCCGTAATATGGCATCCGCAGTATGATTATTTAATAACGAGAATCGAGAGAATACAAAATAGGTTCCTTCGCTTTATGGCTTTTAAATTAAAGATACCATTTGATCGCTTTAGTCACGATTATTCTCAACTAAGGCGACTCTTAAATATACCTACTCTAACATCTAGATTTTTATATAATGATATGATATTTTTATACAAAGTGATCAATCAGAAATACAAGTGTCCTCCTCTCTTATTAAAAATTAACTTTCATGTGCCTACTAGGAGATTGCGTAATTATTTACCCTTTTATGAACAACATCACCGCTGTAATTATGCTGCTAATTCGGTTTTCTCAAGAATTAGTGTGGAGGCAAACAATTATTCCGATTGCATTGATTTTTTCAACTCAAATGAGAACAGATTTATCAGCGAACTTAAAAACACGATTTTTTCATTTGACTAAATTTCATTTACTTCGGCCAATCTTATGATTTCTTTCTTTTGTAATTTTCTTTAGATTATAAGATCACTTTTGTTAAGGACTTTTTTTGTCCGTCCAAACTTTAAATAAATAAATAAATAAATAAATAAATAAATAAAAATTCAAATTTACAAAAATTTTATTTTACAACCTTTCGAAATTCAATTATTTTCTCGAATTTTCAACTAAAATTCGTCTCTAAATCAATTATTTTTAATAAATATTTGGAGAATTCAATTATTTAAAACAGAAAAAAAATCCAGATTAAAAATAATTTTTAAATCCATTTGTTTAAAATTCAATTTTACAATTGTATATTCGAAAATTTTCCAATTAAATTAACTTCTTAAAAATTTTGAATTAAAAATTACTAAAAATTCAAATTTACAAAAATTTTATTTTACAACCTTTCGAAATTCAATTATTTTCTCGAATTTTCAACTAAAATTCGTCTCTAAATCAAGTATTTTTAATAAATATTTGGAGAATTCAATTATTTAAAGAAGAAAAGAAAATTCACGTTAAAAATAATTTTTAAATCCATTTGTTTAAAATTCAATTTTTCAAAAACTAAATTCTCTGGGATTTTCAATAAAAATTACTTAAAATTCTAATTTTGTAAAATTTTAATTTGAAACCCTTTGAAATTCAATTATTTATCAAAATTGTAAACGCAACTCTTATAAAATTCAATTATTTTCGGAAATTTTTAAGTAAAATTATTCTTTTTAAACAATTTGTAGGTAATAATTTTATCCCATGAATTAAATTATTTTAAATAAATTCAATTTCTTATTCTTGAAGTTTAATTATTATCAGAAATAAAAAAAAGTTAGAATTTTTATTTTAAAATTCGTAGTGACTTCAAAATTTATAAGTCAAACAAATAAAAATTCAAGAAGAATTAAATCTTTTTAATATTTTCAAAAATTTCTGTTCTTAAAAATCCAAAATTTTATTTATTTAATTATTTATTCAAAAATAAGTTGTAAATTCTAAAATTCAGAATTTTATTTATTTATTCAAAAATAAGTTCTAAATTCTAAAATTCAGAATTTTATTTATTTATTCAAAAATAAATTCTAAATTCTAAAAATATATTAATTTATTTAATATTTAATATTTTTTCAGTACTTTTGATGAAATTCCCTAATTTTCCTGACCAATTTTTTTATTTTCCCTGACTTCTTCTTGAATTCCCCAATTTCCCTGGACTCTCTAAAAATTTAAAAATTCACTAAATATAATAATAAATAATTATACCTCTAAAATAATTATTATTTATTTAGACATTTTATATATATATATATATGTAAAAAATTCTCCACGTAACACGATTTAATATTTTCAACACGTTTTATATTTTTCTAAATTATTCATTGCACATTGAATAATTTTAATAACAATCGAATTTAAATTCGTTCGTTATTAAAATATCTACGTAATTGCAAATTTACTCAACATTTTGTAAATTAAATAGAACAAATTTTGTATTTAAATTTCGAAAAGTGTATTAGTTTTTAATAATTTATTAATTCTACACTAATTAAAATGCTAAATAAATTTTTTCCTCAGTAACAAAACCACCAGCTCCGCGAATTACTCGCACTTATACAAAATAAAATTAATAAATATATAATTGAAAGTTTTTATCAACTTTTTTCTGGTCTTATAATTACAAAAAAAAGGCAAATTGTAATTATATTGTATTTTATTCTTATTATTAGTTATTAATTAGTCAGTAACGCTAAAAAATACAATTTAATTTACAAATTCATTTCTTCTATCATTTTCTTTACACTCTCAACCGATGATTCAATATCATCGTCTTCATTCTTTGATAATAGTTCCTGTTCTTCTGCATTTTCTCTAACGTCAATTTTCCCTTCCTCAAGATTTTCATTTCCTTTCTTATTTTTTATTATCATGTCACTTATTGATTCTAACATTGAATTTAACACCACAACACTTCCATCGGCTTTTCCAAGTCTTGTTTTCTGGAGTAAAATCATCGCCTCTTCATATGGCGGTGCTATTGGAGACTGCGTTGGTTTACAGTATTTAAATGATGTTCCTTCTGACTAAAAATAGAAAAATACAAGTCTTACTTCAATAATCAATTCTTATTTATTTAAATTTTATTAATTTATTTCCATTTCTAATTAATTACATTTCTTTCTCTAAATTTTCTCATTTTCATTATAAATCTCTACATTTACTTGAAAAAGAAGAAACTAAGAAAATAAGTTGATAAAGTAGTTTCCTGTGACAGTGAACTGCTAGGAACTCATTTTCACAACAGAATTTAGCAGAATTTTAATATCTTAAATAAAATTACTTATAAGTTAATAAGTAAACTTTTGGCTAATTTACTTTTATTTACAGCAAAGTCTACTTACATCTAATGGATACGATGTGTCTGAATCAGGTCCATTGAGATCTCCGCAAACAACAAAGGGAACAATACATTTATTGATTCCTTCTAATTCTTGAAAACTGCACTTTTCATTAGTTAATAACGGATTCATCATGTGCGGTTTGTAACCATTTGGTAGAGAATAATTTTTACAAACGACAAACGCTTCAAAGCTGGAATTACGCGAGCTGGGTGGTTTTGTTACAATGACAGATGAGAAAAATATTTTCAATTGAGAATAAAGAAGAGACATGTCATCTGCTCGAAATATTTTTGCCACAAATGTTCCCATTGGTTTAAGGATATGTGTTGTAATATTCAAAGCAGCTAAAAGTAGCTGAGATTGGACAAATACGTCCATATCGTGTAGTCCAGTGACTAAAATCATGTTTTTTTTTTCTTTTTGCTCAAAAATACTTTAAATATGAATTTTTTAAAAATAAGTAATTTTGAATATTTTTGACTTACCATCTGGTGCACCATCGCAGACCACTAAATCGGCATTTTCATTTCCAAAATGTGATATTATTTCTTCTGCCACTGAGACTTTTGTGATATCGCCTTGAATTTGGGTTACACCTTCTATCGGCGACATTGCCTGTAGATCGACTGATATTATTTTTGGTGGTTGAACATCTCTTCCCTTGGCAACTTCTTCTTTGTAAACTTCACTGTTGAAAATTATTATTAAAATTAGATACACTTAATATCTTCATTTCATAATGGGGCCGTCCATAAACCACGTAGCCCCATTTTTTGAGAATTTTGACCCCCCCCCCTCTCCCCATGTAGTACGCTATTACATGTATTAGCGCCATTTTTTCCTCTTGTCGTAGTCAATTGCTTGACCCCCCCCCTCCCCCTCAAGAGGCTACGTGGTTTATGGATGGCCCCTAATTAAGATCATAGTTGATTAAAATTTTTCAAAAATCAAAGTTCTTAAAAATCTTTAATTAAATTCATTCAAAATTGAAATTTTATAAAATCAAATTAACCCTTAATATTAAAAATTTTAAACAAATTAAAGTTGTATTTGAATAAAAACTTCAATTTTCATCCAGTAAGAAACAATTCAGGTTTTGAATGTCCGTCAAATTCTTCTTTAAATAGATTTTCGAAACTACTAAGATTTAAGAGTAAATTACATATAAAATAAATAATGCAATTCAATAAATACTTTAAATTTTCTTTTAAAACTGTTTAAAGAAAACAGTGAAATTCTATGAATAGTTTAAGTTTACTTTTAAATTATTTAAAATAAACGTTGCAATTCAATGAATACTTTAAATTTTCTTTTAAACTGTCTAAAATAAACACTGCAATTCAAAAAAATACTTAAAATTTACTTTGTCTAAATGAATATTTCAGAATTTAAATATTCACTTAAAATAATATTGACTTTCTCATGACATTAAATTATAAATATTTACTTCAATCGTTTGGATAACACTTGACTCCAACTTCCTGGAGCAGCACACAAATCGACCGCTCTTGAAACTCCTAAAAATTAAATATTATTATTAAAAATTATTTCAAAATCGAGCTTTTTGCCTATAACAATAAAAATTAATGTTATTTTATATACCTTCAAAAATGTTAAATTTGTTGTCAATATGAAGAAGTTTATAAGCGCTGCGTGCTCTGTATCCTTCCTCTTTTGCTTTTCTGTAGTATATATCTCGCTTATCTTTCGTTGTTTTGCCCATTTTGCTATAAAACAAAACGAATTTACTGTTTTCAAATCACAGAACTATTAAAATATTTATATTCTAACTGAAAAACACTGAAATACTTTTGCGGTTTTTGCAAAGAAAATGTAGACACTTTTGAGGTTAGGACCTCCAGCGGTAAATGGCGGTAAAACATGAAGGTGCCTTCACAGTGAAAATACACTACTAAATCTGGACAAGTAGCAAAGAACCCCTCTTGTTTCAACATTGTTACAAGAATTAAAACTAGAGGGCGCATTTTTGCATTTTAAAAAACAATTATTGTAGAAACGGTCTGTTCACCTGTGTTTATGTCAGTACACGTCACCTAGTGAAATACTCTCATACAATAATAAAATTTGAAAAATAATTATTTAGGTAATACTTTAGTATTCTTTATTTGTTTTCTATTTATATAACACATTGTTACTGTATCTATAGATCATATTAATAGAGACTAAGAAGTGCAAACTCATCATGAATTTCAAAGAGAAAAATGTTTTTATTTTCAAATATCTTGACAATTGAACTTTGAACCAATGATTATGTACATAAATATGTTCATATATATAGGTATATATAAATGAAAATCAAATCAGTCTTGAAGTTAAAGTCCACTGGATAATAATAAAAAAATACTATATATTTTTTTGTCGATTGTCGAAAATTGAGAAAATTTTCGTTTGAAAATTAAAGTAAGGGATAAGTTTCAGTTTTTTATAACCATATTTGTAAATTGTTTTCTCTTTTAATTTAACTGTTAAATAATACTTTATAATTCACGAAATGTAGAGAGTCTTTTAAGAGTTTTAAAATGTTTTATGATTATTTAAAAGTTGGTAGACAAATTCAGGTTTTTAGAAAGTAGGACTTGTAAAGAACATCTTGTTAATAGAAACAATCAAACAATTATATACAGTTAACTTTTTTAAAGTGACACTTCCCAATTGGAAAATTTTTTTTTAAATTAAATGAAAAAAATTTTATTTTTTACATTCAAAAATTATTTTAATTGTTATTTTTGAATAAGTTTAAATTAAAATTTCGGAAATAATTGAATTTTGCAAAAAAAAGTGTCAAATTTAATTTTTCGATAGCTAATTTTTTTCCACTTTTTCTGTCTAAGCTACTTTTTGCTACCTTTTTAAAATTAATTATTGAGTGCGAAGTCTGCTGTAGACCGATTGAACTTAAATTGTAATTAAACGCTAACAAAATAATTAAAATTAAATCGATTAATAATTAGACGATTTCTATTTTGATATCGATCAGTCATAATAAAATTATGTTTTTGGGAAAAAATTCTTTTGTCATTAAATGAGAGTAATTATTTTAGATATCAACAATGATCAACACCGGGAAATTAGCAGGTTGTACTATTTTTATAACAGGAGCATCGAGAGGAATTGGAAAAAGCATAGCTTTAAAAGCTGCGAAAGATGGAGCGAATGTTGTAATAGCTGCAAAAACAGCAGAACCACATCCAAAACTTCCTGGCACAATTTATACAGCCGCTGAGGAAATTGAAAAAAGTGGAGGACACGCACTTCCCTGTATTGTTGACGTTCGAGATGAGGGTCAAATTAAAACAGCAGTGGACAATGCAGTCAAGAAATTCGGTGGAATTGATATTCTCGTTAATAATGCAAGTGCAATTTCATTAACAAGTACTCTTGCCACAGATATGAAGCGTTACGATTTAATGAACAACATCAATGCAAGAGGAACTTTTCTCGTTTCAAAAATGTGTTTACCGTATTTATTAAAGAGTAAAAATCCCCACATTGTTAACATTAGTCCTCCATTAAACATGACTCCATTTTGGTTTAAAAATCACGTTGCGTACACAATGGCAAAGTACGGAATGTCAATGTGTGTTCTCGGTATGGCAGAGGAATTTAAAGAGGAAGGTGTCGGTGTTAATGCCGTTTGGCCAAGAACAGCCATTCAGACAGCTGCCATTGAAATGCTACAAGGCAGCGAATCAGCAAATTACAGTAGAAAACCAGAAATTATGGCCGATGCCGTCTATGCCTTAGTTTGTAAGGACAGTAAATCGGTGACTGGAAATTTCTTCGTCGACGAGGATCTATTGAGAAAAGAAGGTGTCACAGACTTTTCTCAATATTCATGCACGCCGGGAAATGAAAAGAATTTAATGCTCGATTTCTTTTTGGACGAGGCATTAGATTCACGACTAATTCCAAATAAGACTGAGAATAAAGTTGATGGGAGTAAAATAGCAAATTTATTTACAGTTATTGAGAGTAATTTAAATGCAGAGCTTGTTGATAAAGTTGGAGCGGTATATCAATTTAATGTGAAGGGCGAAGAGGAAGGTGTTTGGTTTATAGACTTGAAAAATGGAAAGGGCACAACGGGAAAGGGTGAGCCAAATCAACCAGCAGACGCTGTTCTCACTATGGATTCGCAAAACTTTTTCGCCATGTTTTCTGGTAAAATGAAACCCGCCTCTGCTTTTATGACTGGTAAATTGAAAATTACAGGCAATATTCAAAAGGCAATTAAATTAGAGAAGTTAATGGTGAGTTTAAAGTCGAAACTTTAAAATAAGATTTAAAAAACAGTTTAATAACTAATGGTATTCTTTAAAAGATAATAAATTCTAATAATTATATTCTTAAGAATTAAGAATAATTGGACTTATTACTTCAAGGTAATATTTATCTAAAATAACAATATTTAACTTTGGGTGAAGTTCACGACGTTTTGTGATCAACTTTTGGAGGGAAAAAATACTTTTTAACCCAGAAAACATGGCCCTAAAGTTTAACGTTAAAATATTACTTCTTATAATTTTAATTTTTTGCAAAATAAAAAATTACTTTTCATGGGGAGGGTACACCGATAATTATTATGGAATATTTAAATTATTTTTTTGATATAATTAAAAATATCGACGTACGCTCCCCTTAACTAAATAAATATTCAATTAAAATACTTTTTTCTCTATTGAAAATATTTTCATTAATTTTCAAATTATAATAAAAATTAGAAACTAAGATTTTATATTTAGAAATTTTATAATTAATTTCTTTTATAGTGAGGCAAAATCATTTGCTTTGTGAAATATTGATTTTAATCAAGTTCACAACGTTTATAAACAACGATTTAAAAGAAAAAATATTTTTTTATTCAAAAAAATATTTTGTACAGATTTTAGATAATTTGAAAAAGAGAAATTTGTGAACAAATTTTAATTTTATTATTTTCGTTAGGAAAAATATCTTTTTCTTTCAATCGTTGATCATAAACGTTGCGAACTTCACAGACAAAAAATGTACAAAATAATTGTACACAATAAAAATTTAATTTATAGAATAAATAAATAAATTTCGTTCATTTGAACATTCAGAAATTTAGAGTCAGATAAAAATAATTGTTAATTTGACAAAAATTTGAATAAAAAAGTAGTTTTTTCTTCAAATTGTCTATTATAAACGAGAATTTCACCAACGTTATATTTATATGTATACAAATTGTTATTCTATATTTTTTATATTCTTATATATATATGTACATTGTATCAAAAATTTTAATAATGTTTTAACTTTTTTAAAATAAAAATCTGCGATAAAATAAATGAAAAGGTGTTCAACTAGTAGAGAAAACGGCTCGTATTTGAAATTATATGTAAATTTTCACTCTGGAATATTATTAGAATCAGTATTTTTACGTTCACAACTTGCAAAAATTATCATATATCACATTTTTCAGATTTTCGATTTTTGTAGGTATTTTAAAAGTAAAATATATTTTTTTAAATTTGTAACTTTTTATTTAGTTTTTTAATATATTTTTTAATTTTATATTACTTTTTAACCTTTTTTTTAATAGTTCACTGAAAAGAAAATTTATTTGATTCAAATAACCGATTAATCTTCTATAAAATTGTTTTATTTTGTCAGGAAATTTTATCAAAAGTACTGGAAAAATATTAAATTTCTAGAATTTATAAGAAAATTATGAATTTTGTTGTCCAACGTAACAGACTTAAATAACAAAATATTACATTTAATTTTAAATTCTTTCTATTTTTAACAATAATTAAACAAAATTTAATTTTAATTAAATTCGTCGAAAATATTTGAAAGAGAAAAAATTTCACATCCTATAAAATAGTGACAATTTAAAATTTTTTTTTTTTGCAATAATATAAGAAAACAAATTTGAATTAGTAAAAATTTGAACTAATTAGAACAAAAGTAATAAGAAATTTTTAAAAATAAATTTTTAAATAATAAATAAAAAATAAAAATAAATAAAATTTCTTTTCTTAGAAAATAAATTAGTTCTTTCGAAACATTTTTATTCAAATTTTTTTTCAAATTAGTTATTTTTAAATACATAATATTCAATTGAAAAACTTTCAAATTATTCAAAAATTTCATGAAATTGTCTTGTAAACAAGTGGATTTTAGAAATTTAGTTAAAATTTCTAGAAAATAATTGAATTGAAATTTTGAAAATAATTTTTAATAAGGTACAGTATCAATTCTGAAAAATTATTCTATTTTAAAGGATTTTAAATTTGAATTCTTTTTTAAAATCTTCCTATGGGAAAATAATGGATAATAATTAAATATTTATTTCAAAAAATCTAAGTTCAAAATTATTTTACAATTAAAGATATTCAAAAAAAATGTATTGTAAACATATTTTGGAGTTTTAATTATTTTTAGAAACTAAAATATTTTTACGGTTTGAGAAAAAGGCAAAGTTTTGTCTAAAAATCAGGGAATTCTTTCAATCTTTCATGGAATAATTTATTTTCAGAGTTATTCTTTATAACCAGGAAAAATAATTTATTATTGGAAAATGACTGTGAATTTTTTTGGTGATAAAAGTGTCCACCCTGGTATAGTTTTTAATTTTATATAACTTTTTAAATATATTTTTTAATTTTACCCTACTTTTTTAATTTTACATTTTCAAAATTGACATTTATAATTTATTTATTTATAAGGAATTAATTCTTTTTTCGAGGTTAGCAAACAGCCCTTTTCTCTGGTAGTCCGCCTGACTAAGCATTCGCTTTTTCTACTTATTTCCCTAAAACTAAATATAATTATAGTAGTTTTAAAAAATTTTCACTAATTTTCACTAATGTATAAATTTTTACAGAATTTGTTCTTCTTACTTTTTATAAACTATTTCTAAAGCGCTTTAGATCGAAGTTTATATTAAAATTCCAGTTTCTAGAAGAGGAAACCAAATAACCAGCAACTAGTGTACAAATATCGATTTTATGGCAAACTTCCCAGATTTTCTCATGTGTTCGAAACATAAAAGTACGTCTACTTCTAACTGGGTTGTTTTTTGATTAAATTTCACATTTACATGCAAATTTCCAAGTAGAATGGTGCATTAAAAATTATAATGAAAAGTGGAAAAAAATTCTCATGACGAAATGAGGGTGTGTTTGCGTGCGTGTTTGCACTTGAAGGGAGTGACGAGTTCAATCCGCAAGTAACGGAATTTATAGACAACCCTTATTACCCTAAAAATTTCACTGTTCGCAGGCGCTCTCCTCTTCACAACCTGCGCAGTTAACATCCTATAATATAAGGCTATTAGCCCTTTCTCGTTATATGCGGTATTGTGGAGCATGATTATATGCTATGTGCCCAGCCTTTATTTCACGCAATCATTTTCAAAGATAAAATTTCAATTACCTTCTTTTTTTCTTCATTTCGAAATAAAGTGTATATAATGTTTATAAATGAAGAAACTTGAGTTTTAAACGCCTCTCGAAATGACAATCGAATTTATAATCAGTGAAAAAATGTGCAGACTTGCAGCACCCCAAGTACAATTCTTGCGACATGCGTCGTGCATTCATCCCTCTCTTTCGCCGGATATTCACTTGAGCAAGTTTGTAATTTCACGTACTTGGTCGATTCCTCGTGTCCGAACCTCAAGTCACTCATTTTCTCGCTTTCTACAAAATTGAGTAATTAAATTAATATTTACTTGTTCGATAGAAATTGCTCCCCTTTAGTCACATTTTAATTAGTTTAACCCTGTTTCGCCGCTAGTGTTCCAACCCCAGTGAAATACATCTATTTGTATATTTTTTCAATTAGTTAATTTTCAATTAATTTCAATTTCAAATATTTTCAACAAAAAAAAAAAATTAAATTTGATTCGATAAAAGTGAAAATGCAAACGATAAGGGATAATGTGCTCGAAGAGGCAGGTTAAAAGCATCTCGTGGGATTACCGCACACTACATAATCCCGGACAATCCTTTAACTTGTATCAATAACGAGAAATGTGAAAATAGATGTGCCAATAAAAAAAATATCACGACCTCAATGTAACGGGAAATATGTACAAGATGTAAATTTTAAATTACAAGAATTCGTATTTTAAATACGAAGAGTATCTTTTTTTTTAATATTTATACAGTTTCTTCACACTATTTTCAATAGTGCATTAAAAAAAGAAACAAACGAAAAGGAAAAACTATAAAAATGTTTGGATCAAAATTGAGGACTTGGATGGAGGCACACATTGTACGTCCGAAGAAGAAAAAAAAGAAAGATTTGAAAGAAGGCGAAAAAGGATTCGAATCTAATTGCAATTCACCTAGTAAATATTACACAAGATTGTCCGTTCCTTGTCAAGTGAGTATATTTTTTAAATTATTATTTTTTACGGGAAGGGTGAACTGGTATTTTTAACTATATCAAGAAAATAATTTTAATATTCCATAAAATTGTTTTTATAAATTTTTATTTTATGAAAATAAAATATATGAAAAAAATAAATGAAAATTTCAATGAAATGTATAATTTTTTGAGAGGGATTCAATGGTCATAAAGAAGAAATTACTTTTTAAATTTTTGTCAAATTAACCATTTTTTTTACCTGACTCTAAATTTTTAAATGTTCAAATGAACGAAATTTTTTTTCTGCTTAAATATTTTTTTTTAAATTTACTGAATAAACCGGAAAATAATGTAAATTAATCATTTTTACTATACAGACAATTTTTTTTTAGTAAAGTACAAATTAAAAGAAAAAATATCGTCGTTAAATCATTTTTAATCCTTTGAAATTTTAGAAACATCGACATTTTTTTCTATTTAATTTTCAAAATTTTCTGATAAAAAAATTTATTTGATGCAAGTAATCGACTATTTGTCCATCAAATAAATATTTACTTGAATTAAATAATTTTTATTTAAATTGCATTGTAATTGAACAAATAAAATGTATTTTAACTAATAACTTAAGTATTTGAAGGAAATACCATTTATTTGATTTGAATAAAAATTAATTGATTCAAGTAATTATTTATTTGATAATAGACAAAAAATCAGTCATCTGAATCAAATTTTTTTTTCTTTATGGAATATTTAAATTAATTTCTTGATATGATTAAAAATATTGGTGTTACCCTCCCATTAAAAAAAAAATTGTCGTTTCAAACTCAATTACTCCAATTACATTTCAAATTGAATTTTTTAAATAATATTCGAATCGAAATTCGTTTGTTATTAAAATAATTTAAAAATAATGTTAAAATAATAATAATAGTAATAATTAAAATAAATAGAAAGTAATAAGAGTTTTTATGACTAATTAAACTCTTTTGACAAGTTTCTTTAAATTTATTGAAAATAATATTTTTTTAAAATAATTTTAATTAAAAATTTGTAAAATAATTGAATTAAACAAAGAATTTTTTCAATTTTTTAAAATAATCTTGTCTGTTCGTAATTATAATTGGAAATTTGGTGAATTTAATTTTATTAAAATGTATTGATACTAATTGAATTTCTGCAAAGAATTTTACTATTTAGAAAAATAATTGATTCGTTCCAAAGAATTTTTATTATTTATGAAAATAATTAAATGTTTGCGTAGAATTTTATTAAAATTTTTGAAAATAATTGAATTTGGAGAGCAATTTAATTATTGAAAAACATAATTGAAATTTTGAGGAGAATTTAAAAAAATTTTCAAATATAATTGAATTTCTGCGAAGAATGCTATTAATTTTGAAAATAATTGAATTGTTTTTTAGAATTTTATGGAAATTTATAAAAAATAATTGAATTCTTGTGAAGAATTTTTTTTTTAAAATAACATTCAAAAGAATTTAGTAAATCTGAATAATTTTGCTATTTATAGAAATAATTGAATTCTCAAGAAAATTTTTTTTTCAAAAGTTTCTAGAAATAATTAAATTTTTGCGACGAAATTCAATAAAAGTTTTAAGAATAATTACATTTTTCAAGGAATTTGATAAAAATTGTATTAAAAATAATTGAAATTCTGCAATCGATTTTACTATTTATGAAAATTTCAATTATTTTAGTGACTCTTTATAAAATTCAATTATTTATCAATTATTAAATTAAAATACTTTGAAAATTCGATTTGTTAAAAAGTTTTTAATGAAATTCTTTAACAAATTTAATTATTTTCCGCTGAATTTTACAAAATTTCTATTAATTCGAAAATTTTCTTAAAAATTTATTTACTAACTACATTTGAATCAGTGATAGATTTTTTTCTATCAAATTAATTATTTCTAACTAATTTAGAGAACAGTAAAAATATCTATAAAAATTGAAATAAAAAGCGATTTTTAAAAAAGAAATTAAAATAATACAACTATTTATTTCCCGATTTTCCCGGTTAGTAGACACCCTGCAAATTTTAGGGAAATTAAAATATTTTATTAAGATGTTAAAAATTGTAATAAAAATGAATAAAAATTGATATAAATGAATAAAAATAAATAAAAGTAAATAAAAACAAGTAAAAAGTAAAAGTTTCCATAAAAGTAGGGAAGACAGGGGAAGATATCTGCTGTTCTAACTGCATAATGAAAGAAGCACCGGGTGAAAAGGGTTGGCAATGTTCTAAAATATGTATCACGTATTCAGTGTTCTTAAGACTATATGTGAATACAATAGAGTGAATGTGAAAGAAACATTTATATTGCTGCCAAAGAAAAATTGTGAAGGCAGTACAATGCTTTGTCAGACCTTCCTAATTGAAGTACATACCTATACCTATACCTTTACCTTCCATTTGAGAAATGTTCTAGGAACTCACTTGAAAGTGGGTGCATCGGTAAACGACAGACAGGTCATTAACACCCTTTATTGGCGTTTACTTTGAACTTCTGTCATGCGAAAAAAAAGAGAGAATATAAATAGTCTGCAGGGTTTAATGCTTCATTACGTTTGCTTATGTTCAATACATAATGTAATTGCCCTTTACACGAAACAATATACTTTTTCGTTATTTTCAAAACAATCTGACTGATCCAAACAAGAGAAAACTGATTAATTCAGATATTAATTTTTTTCACCCAAAATTGGGAGAAGAAACTTGTAAATAATTCCGATTAGTCTCCACCCTTCTAAGCATTATTAAATTCCATGTCTGTCTTCTGTCTTCTACAAATCTCACAAATTTTTAAAAAATTATTTTATTTCTTTCTAATATGGAAGTGAAATTTTAATTAATTAAGTTTCATCAAAGACTATACAAAAAAGATACTATAAAGTAAAATTCAAATTCTACTAAAATTAGTTAAATCTTTTAGTATATATTTAATTAACTATTAAAAATAATAAAATTCTTTTTAGAAATTGAATTATTTTCATAAATAATGAAGTTCATCGCAGAATTTGAATTATTTTTAAAAATTTTATTAAAATTCGTCGCAAGAATTCAAATATTAAAAAATTTGTTGATAACATTCTTTATGAGAATTCAATTTTAAGAAACATCCAATTACTTAAAAAATAATTTAATTTTATATTATTTAAATAATTTTAGTAAAATTTTAGATAATAATTGAATATTAAAATAATAAAATTTTTCTTAAATATTCAATTATTTTCAAAAGTTTTAATAACTTTCTCGGCAAAATTTCAATTATTTTAATAAAATAAAAAATTCAATTATTTAAAAAAAATTTAATAAAAGTCTACGCAAACATATTTAATTATTTTCATAAATAATAAAAATTTCAAGGAAATTCAATTGTTTACAAATTTTTTATACATTTCTTCGCAATAATTCAATTATTTTCATAAATAATAAAACTCATTGCAGAATTTCAATTATTTTTAATACAATTTTAATCGAAAAATGTATAATTATTCGTAAAAAGTTTATTAACATTCGTCAAAAAAATTCTGACGAATTTAAAAATTTGTTGATAAATATTCTTTATGAGAATTCAATTTTAAGAAACATTCAATTATTTAAAAAATTATTTATTTTTGTATTTAAATCATGAATTCACGTAGAATTTTCTAATTAAAATTGATTTAAAAATGAATTTCGATTAAAATTTTAGATAATAAGTGAAAATAAAATTAATAAAATTCTTCTCCAAAATTCAATTATATTCAAAAACTTTAATAAAATTCTTGGCAAAATGTCAATTATTTCCAAAAATTTTGCTCAATTCAATGATTTTCAATATCTACTATTTTAATAAAATTTTTCAAAAAATCCAATTGTTCTGCAATAATTCTATTATTTTCTTAAATAATAAAATTTTTTTTACAGAGATTCAATTATTTTCATAAATAATATAACTCATCGAAGAATTTCAATTATTTTAAATATAATTTTAATCGAATTTCATCGAAAAATATAATAAACATTTTATTAAAATTCGTCAAAAGAATTTAATTTTTTAAAAATTTATTCATAAAATTCTTTATGAGAATTCAATTTTAAGAAACATTCAATTATTGAATAAATTATTTATTTCTTATTTAAGTAATTGAATTCTCGTAGATTTTTGTGATAAAATTTTTTTTTAAAAATTAATTTTAGTTAAAATTTTAGATAATTGAATATTAAACGCACTATAGTGTGAATTTTAAAGTTTAATTGAATTATTTTCATAAATTATTATTATTTTAATTCTTATCAAGAATTCTATAATTTTTACAAATTTTAATAAAATTCTTGTCAAAATTTCAATTATTTTCAAAAATTTTAATAAAATTCTTATCAAAATTTCAATTATTTTCAAAAATTTTAATAAAATTCTTGTCAAAATTTCAATTATTTTCAAAAGTTTTAATAAGTTTCTCGGCAAAATTTCAATTATTAATTGAATCAGTAAAAATTTTTAATAATTTGAATCAGTGACTGAATTTTTGCTTTTGAATTAGTAAAGTTTATTAATAAGTTAGAAGAAATTACTACTTATTAGTAAAATTTACTAATTTAAAAACAAAACGTCAGTCACTAATTTAAATTAGTAAGCATTTTTACTAATTTAAATTTAGAGAGTTCAATTATTGAATAAATTATTTATTTTTGTATTTAAATAATTGAATTTGAATTTTTTTTTTTGTAATTATTTGTAGATTTTATTTTCTAATATAAGATTTAATTGGAGAATTTTCGAATAATCGGCGTTTCGTTAAATTGAATTTTAAACAAATAGATTTGAAAATTCTCAAAATAACTTTTTAAAAATTATTGAAAATAATTGATTTAAAGAAGAATTTTAGTTAAAAATTTTATAAAATAATAATTGAATTTTTAAAAAATCTTAATTCTTGTGCAAAGATAATAATGATTAAATGTTTATTTAAAATTAATGTTATTGATATAATTTTACAATTTTGAGTATCTAATAATTTTTCGACTGAATCAGAATATTCTCAAGAGTCGCAGAGAAAAAGTAAAAATTTGATCTTTGTTAGAAAAAGTCAGAGAAGAAGAAAATAAAATTTTTGTCGCAACCCTGAATATTAAACTGAGAAAAATATAAATAAAGAAGAATTCCTCACAGTATTAAATATTGTAGCCGCGGCAATGCGCATATAGGGAGATACTTTTGAAACCGTGCCAGAAAAAATATATATGATGTTAAAGTCCTATTGAATTTTCAAGGTACATCCACTGGTTTCACCTGCACTGACGAAGAACTTGGACGGCATCCATCTGCAGACGATGACGGGCTCGTCTGGTACTTCTGTCGGTGTTGGAAGTGTTAATCTCTCATCGCCTGAAAGTGCCTACAGTACTGGATATTCGACAGATGGCACATCTCCCGGTGCGAGCTTTCCTCCTGAATATTACATCAATATCAGAACGGGAAAGCACTATTTTCAAAATAGAAAAAACACCACTCGAGGCAAGAAGAATTGCGACGCTAATTGTCAACCAGTTGCACTGCTTAATGGACGTGAAAATTCAGCAACAAATCAATCGACATCTGTAAACAATAAACAGCCTAAAAATTCTCAAGGAAATACATTTACTAAGGTTTGTGTAAATTATTAACTAAAAACCAATTATAAATCATTTTACATTCTGTGTAATATCTGATTGGGTTGAAATTGAAATTGAAGAGAGTTGCAATATTCATATTTCTATTTTTTCATTTACCAGTTGACTGAAGCGGCAAAAAATCATTATCCACACTATTATCAGAGTCACAGTCCTCAGCAGGATGAGCATCGTCGGCATACACAAGTCTCGCATCAGAGGGCAGAATCGTTTTCAGTGAATTCATCAATAAACAGTCTGTCGATTCCATCTTCTATACCACCGCCTCTAGTTTCGGGTCCACTGCAATCCCCAAGGCAACGATCGCGAATTCGAACGAATCCATGGCTGTCGGCCAACTCTTCCAGTTCGGCCAGTACATCGGGCTACAAGTCAAGACTAACTCCCGATGAAAGTAGTATTAGTTCAAGTTTAAAATTGATGGAATCTTCGGGCAGCGTGAGTGACATTAATGTCAGTATTTATCGGGAGAATAAAAAACGAAGAGAATACAGACAGGAGAGTCTTAGTGCTGGCAGGAGTCCGTAAGTTTTAAATTCCATTTTGTAAGACATTAATGTCTCTAAGAAATTTTTTTTTTTGCTACTTGTTAATTTTCTGTTTCTTTAGTATAAATCAGAATTGGAGAATAACGCCAGGAATGAATATTCGCGATGTGAATAATTCTCTAGCAATGCCAAAGCGTTCGAAAATTGGAGGGAGAGTCATCAATAGTAGTTGTAGTACCAGCAGCAATAGCACTTGTTCAGCGTCCTCGACAACAAGAAGTGTCCATACATCCGACGAAGATTTAACTCTAAACGAAATGTTGGGTAAATATGATGAAAGTTATGTTTATGAAAAAGAAACTGACATACTGTCGGACAGTGATCCAACCGATTGTGACGATCATATCGATTCACTATCCGACGTCGACACCGCACAAGATGAGAATGATCCATTCGAAAAAGATTTCGATTACATTGATAATGCCACGTCTTTTCTAGAATTGGAGAAACTAGATTCATCTGGACATTTATACAATAATAAACAGTGCTCATTTTTCTCAGTGACCAATCAGTTGGGTCGGCATGATCCTAGATTGACATTCATTAAGAGACGAAATAAAGAGGAAAAAGCGAATCATCGGTAAGATTTTTCTTTCTTTATTTTTGGCCTCGCACTTATCTACTAAAACCTACTATTTACTACTATTTACTACTTTTTTACGATTTGCTATACTGTTTGGATACTTTTTTTTTAAATTCGTTACACTAAAAGCCACTTCTTTTCCATGTTTCAAAATTTACAGTACTTTAAACTTGTTAACAGTTAAAACAAAAAAAAAATTGGTTTAAAAAATTTTATTAAAGTTATTGGAACAAATTTAAAAATGTTAATAAAATTCTTTTCACAAACATTCAATTATTTTCATAAATAAACAAATTTTCGCAGGATTTCAATTATTTTTAATAGGTACAATAATTTTAATTGAATTCCGCGAAAAATGCAACTATTTAAAATAATTTTGATATAATTTGTTTATTAGAATTTACTCACTATTTTTAATATCATTTTTAATTATATTTCTTAAAGAAATTTAATTATTTTCAAAAATTTTAATGAAATTCTTCGAAAAAATTCTATTTTCTTCACGGATAATAAAATTATTCGCAGAAATACAATTATTTACAGAAATTTTTATAAAATTCTTAACAAGAATTCAATTATTTGAAAAAAATTAATAAAATTCCCAAGAATTCAATTATTTTTAAAAATAATTCAATTCTTCTTAGAAAAAATAATATCCATCTCAAGAATACAATAATTTTTAAAAATAATAGGTACAATTGTTCTCAGGAATTAAATTATTTTAAAAAAAAATTCTTTGCTAAAATTCAATTATTTTCATTATTAATAAAATTCATCACAAGAATTCAATTAAATTTTAAAAATTTTAATTAAATTCTTTGCTAAAATTCAATTATTTTCATAAATAATAAAATTCATCACAGAAATTCAATTATTTTTAAAAATAATTGAATTCTTCTTTGGAATAATCAAAATTCTTCACAAGAATTCAATAGTTTTTAAAAATAATAAAATTATTCTCAGGAATTGAATTATTTTTGAAAATTTTTATAAAATTCTTTGCTAAAATTCAATTATTTCCATAGATAATAAAATTCATGGCAGGAATTCAATTATTTTTGAAATTTTAATAAAATTCTTTGCTAAAATTCAATTATTTTCATAAATAATAAAATTCACCGCAGGAATTTAATTATTTTTCAAAATAATTGAATTCTTTTTTGGAATTATCAAAATTCTTCACAAGAATTCAATGATTTTTAAAAATAATAAAATTATTCTCAGGAATTCAATTATTTTTGAAATTTTAATAAAATTCTTTGCTAAAATTCAATTACTTTCATAAATAATAAAATTAATCGCAGGAATTCAATTATTTTTCAAAAATTTAAATGATAATCGTTGCAAGAATTCAATTATTTTTAAAAATAATAAAATTCTTCTCAGGAATTCAATTATTTCTTAAAAATGTTAATAAAATTCTGTGCTAAAATTTAATTATTTTCATAAATAATAAACGATTTTCAAAGAAATTCAATTATTTAAAACACAATTTTCATGAAAATGTTTCAAAATAATTATTTCTTTAAAACGATTTTTTTTAAATTCTTCTCAAGAATGCAATTATTTTAAAAACTTTATTAAAGTTCTGTGACAAAAATTCAATTATTTTCATAAATAATAAATTTTATTGCAGGATTTCAATTATTTTTAATATAATTTTTAATTATTTCCGCTATAAAAGCAATTATTCTTAAAAATTTGAATAAAATTCTTCGAAAAAATTCAATTATTTAAAAAAATATGATATAAGTTTTTTTTTAAAGTGTAATAATTACTTTCAATTCATTTTTAATTACATTTCTTGAATGAATAAATTTAATTATTATCAAAAATTGGAATGCAATTAATCGTAAAAATTCAATTATTTAAAAAAATGTTGATTAAGTTCTTTATAAGAATTGAAATTTAAGAAATATTCAATTATTCAATAAATTATTTATTTTTGTATTTAAATCATTGAATTCTCATAGAATTTTCTATTAAGAATTGATTTAGAAGTGAATAAAATAAAATAATTTCAACTCTATTATTAAAATGATTAAAGTTTTGATTAATTTTATTTATAAATTTCAAGAAAAAAATGATATGAATTTTGAAAGAATTATTTTTGTAATTTTTATAAATAGTTAAATTTCAAAAATTGCCTTACATTGAAATCATTAATGAAATATTTTAATTCCTGTAGTCAAAATAAATAGGTATTTAAATATTTATTTAAAAATATTATTCTATTTTTAAATGTAATTAGGAAATTATAAAAAAAATTGAGTAGTCTAGTTTAAATTTTCGATAGCTATTTTTTTTACTACTTTATTCTGTCTTTAAGCTATGTACTTTTTGCTAATTTTTTAAAATTAATTATCGAGTACGAACTAATAGAAAGTAATTTTTATCCACAGGTCTATTAATGTGGGAAACGGTGTGAAACGACAAAATATACATTTGAAGAAAATTGAAAAACTTACCAGTGAGAGGACTGTTAATGAGAAAAGGAAAAAGAGAATTTCTCAAAGGCGCAAATGGGATGATGAAACTGCAAATCTAAATAGAGTGCTTGTCGAGAGGATGCTATTGAAAAATTCAGGTTTCAACCAAGGGAGTCGAAGTGTCGGAGGAACTCCCATTTGTCTCAGGAGGAAAAAACACGATGTCAACAAAAATTTCTCACCGATAAAGCAGCCATCCGTTACTGAGGGCTTGATATCCCCTCGACAATTTTTAGTCGAAAAGAAAGCGGCAGAAATTGTTAAACGCAGATCTAATTCAGTAAGAAAACAATCGTTTCTTTTCTTTAAGAGAACATTTTATTTACAAAAATTGTCAGATTTCGAAAAGTAATAATATTTTTTTTCCCCTCACAGGTAAGCTACGTGAACGGAAAGGGTTACATGACAACGTTCGCCTCAGAAATCGCTCTAATTGAAGCTGATAAAGAAGCAGATCGAAAATACAGAGAATTAATAATGGAGGCGGAAAATATTCTTGTAAATATGCAAAGAAATCACAATACTTCTCCAGTTGTACCATCGCCGTCTAGAAAATTTCACAATGGCTTAACAAACAAACGAGTGGAACTGATAAAAAATACGGAATTAAATATAGAACTTGCTTTATCGAAAAGTAGAAATTCCCAACCGGAACTACAAAGTGGAAGTATAAAAGATTTAGAACACATCAGTCCCAAGAGACAATTTCCAAGAAATGGAAATTTAGCCATATCGAAGGAAAATCATCAAGTAAAATGCCCGGATTCTCCACTAATGTCAAGAAAAGCTTCACATGAGTCACTTATCAAGGGCCTATTGCAAAATAAAATACGCGTTGTGAATGATAATTTAACGAGAACGCAAGGATTGCCATCGAATTATTATGCCATTGAGCAAGGATCTCCAAATTTTAATAAAAGAGCCGAGTCACCGTCAATTGTAAAATCTAATGCAGAAGTTATGAAGATGCAAAATAATTATGTAATGGAGAAAAAGAATGCAACAATTCCCACTCCTTTGAAAGTGGAGAGTAATACATCCAGTTCGTCTGATTCTGAGGAACGTTGCGAAGATGTTGATAGAGAGCCGCTTCTTAATTTCAGGTTAGCGTGAAGCAAATTATATTTCTGCTACTATATAAATTCTCAATTTATTTTAATTTAATTTTTAATCGAATTTATCACTATGCGGTATTTTAATATATAACTAGCAACAATTAATTAGTTAATTAATTAATTATTCGTTAATAGGTCAATAGATATGGATCCAATTAAGGAAAGTGCATCATACTGTCCGCAAAGTGAACCAGTCAAGAGAAAAGTTTATGCAGGAAGTGTGACATTTGGAAGAATTCAAAAAACCTTGGGTGAACATAATGTACTCGGGGATACAACGAATGAAGACACAGGTAATTATCAACAATAATAAAATTTGAAAGGTACAAAATAAATTCATACTTTCACCCAATTTTTTTTTTTTCATTTACAGATGGCTCGAGAAGATCTCTTCGGGAAAAAGTAGCGCGTCTTCGACAGGAACGACTAGTAGCCGAAGCAAATTTGAACGTACAAGAAAATCGAGTTTTTCAGCAACAAATTTCCCAGATACGAAGGCAAATGCTTATGCAAACAATCGAGGGCTTAAAGCGCAGTTTGGAAGATCAATCAGCTACTTTAAAGCAAACTTGCCTAGACTCTTCGATTTTGAATGATAATTTTTCTTAAAAAAAATAATTTCGTTGCAATTCTTGAGAAAATAGAAGAGAGAAATATTAAGAGAAGAAATAAGAGAAAAAAGAGAAAAAAGAAAGAGAGAAATGTTAAGAGAAAAATACTAAGAGAAAAATGACAAACTTGATTTAATGAAACTAGGACGGATAAAAAAAAGGAGAAGAATATGAAACGAAAAGCTTCCATTTCCAGCTAAGCCAGAAACTAGAAGTTAGAAATAAAGCATAATGAGCTTTGAAGGATATCTCAAGGTAGGCAATAATCAATAAATTAATACGATTCTATAAACGAGTATACAATACAGGACAGAATTGTCAGTACACAATAGAAAAAAATTTGTAAAAAGCACACTTTTTCTTTTTCTCAAAAAATGATAAAGTCAGAGGAATTTTTCAAACTTTATTATTTTCATACAGAATGTAAAAAGAAAGGTATGTTTTTTTACAGATAATTTTCTTTTCGTTGACTGAAAATTTTGATCAATACTGTAAGTATATCATTAAAGGCTGTTAGAAAAAATAGATATCATTGAAATTCATGACGAATGTCATGAAAAATTATTCAGAGACAGTGATGCCTTTCCTGGTCTTTATAGATGCTAGGAGCTCAATTTATTCAATGATTATATTATACTATCAAAAAAAAAAATTAATCAGTAAAAAATGAATTTATCACTTTTTATAAGTATTCTTTCAATCCAATTTTTATTTCACGGAAATTAATTAATTTATATTTTTATTCTACATAATGTCCTTAAGGAAATGACAAAGTCGATGTGATTTTGATACACAGAATTTCAATGGAAAAATCGAATCGACTTTGACACCACTTTAAAATTCTGAACGTTCAAATAAATGAAATTTTTGTCTTCAAATTCAAATTTCTATTTATTATTATAATTCAGGATTGTCACAAAAATTTAATTTTGTATTTCTCAGACTTTTCTTTGATTTTCATTTGCTTACAATTCAAATTAAGTGAAATTTCGATTATTCGTTAATTCTTCAATTAAATCTATTTTAGAAAATTCTATTTCGAAAATTATAATTCTCATGAAGAATTTTATCAACAGATTTTTAAATAATTAAATTTTTTGACGAATTTTAATACAATTATTAAAAATAATTACATTTTTCGAGGAATTCGATTAAAATGGTTTTTAATTCTTATTTCAGTGAGAAATTTTTGAAAATATGTATATTAAAAATATTTCGGTTATTTGAACGTTGAACATTTTTTGGACATTGTATACAATTTTCTATATTCAATCCTGCATTAGACACGTGGATGTGGAAAAAAACAGAAAAAATTTTTCTCAGTGTTTACTGCAATTAATTGTAAATTAATAATACTCAAAACACTTGAAATAGTGACTTTGCTATACTTGGCTAGTTCTAAGAAGAAAGGGAGGATAAATTATATTTTAGAAGAGATTTGCAAAAAAAATTTTTTCTCAATTTTATAACAGAATATTGTCACCACTTCATAGAATATTCAGGCAATATTACCAATATTGAAATAATAATATTTACCAAAATTGGAACAATATTACCAATAGTGGAATAATATTTTCCAATAATGGATTTCCAATGGAACAATATTACAAATATTGAAAAAAGATTAACAAAATTGGAACAATATTGGTTTGAATTAATGAATATTACCAATATTACCATGAAGATGGTTATTCTGATAATGTTAATAAAACTTTATAAATCGGATGAATTCTGACAAAATTTGATGACAACTATAATTATAACGTATACTAATAATAAAGCCAGATAGGAACAAGCTTATATATACGATGCGTATGTATATTTTTCTGAATGAAAGATATAAGATTTATCGAAATTACAAAAAATATTTTCTGGGTGTGTTTCTTGTTAAACTTCAATAAAAAAGCACAGAAAGACCATATTTTATACGACTGTTTCGTTCGTCTGTTGAAAATTTGAAGATTTGAATGAAACAAGTTTTTCAATGTGTATACTGTTAAAGAATTAATGAGATAATTAATTATAGAATTCTATAATTAATTATAGAATGTTCTAGATTTGGCCCCAATTGACAGTTTGATAAAGATGGAAAAAAAGCAAAGTTTTTGAAAGATACCCAAATTAATTAGGCAATCAGTCTTTTTTACATTAATAGAATAAATAATTTATTGTCTATAATATACAATAGTATACTATATACAATAAATAACTTTGTATACTATATACAATAAAAATAACTTTGTATATTATATACAATACGATATATTAGGTGCATAATAGTGATGAGTTCATCATTTACTACAGACTTCTAGACAATGAGGATCTATTAGATTTTTTTCTTTCTAGAAATTATATACTGCAGTTTATTAAAAAAAAAAACTTATTTAATAGAAAAGTAATCTCAAATAACTTCCATTCGCAAAATGAAATTTATAATCATTTAAAAGTAACTAAAAAATAGGCATGATAATTGTAGGTCTTATTGATATGTTACTGAATGTAAATTATTATTTTATTTATTATAGTTCATAGTTCCTGAAAGAGAATTTAATAAAAACCTCAGGTGTTAGTTCTTATATTTGCTCTATTAAAAGTGAGAGTTCTTTTTGTTTCGAAAAAAAAGGTCTTCCGTTATAGTTTTAATGATGATAAATATATATATCCTATTTACTTGATGAATAATATTAATTTACAGTATAACATTAAGGGACTAATTGATAAATTATTGCAATTCTTCCTCTACGAAAAATAAATTTAAATACTTAAAATTTGCTTTTCTAGATTTTTAACGAACCGTTTTTACTATGAACTTTTTTTTCCAAAAATTTAAGCAAAAAGTAGGTATGACTTTTTAACAGTCAGTATAGAGACATTTAGGAATGTATTTTACACGCGTAATCCAGTAAAACGGTAGAAATTGTAATAGTAGGTACTGTATCTTCTAAATTTGAAAAAATTTACACGGACTTTGTTATTCAAAGATTTTCTTTTTACAGTTTTGTCTCTTTTATATCAAAAAGCAATGAATTACGATGAAATAAATTAGTAAAAGATGACTAATTAGTAAAAGAAGAGTGTTTAAAAAAAAATTTGCTTTGTAATTTCGTTTCGAAATAAAAGTCAAGAGATAATTTTGACTTTGAATTCAAAGTCCGAGACAAAAATCAATTTTAATTTTCAACTTATTATCATTTCTCACTTTGTCAAGAATAAAAAAATCAATTGATAGCTTAAGACGATTCTTATAGAGAGGCAAAGAAAGTGATATTTAAGAGAATAGACTGATAGTGTTAGTAATTTAAAGTGTAGAATTAATTTTACAAAATATTATTTCCCACTTAACTTATTACAATATCATAACGTATAGAATTGTAATTGAAATATGAATAGCTTCATTTGAGATTACCCAATATTAAACTTTTAGGACAGTGTAGTAACTAATAAAAGAAAAATGTTTTCAAAAAAAAAACATAGATGAGTAGTTCTTGTAGCAATAGTTAAAATTACCAAGAAATATCTACTAGTCTTTTAGATGGTTATTATCATATTTTAGTAAATGATGAAAAAATTGTACTCAGAGTACGCCTTCAAAAAAAAAAAAAAAAAAAAAAAAAAAAAAATGGGGCCCAGAAATTTGGGCATTAACTTTCGATCATATTTTATTGTATATGTACGAAAAAGTTTGCTGTGAATCATTATGATTTAAAACTAAATATTTCTCGACACTTTGTATCGAGCATTTTTGTATTTAAATATATTGTATTTATGTACATATCGACTAAGTTTAGTTGAAAGTTTGTTAAATGTTGAAAAATTTTTCACTGCAGCATTCGCATTATTTGGGAAAAATTACTTTGAAAAGTTGTCCCTCTGGTATTCTTTTCTAAATAACAAATGAAAAGGATAACAAATTGAGAGTAACGCGTTACTATTTTGAAAAAGTAAGAATAATTGTAACGAACTACATGTTTTGGATAATTTGTAAAGAAAAAGTCGTTACTTTTCTTCTTACCTTGTAATTATTTGGATTTAATGACACGTTTTGAATGTGTGGATTGTTCATGTGTATGAAAATATTTTTAAAGAAATTTATAACAAATATTAATATTAATTTTTTTTCTATGAATATTTTTTAATTTTATGTACAATCTGTGTTACAGAAAAGATAAAAATCAGTTTTTCTTTATCTTAAATATAAAGATTTCCAAAGATTTGAATTGGAAACCTTTTCAAAATTCAATTATTTCTTTTGATGATAATTAATTTCTTTTAAGCAATTTAAGTAAAATTTTACTAAAATTTATTATATTAAAGAATTTTATTAAAATTTATAAAAAGTAATTGAATTTCTGAGAAGAATTTAAATAATAATTTATGAAAATAATTGAACTCATGCGAAAAAATTTTATTAAAGTTTGTTTAAATAATTTAAATTTTGCCAATAATTTTATTAAAATTTTTGCCAATAATTGAATTCTTGAGAAGAATTTCCCTACCAATTTACAAAAATAATTGAATTCTTAACGAGAATTTTTGAAAAATTTTGAAAATTGTAATTTAATTTCAGCAAAGTATTTTATTACTTTTAAAAAAAAATCGATTCTCATGATGAATTTTAATTTTTATCAATTTTTTTAAATTTTGGAAAAGAATTTTATTAAAATTCCTTAAAATAATTGATTTTATGGGAAGAATATTGTTGTTTATCAACATAGTTTAATACTTTTGGAGAATTACTTGAAATTTTTTGAAAATAATTGATTTTCTGTGACGAATTAAAAGTTATTTATGAAAATAATTGAATTATTACAACGAATTTTATTATTTTATTGAATAATAAATTGAATGTTTCTTAAAGTTCAATCAGTTTTAATAAAATTTTTAAGAATAATTGCATTTTTTCGAGGAATTTTGAAATTTAATATTTAAAATTGCATTAAAAATGTTTGAAATTCTGCGATGAAAATAATTGAATTCCTAAAAGAAATTTTATTATTTATGAAAATAGTAAATATTGAAAATCATTGAATTGTGAAAAACTGTTGAATATAATTGAATTTTTGGAAAATAATTTTTGTATTTTGAAATATAATTGAATTCTTGACGAGATATTCGTTAAAAATTTTAAAAATAATTGAATTTCTTGGAATAATCTTATAACTTTTGAAAATAATTGAATTCTTGTGATGAATATTGTTATTTATGAAAATAATTGAATTTTGCAAAGAATTTTATAAAAATTCCTTTAAAAATAATTGAATTTCTGTGAAGAATTTTATTATTCATGAAGATAATTGCGTTAAAGCTTTTGAAATAATTAAATTATATTAAAAAATCCATTCTTGTCAAAAATAGAAAAAAATGTTAAAAACTATTAGAATTCGTGGGTAATTTCATATTTTATGAGGCAAATAAAAAAGACTCCAAAAATTCAGAATTTTTTTATGAATTGAACCGCCGGATCGTAGAAGGGCATATAGCCAATGTAATTCAAATGGGCTATATGCCCTTCTACGATCCGGCGGTTCAATTCTAAAAATTAAATTTTTTTCTACTATTTTTAATGAAAATCCCCGACTTTTCTTTAAATTCCTTGATTTTTCTGACCTGTGGCAACCCTTTTCTAATTTTCAAAAAAAGTATAGAAGGAAAATATTTCTATTAACATATTTGTAATAAATTTCTTTAAGCCCTACTTAATCGAATCCTTCCCTGACATATTATTTATGCGATCAAATCGATAATGCTTATAAAATAAGTAAGTTCGATAAAATATCGTTTTTCAAGTTTCTTTCATTGTCTTTTTAAAAGTACAATAAAGACAACTGCGCATAGAAATAATTTTTAAAAAATGTATACTTTATGTACTAAATTTTTATTGTAATTTGACATATTCTTCTTTATTTCAACTTTTTTTTCATAATTTATATAATGAAGAAAATGTAAAACTGTTTATTTACAAAAATTAACGGTTACTTTTTTGAAAGAGAAACGGTAACAAATTACTTTCTGGGAAATATTGATAACGAATTATTTATTATTTTTCTTATTACAAAAAAACTGATAACAGGGCATAGAAAAATGTCAAATTTTCTTGATTGTAAAGAAAATGACAACAATAAAAATGACTGACCTGTCATCAATTTCCTGTCATATTTTCTTAAATGTATACATGTACGACGAGAATTTATCGTTCTAGTCAATAATGACTAACACCGTTTAAAAGGTGTATTAAAATGGTACTATTGTTGCAAGCAATATCATTTATATATCAATAATTTTTTATGTATCTGATAACTGTGAATAAATAAATTATATTACAAGTGCTCAGGATTTATTACAAACGAAGAAACCATAAGCATTTATGCTAAATATAAATTCTTTTTTAAAAATCTTAATTCGATTTTTAAATTCTCATCAATATCTCGAAATATTACGACAGTTATAATAAAAAAATATCAAGGAATTTTTATTTAATTCTTTCGAAACGACTTTCAATTTCATAAATTCCCACTGAACTATTAATTTTATCACAATATTCTACCCACTCACCTTCAGCGAGATCAATGTCTGCAAATACATTTCCATTATCGCATGCTTTTGCAATCCATCCTTCTCTCGCTGAAAAATCACACGGCTCTATTCCCCGACAATCCAAACAAACAATTGTCTTAAATTTCCCCTGATCATCTGAACTATATGACTTTAAAGAATCCTCAATAATTGTCATTGAATTCTCTCGAGAACAAAGTTTACACTTGCTGACAAAGTGATTGACACCATTTCCGCGTTGTGCAGGTGTTGATTCGTCTAAAGAAGCATAATTCCATTTTTCCGAAACCTCACCGCAATTATTGCAGGAAAATTTCAAATACCAACGAAAGTCAACACCACTGGTTTTTAATTCGTCAATATTTTCGAGTGTAGCTTTTATTTGAAGAGCAATTTTAACCATTGTCAATGCTATATGCACAAATATAAATTTATAAAATATATTTGTTTTTATGGATAAAGAGGTTATGAAATATAATCGATTCAATACATACATTATTTGTCACGTCCACTAAATCATAAGTTTGAAAATATGTTGATATTAAATACTGTAATTTTTCTGCAAACAAGTTTTCTTTTTGCAAAATGACAGAAAATAATAACTTCTTCAATAGTTTTTTAACAATCTAACAACAATAAACAAAAATTTGTTCCAAATATTATGAACAAGTGTACTAACCTTTAGTGTTGCCGAGGACCTTAAGACTTTTTCAGGTTGAGTCCACAATAAAATAAATCGTCTCGACTTCGATGCGCAGTAATCAAAAATGTGTGTACGCGCATCGAATCGTCTTGAAAGTCGAGACGATTTTTAGCTATTCTGGAATCAGCCTCACAGGCTTTGCAATTCCCACACAACTGCTTGGGGAAAATTGTCCAGAACTCTACACAGATGTGTACACACCTTAATGAACAATTGTCAATGCAAACCCTGTGAATAGAGCACAAGGAATCGAAAGTAAAGCTGCATCCTTTTCTATCTCATGCAACTTTTTGCGAACAATTTTTGCGCGAACAATTGTGCGTTGACCTTCATTTTTCGCATCTCTAGCAGTGACCTCTGCAGACTCACTTCGCTTACTTTCTTGTAAAATGGTCATCAAATAAAATGTAAATATGTAATGGCGCCTCGTGTTGTTTTTGACTGCAAATGATAATTCTCATTGAATAACAAATTTATCATTGAGAGAAATTCATGTGAAAGTAAAGTTTTTCAACAAGTGAGAACGTGGCAATTTATTGTTCATTGAATGATTGTATTTTTAAGAATTTTGTGTGACGAAATTTATTGAAACGTGTGTGTACTCAAGACATCAAAAGGGGGTTGTTGCAAAGAAAAAAATGTAAAAATTACATTTTTTTTTACACTTACATTTTGTGTAGATTGTTTTTTTTGGCAAGCTTACATAATGAATGCATAGAGACATATGATTCAAATATGAAAACAAGAGCAACAGCTGAAATTGAGGTTGGAAAAATGGAACACCCATTCCTAGAATTGTTTACCCACTGTTTGTGAGTCATACGTGTTTGTTCAACGTGGTAATTGGATTTTGATTATTCGTGGAAAAAAGTAAACTATCTCATCATGGTTCATACGCCAAGTGCATATACTTATAATTTTTGGACAAAGACCCCAACAGAAGTTGTTGAACTCACATGTCTTATGCCAAATGGAGTTCTCATACCATTGGAAACAAATCGCAACACAACCCTCACTGAAATTAAAGAGGTAAATATTTATGTTGTAGACTTAATTTTTTTCCTTTTTATTTACAAAACATTGCAGTTTATTTTTAACACTTTTTTTTCTTTTTTATAAAGTGTATAAAGTACATAAGTGAAATAACAAGTAAATATTATTTCGCAACTCCTTTAAAAATCATAACGATTATAAACAAATAACAAAATATTAAAGGGTTGTAAACAAAATTATCTCAAAGAAAGGGCGCGTAAACTTAAATCAACTTTTTTTGCAATCTTTCAATTTCTAATTATTTTATTATTTTTTTCCTCAAATTTTCGAGGATAATTTTCATTTATTGACTTAAAAATAAGTTTATATTTACAAGTCACGTCATAATATATGAATAATAATGGAAAAACTCGTGATAATAAGGAATGTTTTGTGTATTTAAAAGTTCTCTATCACAAGGAAACAGTGACGTTGTTATTGCGTAAAAAATTACGTATGTCTACCTTTATTTATAAATATTTATCTTTGTTTCGTAATTTTTTTTTTCAAATTGGTTATAATGACGATAATTTCGAGTTTATAGTTTTCTATTTTTCTTTCCATTTGTCAAAAACGATTATTTGTCATATTTATTTCTTTTTATACTTAATTATTATTTTTAAAACAAAATGTGTGGGTTAAAAGGGTAAACAAAAAATTTTTTTTCTCATCTAATTCTATTTTAAGTTTTGTTTGTTTATTTAAATGTAGTAGTAGTTGTTATGTAAGAAAATTGTATTAAGTAAGAAGTTTTTTTTGTCGATAATTTGAAAAACAAAGTTGGGATAATAATAAACTGAATGCTATATATATGAATCTATTTTGAAAATTTTTTTTTTTTTGTCTTTAATTTATTTAAATTGATGTTTGTTCATGGAAATATAATCTATTGATAGTGGAATTAATTTTTTTCTTATCGAAATAAAAATTAATTTTTTTTAAATTTAGAATTTTAGGAAAGTATCAGAAATTTGTTTGTCAATCATCTTTATCGGAAGGTGCGATTAAAAGTAAAATGTGACAAGTTTGTAAAAACACGATGCAATTACACGTGTCGTTGAATAATGATAAATTTAAAGCACATGGTCATAACTTTTTTTTAATGTTGAGCAATTGATGTAAAATTTTTTTTATAGAAATTTTAAATAAGTAGTACACAAGTTTTTGCATTTATGAAATTAAAAAAACTGTTGCTTAAATATTTGATGGTATTTTTGTTTTTCTTTAAATTCTATAGAAATTAATTTAAATAAATTTATTTTCAATATTAATTCAAATTATTAATAGTAATTCAAAAAGTAAATAAATATTTTCTTGTTAGGAAAATATAAAATAATTTTTAAATTTAATTTGATTTTGTTTATGTGAATATTAAAGTTGTTAATGTTTACAGGACTTATGGGACGAAGCGAGCAAATATCCGCTACACGGTACATTAAGAGATGCACCGTCATACGTCTTCTCGTGTATTAATGCAAATGCCGAGGCAGAAGAATTACGTGATGAATCAAGACGACTGTGTGATATAAAGCCATTTTGTTCAGTGTTAAAAGTAATTGAGCGTGAGGAAGTGAAAGGAGATAGAAATTTAGATTCACAAATTGGTCTTCTCATCGGAAAAGGATTACATGAATTTGCAGCCTTGAAAAATTCCGAGGTGAATGACTTTCGATGGAAAATGAGGGTCCTCGGTGATGAAATTGCACTTGGTCGACAAAAAAAATCATGGATCGAAAAAGTAGAACATCAATATCCATTGAGACTAGCGAATTGTTCAATTCTACCGCAACACATTGAATCGAGACTCAACGATGGGAATATTGTTCTACTCACGAAATTCGAAAATACTGAGGTGAGTCTGTACTTTTTAATAAATTATAGAAATCAGAGTTGCCACAGATCAGGGAAAAGTCTAGGAATTTTATTAAAAGTACTGGAAAAGTATTAAATTTCTAGAATTCATATAAGAAAATTCTGAATTTTATTGTTCAGTAGCTTTTTTAATATATATTTAATTGATTATTAAAAATAATGGTTTTTAGAAGAATTTTAGTTAAAAACAGTAAAACAAATTGAATTTTAAATCAGTTACAAATAATTGCAGAAATTCAATTATTTTCAAAAATTTTAATAAAATTCTTTGCAAAATTTTAATTATTTTCAAAAACTTTCATCAATTCAATAATTTTTAATATTTACTACTTTAATAAAAATTCCTGAAAGAATTCAATTAGTTAAAAAAAATTTTAATAAAATTCTACGCAAACATTTCATTATTTTCATAAATAAAAAAATTTCCATATGAATTCAATTATTTAAAACAGAATTTTCCTAATAATTTTTCGAAAAAATTCAATTATTTAAATACGATTTTTATAAAAACTCTTCGCAAGAATTAAATTATTTTTTTATAAATAATAAAATTCTCAGGAATTCAATTATTTTTATAAATATTAAAACTCTTCGCAGGATTTCAATTATTTTTAATACAATTTTAATAAAATTCATTTCTAAAATTCAATTATTTTCATAAATAATAAATTTCATCGTAGGAATTCAATTATTTTTAAAAATAATAAAATTCTTCTCAGGAATTCAATTATTTCTTAAAAATTTTAATAAAATTCTTTGCAGAAATCCAATTATGTTTAAAATTTTACAAAAATTCTCGTCAACATTTCAATTATCTTTATAAATAATAATATTTTCCTCCGAAATTCAATTATTTTCAAAACTTTTAATAAAATTCTTGTCAGAATTTCAATTATTTTTAATACAATTTTCATTAAATTTCTCGAAAAATGCAATTATTCTTAAAAATTTTATTAAAATTTGTCAAGAGAATTCAATTATTTAATAAATAATTTACTTTTGTATTTAAATAATTGAATTCTCATAGAATTTTCTAATAAATATTGATTTAAAAATGAATTTCAAATTAAAATCTTTGAAAATTTGAACTTTTCATACTTTTAATTAAAAAATTAAATTAAATTGTAAACAAAAGAATTTAAAAATTCACAAAGAACTTCTTCAAAAATTTACTTAAAGAAGAAAGTTGAAAATTAAATATTTGTTTAAAAATAAAGTTATTGATGTTTTTGAATAATTTTCGTTAAAAAAACCTGGAAAAGTCAGGGAATATGAAAAGAGCAAAAGCGTAGCAACTCTGAATAATTTTAGGGGAATAAATTCTTTTCAATTAATTTAATAAGTAAATTAGAAAATAATTTTTTATTAACTCTCGTAATGTTAAAAATTATAGTATCAAATAAAAAAAGAAAATTATATTTTATATAAAAATGTCTTGATATTAATTATAAAAGAAAATATCTCTAACAGCTTTGTACAATTTTGCTGTGAATTAATATTAATTTTGTGTAATTTTTACTTGTTTGATTCATCACTGGAAATATAAACAATCGGATAATTCGCTTGTTTTGCCTTTAGTTCACGTATGTAACTTTTTTTCGGCTCAATAATTGTATCCTCTGTAAATCGTAGAACTTTTTTCTCTTTCATCTCATTTGTATATTTCGATGTTTTTGATAATGTTGGTTTTAAAATTGACGAATTACCAGCACTCTGTAAGTTCTCCTTATTCGATTCTTTTGCTTTAAATTTTTGTTGAATATCATCTAAACGAGAACTTGTGGAAACTGGTTGAAAATCTTCCAAGTCCGGATTCATTTCAACTTTTAACTTATTCATATTTGGTTGAATTGGCTCTGTCATTGACATGTCGTTAGTGAAATTTAGAGTTTTTGATATTTTACTCAAACTTGTGGCATTTCTGTCATTGGCAATAATAGTTGTTTCTAAATTAGAACTGTTGTTTAACTGTGTTGTTTCGATTGGTAGTGTCATGGACATATCTTTCGTGAAATTTAAAGTTTTACAAATATTATTCGATTCTTCTTTGTTGAAGTTACAAAGAACGGTTGTATCTAAATCGATACAGGAATCATTCTTTGATATTTCGCCTGTTAATGTGCTGTCAAAATTCGACAATGCTTTTGGTTGAATTAATTTCTCTAGTGAGAAACTTGTCTCGTCGAGTACTTTTGGTTGTAGACTCGATTCCGGTTCATCTTCAAAGTCATCATCGATTTTCAAACTTTTATTGCTCATTTGATTTTTTAATAATTGCTGAATTTCGCTTGTTGAGTAATTTGGATTTTCTTGTAATTGATTTTGTAACGCTGACAGATTTGCCTGATGAAAAGGAAAATTTCTTATTAATCGAATTTCAAAGTGTAGAAATTTTAAAAAAATGAAGAATTTTTTGTTTTACCTCTAGAGACAGTGCCTTGTATTTCCAGTATCGCAAACGACTTTTCAATTTATAGGAGAATTCTTCTTTGAGTAAAGTACGAATTGAATTGTTTTCAATTTGTGTCTGTAGCTCCTCGATATCTTTCTTTTTTGATTTTAGTAATGTTTGTAGATAACTGAAAGAAAATAAATATTAATAAAGGAGAAAAGTTTTGTAAATTTATAAATTTAATTGAAAGGAAAATTTCAATTTTAATTTTAATTTTAATTTCAATTTTTTTAATTACTTCATATTGGAGTTTGTCTCTTGCTCCTTTTGCAGTTCTTTGCTCTTCTTTTGTTCCTCCTTTAATCTATTTTCCAAATCTCTGATTCTTGTTTTATAGGAATCAAAGAGGGCTTCTTCTTGTTCAACGGATTCAAGACATGTTTCTTCATATTGTCGAACTAATGTTGCACGTTCTAATTTTAATGTTTTAATTTGATTCTCCTTTAGTTTATAGGTTCTTTGCATTTCGAGATAACTCGAGCGCATTGATTTCATTTTTTCCAACATATGCTGACGACGATCCTCCACTTCGGCGAATATGGAATTTCCTGAAATTGGGAGAAAATAAGAAATTTATTTTTGATTTGAAATTTTTTTTCTATTTTTATTCTTATTTTTTTATTCTTTTTTCTACCTTTTTGATCACCATCGGTAGGAGCCGTTTTGAGGCTATTTAATTCTATACGACAATTTGCAAGTTCTTCCTGTGTGTTTTCGATAATTTGATTTTTTTCCTCCATTCGTGTTCGAAAATCCTGAGAAAAATGTAAATTATTTTAAATCTTTTTTTTGCGCACGGAACGTGATATTAAATTAATTATTATTATTATGCAAATTACAAAATTTTTTATTTTCAAATGTGAATATTTTAATAATTTCAGATTCAAACTTTTAAAAAATTCAATTATTAACTAATTTATTAATTAATTCTTCATGTTTATTAATTTCAAAAATTTTAATAAAATTCTTTGTGGGAATTCAATTATTTTCGTAAATAATAAAATTCTTCGAAAGAATTCTATTATTATTAAATTTTTTGATAAAATTCTTTGCAACAATTCGATGATTTTCAATACATTAATTTTAAAATTGAAAATATTTAAAAAGATAACTGCGAACCGTTTACCGGAATATAACGATTATTAATATATATTTTACTCACTTGTATTATTGATTGTAAATCGGTAATTTGATTCTGAAGAGAGGTATTAAAATTTTCTAATTGAACAAAATTATTGTCCCTCTCTTCTAGAATCATCATCAATTCTTTCACTTTACTATCATTTTCTTCTGTTGATGTAAATGTTGTTGTTTCCTCAAAAGTTGTCTCTTCCTGTATCGATGGTAATTTTTCCTGTTGCTTCAGTAGTTTATTTTGACTTTCTAAAAATATATTTTCTTCTCCTCTCAAAACTAAATCATCCTCGAGTTCTTTTATTCGAGACTGGAAAACTTTTCTTTCCTCGCTGAATCTTTAATTTTTTAATTAAATTATAAATTGTAATAATAATATTTTTAATATTATAAAAATATATATTTTTAATATTATAAAAACCCTTTCGTTATGAAAATATATATTTTTAAATTAATTTAAAAAGTATATGATATTTCTAAATTTACTTACTTGTCTGTTAATTGTTGAATTGCAATATTAAGTGTTTCTGATCGTTGAACGGAAGCTTCTTCATAGAGTTCTTTAATTTCCTCATTCATTGCCTTTGCTGTTTCTAATTCACGTCGTAATACGTGAATTGTTTGTTGATAATCTTCATTGTTGCTTGTTAATTTTGTAACTTGAGATCTAAGAGAAGAGGCTTCTTCTAAAGACTCATTAAATAATGATTCAAAACCACTGTTTGTAAATGATTTGTCTCCCATTTCTTTTGGTTATGTTGTTCAGTTTGTTTTATTTCACTTTCTTTTCTTTAGGGCAAAACATACAAAATAAATATTTAAAAACAAATTAACGATAACATAAATAAACTTGGTGTCTATTCTAAAAATACAATTTTCAACACAGAAAAATCAAGAAACTGCCTCCAAAATTTATTCCATGTTTTGTTTTAGTTTTAACGGTTTCAGTGTCGATGACCGCGCGATGGTTTGTAAAAACAGGAACCACGAAGTCGAATGTTTTCGTTGCGTCGGTAAAACAGAATCGAATTATTCGAATTTTTAGCAGAATTTAAAAAAAAATTCTATTCGAATTAGTTTAGTAATTAATATTTTGTATAATTAATAGCAGAATTGAAAATTGTTCAAATTTTTTATTTGTATTTCAATTTTTTTCCTTTATGTATTTATTATTATTTATTCATTATTAATTTCTTTTATTATCCTTTAATTATTAATTCATTTTTACATCATAATAATTAATTTATTATTTAGGAAAATAATTAAAATCTCGTGAGGAATTTTGTTAAAATTTTTTGAAAATTCTAATTAAATTCTTTTTCAAGAATTTCTTTGTATTTTTTTTTTTTAAATAATGGAGTTTCTTTAATAATTTTAATTAAAAATTTAATTATTGAATTTTATTAGAATTTTAAAAAATAATTGAATTCTTTTGAAAAATTTTATAAAGAATTAAGAAAATTAAGTTTGAAAAGTATTGTTTATAAATTATAATTATTGACTGTTTTCTTTTTTATGTTTCAGACAACTTTTTCGTTTCAAATATCACACTCAACGACTCCTCATCAATTGCTGGTTCAAATATTAAATAAACGGGCGAATACATTAATGTCCCGGGGAGAGAGACCTGGTGACTTTATTCTTAAAGTTTGTGGACAAGAGGAATATTTAATTGGCGAATATCCGGTGATACAATTCATCTACATTCAAGAATCACTGTCAAGGGATACGACGCCCGTTCTTTTGGTTCTCAGTCGGGAAAATGTGATTCTCGCTAATGAAACTGCATTTGACAATCCCGAAGCGGATACATTAAAGCGTACAAGACCCTCATCATCAACATTAACACTGCGAAGAAAAGGCAAACTCATATCAGTCTGGAAAATTGAGGATCAATTTTCATTTACCGTTAATGGCATATCCAGACTTAATTGCGACGCCGCTCATCGAACAGTTGAGGTAAAACTATCATTTAATTTATTAATTAATATATCAAAAAGAAACAAGATTAATTTTCATTGTCTATTCTTTTTTTAGATTGGCCTTCAAGCGGGCCTGTTTCATGGTGGAAAATCGCTGTGCGAGAGTCGAAAAACCAAAGAAACTGTCGTGAATTTAGACGGCAGTTGCGAATGGGAGGAAACGCTCAAATTTGATATTAAAGTCCGTGACATTCCGCGAATGGCGAGACTTTGTTTTGTGCTGTACGAAATCAGCAAGACTGCAAAAGGACTGAAAAGCCGAAGACTGGTGAAAGACTCGAAGCAGGAGTATTTTATCAATCCCCTATGTTGGACGAATACAACAATTTATGACTTTAAAAGTCAGCTCAAAACTGGCGCAATGACACTTTATACGTGGACATATGCCGAGGATATGCAAAACGAAGATTTGCTTCATCCACTTGGAACAGTTGTTTCCAATCCTCATATTGATCGCGCTGCTGCTTTAATGTTAACTTTTCCCAAGTGAGTCAATTTTCATTTTTTTGAAATTTTACTTTCAAATAATTATTTTTGAAACTAATAAAATCCTTATCACAAAATTCAATTATGTTAAAAATTTTCAAGAAAATCTCGACAAAATCCCAATTATTATCTATATAACTAAAAAAATTCTTCTTCAAAATTCAATTATTTTCAAAACTTTTAATAAAATTCTTGTCAAAATTTCAATTATTTTCAAAAATTTTCCTCATTTCAATGATTTTCAATATCTACTATTTCAATAAAATTACCCAAAAGAATTAAATTATTTTCAAAAATAATAAAATTCTTCGCAAAAATTCAATTATGTTCAAAATTTTTTTTACTAATTCTCGTAAAAATTTCAATAATCTTTAAAAATAATACAATTCCTTACGAAATTCAATTATTTTCATAAATAATAGAAATTGCACAGGGATTTGTCTTCGAAATAATTGAATTTTTTTCAAAAAAATAATATAATTTTTACAGGAATTCAATTATTTTTATAAATAATAAACATCTTCTGAAGAATTAAATTATTTTCAATAAAATTTTATGAGAAGATTAAATTATTTATAAAGTTTATTATTATAAAACGGAAAAATTCAATTAATTTCTAAAATTTTTAAAAATTCTTCTCAAAGATTAATTTTTTTTTTAAAATAATTAAATTTTTCTCAAGAATGCATTAAATTTTCAAAATTTGTAATAAAATTCGTCGCAACAATTCAATTATTTTTATAAATAAGAAATTTATTCTCAAGAATTCGTTTATTTTCAATAAATTTTTAATAATATTTCACGAAAGGATTCAATTATTTAAGAAAATTATTAAAATAATGAAAGAATTCAATTATTTGCGAAAATTTCAATAAAATTCTTGACAAAATATGAATAAAATTTCAAAAATTTTCCTGAATTCAATTATTTTCAATATTAATATAATTTTCCTAAAGAATTCAATTATTTGTAATTTTTTTTAAATCTCTTAATAATAATTCAATTATTTACAAAAAATAATAATTTTATCACTGGATTATCTTTAATTTATTATAAATTGTTTAATTTCAAAATGGTTTGAATTTGAAATTTTTGATAATCCTAATTCCTATGGAAAAATAATAATGATTAAAATTATTTATTTAAAGAAAAAGTTATTGATTTTTGCGAATAATTTTACTTTTAGAGAAATTTGCAAATAAAAGTATTAGAGTAATCATTTTTGGAGTAAATTAAAATATTCTTTAGGATAAGGGAAAGAGTGAAAATTTTGTCTGGAAATCAGGGAAAAATCAGGGAAAAAGAAAATTTAATTTTTGTGTCAACCCTGAATCTTAAATGTATTTTTTTATTTTTTTAAACTAAAATTGAGAAAGTGTATTTTATTTCAGTTATGGAAAAGATAAATCCGTCTTGTATCCGTCGCCGGACAAAATGGTGGAGTATGCGGCAAAATTGCAAGAATCTTCGGAAGAGTCGTTGGAGGAGGAACCGAGCCAAGACACTGATGCTAATACTCTACAACAATTGGAGCAATTGAGAGCATTAGCGGATAGAGATCCCTTACATGAACTTCACGAACAGGAGAGAAAGACTATGTGGCTCTTAAGGCATCACTGTCTCAGAAAAATACCATCACTCTTGGCAAAGCTTCTTCATTGTGTTGAATGGAACGATCACAGGTATATTAATTTTTTTTCTAATTCTAATTCTAAGCTAAGCTTTGAAACGTGAAAAAAACAGAAATATTCGATTTCTGAATTGAAATTGAAAGTAATTAAAGAAAATTGTGTTTATTTTATTGTTCTTTAAAATAGGGAGGTTGCGGAAGCGACGGCACTGATTCAACAATGGCCAAAATTACCAGTGGAACGGGCTCTTGAATTATTGGATTACGCATACGCGGATCAAAATGTTCGAAGTTTTGCCGTACGTTGTTTACATGACGTTAGCGACGAGGATCTCAGTCTATTTCTACTTCAACTCGTTCAAGCCTTGAAACATGAAAGTTATCTTTCATGCGATTTGACTGAATTTCTACTCAGAAGGGCTCTCAATAACCAAAGGATTGGTCACTATTTATTTTGGCATCTGCGGTGAATATTTCATTTTTCCTTAATCGCATTCATTAAAGACTCAATTATTAAATATAAATTGCATTTATTCAAATATTTCAAGAATAAGAATTTTATGACATATTTATTATATTTATGACTTATCTTATTTACTTTTTGGAAATTATTTTTTGAATAGTATTTTATTATTTATTTTCACGGATGTTTCAATTAAATTAATTCAATTAAATTTAATTAGAATTTGCATCAAATTAGTCCTTTTAGTTTTACATTTTTTAATTTTTTAGTTTTACATTAGAAATTAGTTTCTATTTTTTTTTTTTTTACTAAAGTTACACCTGATTAGTAAGACTAATCGAATTTCAATTGATTTAAATTTTGATTCATTTTAACGAGAATATTTTTTATTTCGATATTTCTTGATGCTTATATTTTTGTTTTGGTGTAAAAGATCGGAGATGCAGGTCGGTTCGGTTTCGGTACGATTTGGCCTGATTCTGGAAGCTTACTGCCGAGGAAGTCAACAGCATATGAGAGCACTGTTCAAGCAAATGGAATGTCTAGATAAATTGAAAACAAGTATGGAGCAAATGAAGTTGCGGGGAAAAGATCGAAAGGCCGTTTTACAAGCTTTTCAGGACTTTATTCAAGAGCCTCATTGTCAAGATACACTCTTGAATGTTCTCAATCCACTGGATCCGGTCTTCAAATGGAATCGAATCAAGTAATTAACGATAATTAAATAATAAATAATATTAAAAAATAATAATAATAATATTACTTCATTTATAAATTCATTGTTTGCTTTTCAGAATCGAGAAGTGCAGAGTAATGGATAGTAAGAGACGACCGCTTTGGCTTGTTTTTGAAAATATCGATCCCTTTGGTGATGATATTTATTTGATTTTAAAATACGGCGATGATTTGCGACAGGATATGTTGACGTTGCAAATGCTTCGAATTATGGATAAATTGTGGAAAAGAGAAGGATTGGATTTACGTATGAATCCATACGGTTGTATTTCGACTGAAAATCGAATGGGTCTGATTGAAGTTGTTCACAATGCGGAAACGATCGCTAACATACAAAAAGTTAAAGGCATTTTCTCAGCTACTGCAGCCTTTAAGTGAGTTTTTGTCTTGTTCTAGATTATTTTTTTTTTTTAATTTCTCAAAATTCATTTAACGTTCTAAAATATTTTTAAAAATTACTTTTAAATTATAGTAGAAAAACGAATTTTTAAAAAATTATTTTTGCAAGCAGAAATTAGATTACCTAGGTATTTAAGTCTTTGGAAATAATAAATTAAAATAATAAATTGGTTAATAAGTAAATTTTTCAATTTTGAATCTGAAATTATTTAAAAATTAAAGTTGATATTTAAAAATAAAAAAGTTTATAATATTATTAGTATTAATTAATGCTGAAATTACTTATCAATATTAATAATAGTATTGCTTATTAATTTTAGTTATTTCAATTAATGTTAATAACCTTCTTAAATTGTCTATTTTTCTTCGTTTGTTTTTAATTTTTTAATTTCCTGATTCGCAGGAGAGGATCGCTTTTGGCATGGCTAAAGGATCACAATCACACCGAAACGGAATTAAATAAAGCAATTGAGGAGTTCACATTAAGTTGCGCAGGCTATTGCGTTGCAACTTACGTGCTTGGAATTGCAGATCGACATTCGGACAATATAATGGTGAAAAAAACGGGACAATTATTTCACGTTGATTTTGGCCATATTTTAGGACATTTTAAAGAAAAATTTGGCTTTCGACGTGAACGTGTTCCATTTGTATTGACAAATGATTTTGTTCATGTGATTAATAAGGGACAAACGAAAAAAGGACAAGCCGTTGAATTTCAACGTTTTCAAAATTATTGCGAGCAAGCTTTTCTTGTTTTAAGACGTCATGGAGGTTTAATTCTTTCTCTATTTGCAATGATGATCTCCACCGGACTTCCGGAACTCTCCTCGGAAAAGGATCTCAATTATTTGCGAGACACTCTCGTAAGTAGAATTTCTTTTTTTATTAAACATTTTTTTATTTTAGTATTTATTTTCCTTTTTTTATTTAACAGGATCTAAACATGTTTTAAATATAAATTTCTATTTTCTTTTCCTCTATTATTAATAGGTTCTCGAGATGTCGGAAAGTGAGGCACAAAAGCATTTCAGAAGTAAATTTGACGAAGCTCTTTGCAATTCGTGGAAAACTTCGCTCAATTGGGCCTCGCACAACATGTCAAAGAATAACAAGACGACGTAATTTATGTTCGTTTCCTGTTCGGTAAGACTGTCTCGTTTTTAATCGTTAGAATAATTCTTGTAACGAGAATCATTCATTTCTTGAGTATTTTGCAATTTACGATTTATTATTCTACATTTTTCTTGTTTCACGTAAATATAGAGATAGAAAGAGAGAGAAAGAGAGTTAAAGAAAAATTTAAGAATTATTCCAAAAGTTTTGAAAGAATAAAGATTAAAGTAAAAAGGAGGACTCATTGAATTTTCTTTTTGCTGGACAAACGTTTGTCTTGAGTTTTTCTTTAAATTTAATCTTTATACTTTTGATGCTTTTTGAATTCGTTTCTAGCATTGTGATAATTTTGAAGCAATATTAATTTGGCTAGAACGCATTTTTTCCTTCGTGGACTTATTTACAGACTATAATTAAACTACATGACCTTTTTCTAATAAGAAGAAAATATAATTTCTGGATTTCTGAATTATAAATAAAGAAATCGAATTATTTCGCTCTTTTCTCGAGAAAGCTCAGATTATTCGTCTGTTTGTCGATGCAAATAAATTCAGTAATGCGAATTATTAATTTTATTTTTAAAAAATCGTTTCAAAATTTTATTTTAATAATTATTATTAGAATTATAAAACAAATAAATTGCTTAGACAGAAGTGAATGAAAAGAGATTAAAAAAATTCAATCTGTAGAAACAAATTTTCCATTAATGGTTACAAATTAGAAACAAAAAATACAGGTTTTAAATTCGCATCTTTGGATTTATTTTCATTATACAGCGAATAAAAATTTATACTGTGAATTTCATCGACTGATATTGAATGGTTGAATGAGGATTAGTAAATTTAGATTGTAAATAAATAAAATTAATTCGCCGTAAGTCTATTCGTGCTGCGATATAATTAGTATGAATGACGATTGATAGGAAATGAACCAATTTAAAAAAGAAAACAAAATATTAAATAAAAAAAAAACGATGAAAAAAGTTTTTCAACGTTTTTATAAAAAACTTCATTTTGAAACATGAAGTTATTAATTTTTACAAAAAAAAAAATGGAATTCAGTAAAATCTGTGATAAAAAAAGAATACAGCAGAAGGAATTTAGTAATTTTATTTTTCACTCTAAATAATTTGGTTCAGTTCCACTAATTTCTTTCGTTGCCCAGATTGTAGTCGTTTCTCTGGGGGTTTTTTTAGGCAAAGTATTAAGATTTACATTCTATATGAAAAAGTATTCTGTTAAAAATTAAGAATATTCGATTCATTGACACAATATTGTAATTATAAACCGAAGAAAGAAAATTAAAATAAAACTACAAATTTTGTATCAAAAACAGTTGAAAATTGTAAAAACAATGAATGGTATATTAAATTAAAATGCATAAAAATTTATTTTAATTTTTTATATAATAAGTTTATTGAAAATTGCGTCAATGGATTGAAAATACTTAAAGCTAGTTCGACTTGATCGGAAGAGTGCGGAGGAAAATTGTTAATAATTTTCTCGCAGCTCTTCGCAAGTATTTAAAAAAATTTTTCCACTTTGGAATCAAAGTTTGGGTGATTTTTCAAGTAGTTGACTAGCACAATTTTCAAACAAATATATTAATAAATAAAATTCAAGAAAGAAATGAGTTTTGAATTTATCGACAAAAGAGTATTAATTAATCAAAAAAATTTAATTAATTGAATTAATTAAATTTATCAATTTATCAATCTATCGATTCGAAAAGTTTACAATTTTTAATAATTTGATTTTATTTATTAATTAATAATAACGTGTTTATTAATTCATAAATAAAATTTATTAATTCACAAGTAGAAATTTTATTAATTAATATTAAAATTTTATTTATTTTCTATTTATTGTTATCGAATTAAAATTTATTTAATTTGAGAGAAAACGTTTAGGAAAAATTTTCAAAACACATTTTTTTCTTGAAAGCTAAAAAAGGTGATAAATAGAAAAAAAATTTAACGTGAATTCTACTCAATTGACCATTACCTAGGTCTTTTGTGCTGTAAAAACTTATCTTTTCTCAACGTTAATTGTTTCTAAGATTTCGCAAAAAATTCTTTTTAGATAATAATAAATACAATTCTCAAGGCTTTTTTTCGTGACTTAGAAAAATAAAGCCTCCGATGAGAAAGAGTTGGATCAGTAAAATAAAAATATCTCATTTTGGAGTTTGAATAAATTAATTCTTTATAAAATATAATAAAAAAATTCCGCGCAAGAGAATAATAAAAAAGAGAAAAAAATTTTATGATCCACTCTTTTTCAATTATATAGTAATTTTGAAATTTGTTTAGCACTATATATAAAAAAATATGCAATTTAAATTAGGGAAAATTTTTTTTTCGTAGGTTTAATTTTTTTTTAGTTCGAGATTAGTTTAAATTAGTTTTCTTCTTTTTTTCTTGTGAGGCATAATAATCGGAAAATCATTTCATTTTTGATTTCTATAATTAAAATTTATTAATTATAATGATCGAATTAATTTCACATTCAGAAAGCGCGATTTAAATTTTTTTTAAGTGTTTAAAAAATAAAAAAAAGAAATCGTATTGTGAAGTGTGAGAATGAAATGACTTGTGGTAACTGATTCTTTTTATTAATTAATTTTCTTTATAATTTTAATGATACATTGTAAATACCTTCAAACATATTCAAAATACCAAACTTATTGTATGTCTGCGCTATTTATAAAATTCACTGTACGAAAAGTAACGAACAAAATAAAAGCGTATTAGTTGAGATTTTTACTCTCGAAAAATTCCAAGATTTTAATTTATTTAAACAAATGTCTGTTCCCGCTAATTTTTTAAAAATTAAAGTATGAAGTTGCCTGCAAATTGTGTCGGTAACTTGAATTCGGTAGTACCAATCGTACCAATTTACTGTTATTTGATTATTTCAGTTCTGATTTTTTAAAAAATAGGAATATTTCTTATATTAAAACGTAATCCTTTCTTAAAAAAGACATGGAGTAGAAAGGTCGAATGTATCGAAAAGTATCGAAGTAAAGAATGGGCATTGAGAATGTATCTTAATAGAAGGGTGTTTTTAAAATTGTTTGTACATGTGAAGGTGGCGCTGCAGTCGTATGTTATTTAAAAAGAGCGCGAATATATAAATTTTATTTTTGTTAATAGAAAGTACTCATAATAAATCTTATTTTGCAATGTCAAAAAAAACGTCAACATTTCAAATATAAATAAGCAAATTATTAACTGAAAATATTTGAATATTATTATTAATAAAATAATGGACTTGGATAATGGACATATAAAAACTAGCACCGTAGACGGCCGCTTGCGGCCGTCGGAGGAGCTAGTAATAGAAAAGAAGTATTAAAATACTAATAAAAAACTATTAACAATAATAACTATATTAATAAAAAAAACTAAATATTTTCATTTTTATTTAAAAGTACGCGCCAATGCAGATGGCGTCCGGAAACGCATGCGCAGGAGTTTGACATTTTTTTTGGCAACAAGACGACGGTTTTATGCAAAAGAGTCTGTGTGCGTGCAATAAAAAAAGAAGTGTCAGATTTTTAATAATAGTTGCTGATCTAAATTTATCAGGTTTACGAGAACTGTTTTGCCCCGTGTCCATGTGTTAATAAATTTAGAGACTTGTGACAGAAAAGAGTTGAAAAAAAGAAGAAAACCAAGTACCAGGAAATGTAGAGAGTCCTACGTTATCAAATAATTAATGACACGCAATTTCGTGCGATTACGCTTTTTTAATTTAATACATTTCATAAAAAGTTCAAGATTTATCCCAATTGTAAGTAAATTTTCTATTAATAGTTTTTTCGTAAGCACATTATCAATCGAACCGCTTCGCCTCATAAATGTTTTTAGTCATTCTTTTTCCTTTTACGATTATGTTATCGATAATCATGAAAACAATCGCCTATTAAAAATGAATGGCGGATTGATTTTATTGATTTTAATAATTTATGCAACAGATTGTATTGTTAATCGTAAGAGGAAAATAATAATTATTAAAAAAAACATGAGAAGTAAATGGAGTAAAAGTATATAAAAATCATTTCTTAATATTCGTATATGGAGGTTATGAAGTGGATGATTCAGAGACAGAGCAAACATCAGTTTACAGTGTTTACACACTGCTGATGTAATTTTGGAATAGATTATCGATAATAAATGTTTCGCGAATTAAATTGCGACGTTTTGACGTTTTGTTGCAATTTGAATAAATGGAATAAATTTACAATATCTGTCGATTTAGAGAAAGAGGTTATAATTTTTATCGCGCGGTAAATATATATATATATTAAAAGAAAAAGCAGAGGGAGGATTGTAAAATGAGCAAGGTCTTGTCTTTAAATCAAGTCTCTCGGAGACTTGAATAACCTTCCTTCTATTCCCTCTCTATTTTATTTCTTTCAAGGGGGGATATGTATATTTTTAGATGTGAACATGTGCTTCAGCTCATGAGTTTCAAACTTTTAGTGGTAAAATTTCATTACCTCCAGAATGTTGGAATGACAATTTCAAACTCGAGGAAAAATTTCTCTTTTTTTGTATTTAAAGTTAAATAGTGAAATATTTAAAAATAATAATGGTTCTCACTAGGAAAATGGAACATGATCGTCAAATGCGAAATACGAGGTCACGTTCATTAACACCACAAGTTTTGAGTCAAAATATCGACTCGGAAACAACAGATCATCACTATGATCTGAGAAAAAGAAGTCGTGAACGATCTTATACCCCCGGGGAGGTCTCCAGCAGCAGAAGATCAAGTTCAAGATCACTGTGAGTTTTTTTTAAATAGTTCGCATATAAATTTCAAAAAGTAATTTTTGTAATTTGTTTTCTTGCAAAAAAGAATCACATCAGGTTTATTTTAAGTTCTCTTTCATCTCAGACAAAAAGAGACGATTTCCCTTTGAAAGAAGTGATGTATTTATGTAAATAGAAACTTTAGAAATTTTACTAAACACCAAATTTTAATAATACCTAACTGACTATTTAAACTTTTGATTAGCTATTTTAAATAAATTAAAATACAGGCCTCGGATATTATGACATTTTCGACTTTTTTCGAATAATGCGACTTTTATCGACTTATATTAAAAAATTGCTACTTTCTCGATTTTCGCTCCAAATTTTGCATCAAAATACCACATTTTTAGTATAAACTTCAACTTATTTCGATTTTTATAGTGTGAAAAGTATAACAATAGACAAATCTTTGAAAAGTTATTTTAGAATAATTTTTTTAATTAAATTTTTAAAATATACAATTAAAAAGATTTTTAATAATTGAAATTTTGTACAATTTCATTGAAAATAAAATCATTTTTTTCACGTATTTTAATACAATTTTTGAAAAAAATAACTTTTAAAGAATTTTAATTAAAAATTTTTGAAATAATATTGAATTCTCAAAAATTTTAATGAAAATTAGATTATAAAAATATTTTTGAATAAACTAATTTTCAGAGTTTTTTCATTCTAATTTTTTAAAATTCAATTATTTTCCATATTTTCGATAATATATTATCAAAAATTCAAATACATTAAAAATAATAATAGCATAGAAATATTTTTAACATTTTGGAGGAAAAAAAACATTTTTAATATTTTTAATTGAAATACTTAAAAAAATTTATTATTTTTTTTTTTTGAGTTATACAAAAATTCTTTTTTAAAATTCAATTATTTTCAAAAAAATTACATTAAAATATTTATAAAAAACTATTTCTTCGAATTGTCTTATCATAATTTTTAAAGATTTAATTACCGTCATACAAAGTAAATTAAAATCTATTAAAAATTTACTTCTTTAAACGTATTAAAATTTCAGAGAGATTTTTAATTAAAATTCTTTAAAAATTTGATTATTTTTTTAAATATTTTTTAAAAACTTAATTATTTTGAAAAAATTTTATCAAATTTCAATTATTTTTCGAAAATTTTACCAAATTTTAATTATTTTTTAAAAGATTTTACTAAATTTCAATTTTTTGTCCATTTTCTAATTGTATGTAATTGTAAAAATATTGTCTTTCGAAAATTATTTAGAAATATTTAAAAAAAATTTATTTTAAGAATTACTTTATTAAAATTTTTCTATTTTTCTTTAATATTCTTTAAAAGGGATAATGAACAGTTTCAATTATTATAAAAAATTGAATTTTTGTATTAAAATAATTGAATTCTCGAAGAACTTTCGGAAAATCATTAATAATTAATATAGATAATTGATTTAGAGATAAAGTTTAGTTCAAAATTATAGAAAATAATTGAATTTTGAAAGGGTATAGTTGTAATTTTTAGAAATTATAAATTTCAGAAGTTGAAATTTTTAAAATTTTATTTCCCGTGAAAAAAGAAATAAAAAGTATTTAAATATTTATTTAGCAAAATTATTCAAGTTTTAATTAATTGAATTTAGAAATCAGTGAAGAATCAGGAAAATACAAACTAAAATTTTTTCTGACAACAGTGAATTAAATAAACGACTTTTTCGTTTTTTCGATTTTTTTTATTTTTAATCGACTTTCTTGGTTCGTTAAAGTCGATTCAAGGCCTGAAAATAGTAAAAAAAAAATGAACTAAGAAGTTAATTTATTTAACTGAAAGTTCATTTTTTATAATTAAAAATAAAAAATCTACAGAACAGTGAATGCAAAGAATCAGGAGCAAAACATGGATGTGATAGAAGAGCGAGAGGACGAATTTGAAACACAGAAAGAAATTCAGGAGAATGTCACTGGAAAGAAATCCACACGACGTTCTGAGCGGCAGCGAGTTAAGAGACAAACTGTCTCTAATGGTCAGAATGAAGTGAAGGATAATGCAGCAAATGCAAAAATTGAGCGCAAAAGAAAGAGTGTAACGCCAAAAAAAATGCTAACCAGTGATTATTCCTCGGAGGATGGCGAACGAGAGGATCCTCCAAGTCGTCCTGGATCTGCATACGAAATTTATAAAAAAGCCGGTGAATGGTGGAAGTAAGTTCAATAATATTATTTTTACCAGAAAAAATATATTTTGTCCCAATACGAAAACTTTCTTTTCAATTAATTGAAAATTTTATGATTTATTTAAAAATAAATTAAGTGGATAGCAGAAAATAAAGATTTTTTCTTAATAAAATAAAGTTAATACTAAAATTAAGTAATAAAATTAAAACACCTTTTTCTCAGTTAAAAACAAATTAAAAATTGTTTTCTTTTAAAGGAAAAAAGGAATAATTTTATTAATTTGTCAATAAAAATAATACTAATTTCAATTTCTACAAAAAAAAATCATATTAATATATTGAAAATATTCTTTCAAATTAGAAACATGATTTGATTTGTCCAAAAACGTTTGTTTACCTTCTTTCACAAATAACATTTGAAATGCCCTCTGTAGAAAATACAAGGTGTTCAATATTACATATTTCTCATAAATATTGTATTTTATATTCAGTATCAATTTAGAGACGATTGAGAAGTTCGAAATTTTTTTCAATTTTCTTGACTTTGCCTTTTTTGAAAGGCTTACATAATTTCTATTCATCTTGATTAGATATTTTTGAAATTGTAAAATTCTGTTGATTACTTTTTTTTTAATTGTTAAAACGAAAAAAAAAATTGAAAAGAAAGTGAAAAATGTTCTTGTTTTCTAAAACATACATTTATGATTGCAGTGTATTTCCTAAAACTGATTACACGTATTCTCGTGCATCGCAATGTCGTTACGAAATAGCTCCAGGCGTTTTGGCTATGCCTAATATGTCCCGGCGTTCCATTCATTCTGATTGCAGTAGCACGCACGGCAGTTCGATATCAAACAGTCATCAAAGTTTAAATCTCGAGACTGGCGAACATAGTGGTGGCGATATTGTCGATATTTCCTCAATTAAAGAGGATAACATGGTATGTTTTTTGTTTTGAATATTTCTTTTTGAATGATTATTATTAAATTATCATTATTGTACAATCAAAGGTTATTTTCATTTTTATTTTTTTTTGATAATTTGGAAAATTGAAGGTGATAAATGGTAATTACTTTCGGTATCATATAATGTTTTCAGAAATTTTATAATATCTAAAAATATTATGGTTATTAATTTTATCTCTGTTATCTCGATTTTTTATTATTATTACTAATTTGTTTATTGATATGATATTAAAAAGCATTAAAGTCTTTTGTATAAAGAATTTATATTTATTACCGAAATTTTTATTTATTTATATTAATATTATAATCCAACTAGCACGCGCGCGTGAAATTTTAAAGGCCATTGTTAGATAAAAAACTTTCTTTTTGAAATTTAATAAAAACTTATTTTTTAAAAAATACAATTTTTCGAAATTTTGAAAAATACGAAAAATATTTTTCAAAAATATGATTATATTTCTAAACAATTTTTAAAAGTAATAAAATTAAATTCTTTCAAATACAAAATTTATTTGAATGAAATTTGACAAAACCTTTGATTGTTTCAATTTTTTAAATTATTTTCAGGAATTCAATTATTTTGAAAAAGAATATAAATACAATTTTTCAAAAAACTAATTTTCTTTTTAAGAATTTCTACATTAAATTATTCAAAAATTCAAGAATTTTTGTTAAACAAATGTTTAAAAGCTTATTCTTATTTATTTTAATTGAAATTTCAAATAAATTCAATGTAAAACATTTTTAAATTTAATTATTTATAAAAATTACAACTGCAATTTTTTGAAAAGTCAATTATTTTTTAGAATTTTGGAATAAAATTATTCAAAACTTTCATTATTTCTAAAGGAAAATAACATATTAATAAATAATTTTTTTAAATAAACAGTTAAGAACTATTATAAAATTATTACTTACAAATTATTTTTGGTACAAATTTTACTTAAAAATTCCAAAAATAATTGAGCTGCGTAAATAATTTTTATAAATAATAAAAAAATAAAAATAAAATAATAAAAAGGTTCCAAATTAAAATGTCAGAAAATTTTAAATAATTTTAATTACAAACTGTCAAGAAGATAGTTTTTGAAAAATTTTTATTCAAATTATTTTTAAAGCAGTTAATTTATAAAAATATTTATTTATTTATTGCTTTATTGTTTTGTTTTTAGAGAATGGAAAATGCTTCTCATGTCTTTAATCAGGCGCACACCTCAGATTTTGCAGGGAAATCCGTTATTTATAAAAGAACTCACGTTGAACAATACACATCACATCGAGAAATAGTTTATGATTCTAACCAATTATCACCTCATTTATCACCAATTCTATCTCCCGAAGAGAGGTTTGTATACTTAAAAATTTGTTGAACTTTTAAAAATTAACTTGCTACTTAAAAATAAAATTAATAGACTCAATACATTGTCACTGTATATTTTTAGAAAATTTTATATAGTAAAATAAATAATTATATTTAAACTATAAGTAGTATAAATATAAATAGTAAATTTTGTTAAAAAAAGGAAACAATTTTTGTTATAAAGGTTTTTTTCTAAAGGATTTTTAAAGAAAAAAAATTATTTTTTAGGTATAAATCAAATGAAACTTTCATTGCACGTAAATATGGTCATTTATCACAAGGAGAATCCGATACAGAATTAGATGAAGCAATCACTAGAACAACGACAGTGAATTCAAATAGAACTTCAAGAATTTCAAATATATTTTTGAAAATCATATCAATTATCACGACAATATTTTACGGGACATTAACTTTTGCTACTTTAGGAGTCTTTAAAAAAAAGGAACAATCTGCTAGTCATAACTATCAACAATATCAAGGTGAGGGAAAAATTCTCGTATTTATTTTTTGAGACTTTCTTTCAAGTATCTATTTTTCTTATTTTGCTTACAAATTTTTCTTACAAATTTTATGTTTTTTTAAAAAAATGTTTCCATTTTCGTTTTCTACACTTTAATAAAGTTCATACGTTTACAATCAACGATTTAGAAGAAAATATTCTTTTTTTATATATTTTTTTCAGCAATAATTTGAAATAAAAAGAATTTGTAACCAAAAAATTTTATTGTTTTTGTTAAGAGAAATATATTTTTTTCTTGAAATCATTGATCATGGACGTTGTGAACTTCACTGAAATTTTTCTATTTCGATTATGTCAAGAAAATAATTAATTATCAAAGGAAAAATTTTAATTAAAATCAGGTAATTCTTACAGAATCAAACTGGAGTCGATTGTGGAAAACGCTTGATCGTGTTTTTGAGAAAGTTTATTTATTTTTAGTCAATATGATGTTATTAGATTCGTGGTTTTTAAGTCGAATAATGAATACAAGACAACGTGTGCAGGGAAGACGTAGAAAACTTTTCTTCATTATTCTCTTGCCTCTTCTCCTTTTGGCTGGTGAGTACTTGAATTTCAATAAATAAAAATTCGGTTACGGATTTAATTTGAGAAAAACTAGAAAAGAATACGAAAAATTTTGTAAACTTAGAACTTACTTAAACTGATTGTTAATTTAATTTTTGTTTTTAATTTTTCATTTATTTTTTGCAATTTCAATTAAAAATTTTATATTTTAAAATTATCTTCAATTTTATATTATTTGTTTCGTTTTTCAATATGGTGAAAATATTTCCAAGTTGTGTTGTGAAATTGAAAGCAGTTTTGAATCGTAGCAGCGGTATTTATCCTCTTTTTGTTTCAGGAGCTTACATTATGCAAAAATATACTTTTACATGTCTGGATTATCTGAAAAATGTTCATAACGACGTCACTGAAATGTCACAAAATTTTATCAATGATATTTACTATATATCATTTATCGATTATGAACTTTTCGTAAAATATTTCACTTTTTATAAGGACTTTTCTTTGCCTGAAATACCAAGGGTGAACGTGTCTCTGCCCGAAATCGGGTGGAATATTCCTTGGTAATTTTTTTTTTTTATTTTTTTTGAGAAAGTTCGCGATTGAAAAAGTTGTTTTTTTCTAATATTAACTAACATTTTTTTCTAAGTAATGTTTTTGTTTTTCGCTACTTTCTTTAGTGTTGATTTTCAATGATTTAGACATGTTCCTCTCATAAAAGTATTTTGAGTTGTTAGATTTATATTTATGTTGCATGTTGTTTGGTGTTCGGTTGCTTTAATTAATGTTGCTTTAAAAGTATTCTTTCAAAAATATTAAAATTTGAATACTTAAAAAACATTAAAAATATTAAATATAAATATAAATATTTATCTTAAAAATATTTTTAAAAATATAAATATTTATATTTCTCATTAGTTACTTAAAAAGAATTTCAAATCTCTGATTTAAAAGAGATTTTTTTGTGTGCTGTGTTAATTGGTAATTTTTTAAAAGAACGTTCTTTTTTTTAGTTTTGTTGAATATTTTGAATTTATTATTAAAATGTCGTGTCTCGATAATTATTTAGTCACTTGTCAATAGCCAAAGGTTTTTCACACCAATGAGTATAAGTTCTCGCCGCCTTTATTATGGTGCCTTTAAAAAGCTATAAATCATTTTATACGCAAATATAGTCTGTCTATAACCGGTTGGGCATTTTTTAGAATAAGTTTATACTAATTAATATAGAATTACAGTAGTTTTGTATTTTTGCTTGTTACTAAACAAACTATAGTATTTCACTTGCAATTCCTTAAATTTCGTTAAAAATCACAAGGCTTCAATTTTTATTGCAATAGTTTATAATTTTTTTATAGTGCGAATTTATAGAGTTATACAATTTGTTCGATAAAAACATTTTTTAAGAGGTTCGATAAAAGACTGAATTAAATTGTCTTCAGTTTAAATGATTACCTGAAGGGCAGCTTTCTGATTAAATATATAAATATTGAATAAAAATATAAATATAATTGAAAATTGAATTTAAAATCAAACAATAATAAAATACGAATTTATCATTAACGTTAATAATAAAACTACTATTTTTATACATTATTTTAGTAATGAAATGAATAATTTTAATTTTAAAAACTCGTTCACCCTTTTGTTTCTGCATTTAATACAGTTTAGTGCAACAATCTTGAAAGTTATAATATTAATTTTTTTTTTATTAATTGCAAAAAGACGTTTTTGGTGGCATCGTAAAAAGTTTTCAGTATAATGGACATTTAAAAGATGAGCAGATGTAAAGGGAGAAGGATAGAGGAAGGCAAATTCTCTGGAGATTTCAAGAGTTGACATTTAAAAATTCAAGCTATTCGATCGGTGAGTTCCTTCGTCTATCCTTCTCACAGTTATCGTAATATTGTTCCTTCACAATCAAAAAAATAAATAATTTCAATTTTTTTTCTGATTTGTAAAAGTTTTTGTTGTGGAAAGAAAAATATTTTTTTCCTACTTTTATTCTTAAAGGGAAACAAAAAAAATTTTCTTTTACAGGATTCTGGTGTTTACCACGATTGATGCCAGTTTTTACGAAACAAACCGAAGAAATAGTGCCATCATTGCATAATACGGCGGATTTGAAAGGATTTGTCATCGATACATCCCGAGAAAATGAATTGAGATCACTTCTTCAAATACTGACGGAGAAAGTTCAACGACTTGAGAGGAAAGACATTTTGCAAACTGTAAGTTGAAGTTTTTTTTTGTTTGTTTTTATTATAGTTTTGATATTTTATTTGCGTATTCTTGCTGTATTGATACTATATTCTTATTTATTGAATAATAGAAATTGAATAATTTGTATTAATTCGGATTTTTGTAAATAGGAACATTTGAAAAACGTAACACAAGTGATTGAAGATCTAAGGAAGAATGACGATAGTATATGGAGTAAATATGACGTAAGATTAATTTATATCAATGTATTTTCGTTTACTAAAGTATATTTTTTTTAGAACAATTTTTTTAGATAAATATAAAATGATTGCATAAGAATATTAGATTTGCAACATAAACGGGGTTGCTACGCAACCTGGAAACCTGAAAAACCTGGAAATGTCAGGAAATTTAATAATTTAAAATTTTTTACCAAAGGGTGGAGACTATTAAATAAGTAAAGTGTTTTTCAAGAGCACAAAAATAGTAAAGCTAAATGCCATAAAAGAGAAGAAAAAATGTTGAATTTTAAGAAATTCGGTTTTTCTAATTTTTGATAATTTTCCATAATTTTTGATTTTTTACCAAAAAGTGGAGACTATTAAATAAGTAAAGTATTTTTCAAGAGCACAAAAATAATAAAGTTAAATGCCATAAAAAAGAAGAAAAAATGTTGAATTTTAAGAAATTCGGTTTTTCTAATTTTTGATAATTTTCCATAATTTTTGATTTTTTACCAAAAAGTGGAGACTATTAAATAAGTAAAGTATTTTTCAAGAGCACAAAAATAATAAAGTTAAATGCCATAAAAAAGAAGAAAAAATGTTGAATTTTAAGAAATTCGGTTTTTCAAATTTTTTCGAATTTTTGATAATTTTAGATTTTTTACCAAAAAGTGGAGACTATTAAATAAGTAAAGTATTTTTCAAGAGCACAAAAATAATAAAGTTAAATGCCATAAAAAAGAAGAAAAAATGTTGAATTTTAAGAAATTCGGTTTTTCAAATTTTTTATGATTTTTGATAATTTTAGATTTTTTACCAAAAAGTGGAGACTATTAAATAAGTAAAGTATTTTTCAAGAGCACAAAAATAATAAAGTTAAATGCCATAAAAAAGAAGAAAAAATGTTGAATTTTAAGAAATTCGGTTTTTCAAATTTTTTATGATTTTTGATAATTTAAAATTTTTTATCAAAGGTCGAAGACTTTTAAATAAGTAAAGTGTTTTTGAAGAGCCCAAAAATAATGAAGCTAAATGCCATAAAAAAGAAGAAAAAATGTTGAATTTTAAGAAATTCGGTTTTTCGAATTTTTTATGATTTTAAATAATTTTAAATTTTTTACCAAAGGGTGGAAACTATTAAATAAGTAAAGTGTTTTTGCAGAGACCAAAAATAATGAAGCTAAATGCCATATAAGAGAAGAAAAAATGTTGAATTTTAAAGAATTCGGTTTTTCGTTATTGATGTTTTTGAATAATTTTTGTTTTACAAACCTGGAAAAATTCTCTTTTTTAACCTGGAAAACTTGGAAAAGTCAGTGAATTTGAAAAGAGCAAAAGCATGGCAACCCTGATCATATACAAATACGTTTTTCTTTTTTTCTTTTCTTTTCTTTAATTTTTAGTTTATTTTTATTTTTATTGTATTTCATTTTTTATTTTATTTCATTTTTATTCTTTTCATTTATAAGTTTTTTTTCAATTATTTAATGTATTAATTTCAGAAAAAACTAACTGATTTGGAAGAACATTTTCGTCAGGATGTGAATGAAAAAAATTATGAGACCATCAGCGCAATGAAAGTGGAATTTGAAGCACTTCGCGACAATTACTTTCAATTGAAGTCCTGTTGTGATTCAAATGTTCCGACTTTGACTGACGAGAAAATTGATAGTCACATCGATAGGCTTCTAGCTGGATATTTCGGTAGTTCAACTTCAAAGGAAGAATTGTCAAGAGTCATTCAAAGTTTACTATTGATACGGGAAAATGATAATATGCAAAAGGAAAATCTAAAAGGTATGTAATTTCCATTAGTAATTTAATTCCTTCTTTATAATATTTTTAATCAGTTGTAAATTATAATTATTATTTTTTTTTTATTCGAAATTTGAAGAATTATATTTCGTAAAATTACAGTATTTTAAAAATAATCAATTTTCATTAAAATTCAAAAAGAAAGTTTTCGTAACTATCAATAAACTTGACAATTATTAATATTTAAAAAAAATTTTATTTATTTTATGATTTTTTTATAGTTATGCTAATTGAAAAAATAATTATAAAATGATAATTTACAAAGCTTCAAATATTTAATTTATTAAAGAATTGATAGATTTAAAATAGATTTTATTTCAATTTATTTGAATTCGATTGACAGAATCGGAAGTAGAGAGAATTAGTGGCAATCTATCAATGGAGGACATGAGAAAAATCGTTAAAGAAGTACTCAAGATTTATGACGCTGACAAAACGGGAAGAGTTGATTATGCATTGGAAACAGCAGGTGAATAATCTGAAGAGAAAAAAATTTATTATCTTGTCTTTGGAAAAAAAGGGAAATTGTAAAATTTATTGTCGCTCTTTTCTTTTTAAAACTTACAGGTGGTCAAGTGATCAGTACACGATGTACACAAGGATATAATGTTAAAACGAGAGCTTATAAGCTCTTTGGTTTAACCTTGTATTATGAAAGTAACGATCCTCGAACTGTGATACAGGGAAATACTTTACAACCTGGCGCGTGTTGGGCTTTTCAAGATTTCCCTGGCTATTTATTAATTAAATTACGCAACTTTATTTACGTCACTGGTTTTACATTGGAGCATGTACCGAAATCAATTTTACCAAATGGAGATATGAGAAGTGCACCGCGCAAATTTAACGTTTGGGTTCGTTAATAATTTCTAATTTGCATCTATTATAATAAATTTATAATTTTTTTAAGATATTTTAAATTTATTACTTACTATTTTATTTTTTAAAAATTTGGTTATTTATTTTGATGGTAATTTTAGGGATTGAAGCATGAGAACGATTTGGAACCCGTTATGTTTGGAGAATACGAGTTTCTTGACTCTGAAGATAATTTACAATATTTCCCTGTTCAGGTTCGTATTTATAAATATTTATTCATCATTAATGCGAATTATTTTCAATTAATTTCTATTATCTGAAATTATTCAAAAATTCATATTTGAAAATAAAAAAATTTTGTAATTTGAATAATAATGATAAATTGAGTATCACGTTTCGCCCGTGACATTTGCTAGTTATTAAATAAAGTTTGAAAAGTTCATTAATTCAAATTTTTTAATTTAAGAAGAAAGGATTAATTTTTTTTTGTCTTTTGCAGAATACGACGATAAAGACAAATTACGATCATGTGGAGTTGCGAATACACAGCAATCATGGTCAACTTGAGTACACTTGTTTATACAGATTTCGAGTCCATGGACGAATATTGTGAAAAGATGACATTTTTTGAGATGAAGACGAAGGAAAGTTCCATTATTTCTTATCTAGTGATGAAAGTAAGCAGCTTTATATTGTCATTTGAAAAGAAAAAACCATCGTGCCTTTGGCTGCAGTATTTATTGTTGTTCCTCACCGCCAAATGAGAGTGAGATGTAAATCGCACAGAATTTTTTCGCACATAAGATATTTTTTTTTGTCTCTCTTTGAATATGAAATATGTGCGATTCATTTTTTAAGATAAGAAAGACGATTTCAGGGCTTAAGCGTATAGTGTAAAAATAATGTATTTTTGTAAAAAAAAAATAATATTCCTTTCAGGATTGTTCTTATATACGAAACACATTGTACAGAATTCGTTAGACTGAATTCCCAAATAGTTACCCGATACTAATTTCATAAAAAAAAGATGAAACATCGAAACTGGCGGAGACAGTACAAAAAAATCATTATTTAGAGTAGAAATTCTTGATGCACTTGTAGCAAGGCATTTGATGAAATCGTAAAGACAAAAATTATTGTTATTTATTTAGTCAAAATCTGATGAGAGTTTATTTATTTAGATCCTTAGAATTAAAAAAAAATATCCAAAGTTATTTAATTTTTAGTTTAGAGTCTTTTTTAAAATGACTACTTGCTTCTATTATTAATTTAATTTATTACTCCTACTACTGAAAGTAGTATTTTTATTTTGAAAACTAAGTTTTTTCTTTAAGATTGATATTCAAATTTCGATTAAAATGCCTTGACCTGTAGCTCGAGATTATTAACAAATCACGCTTTTACAAAGATCTATTTTAAGATATATTCGTATATATAGAAAAACGCCAGAAAAATATTAGTCTTATTTCTGGACACAAAAAATTTTTTTTAGTAATTACAATAATTAGACTTATTTTGTAATTTGTAAATATTTTTCTGTAAATTTTCGACTGATTTTTTTTTTGTAAATCAATGCGCAATTTTTTCCGTTATTATTAACAGAATTTTCTTTTCTTTTTAAATTTCTATAAAATCGTTGTAAATTCGAAATATTCAAAATTTTCTGTAATTTACAATTTTTTTAGAAATTTGAAAGGGAAACTTTCTTTTTAAATTTCTAAAATCGTTGTAAATTCGAAATATTCTGTAACTAATAATTTTTTTAGAATTTCGAAAAGGAAAATTTTTGTAAATTCTTTTTGAAAAGATTAAAAAGATTTATTTTGTAGTGAAAGAAAAAATCAAAAATTTACAGAATTTAGTAAAATTGACAAATTATAAAAGAAAAATTGTAATTTGTTAAATTTACCAAATTTAGAATTATTCTTTTTGTTTTCTAACAAGCGAATAGAAAATCGTCATTCAATTTTTATGCAGGTCATATTTATTATTAAAATATTGAAATTTAAAAAAAGAAATTTTTTTGCTTGATGAAAGTTTACATGTTAATCAAATATTTCTTTTTTTAGATTATATATTATAAAGTACAAAATTTATTTCAGTTTGCATATTTATAATATTAAATCATTTAAAGACAATAAGTACTTGTTTAAACTGAAGAGCAATTAAAATGATTCAGTATAATAAAGAAAAAAATAATTTTATTGCCTCTTTTTTAAGAAATATCTATATTAGTGAGATTTTGCATAATCAATGTTTAATTTTTTTTTTGTTTTTTTTTGTAAAGATTTGTAGACTGATTAATTTATACCTATTAATTTTAACTGCAGAAGTTCATGTGCGGTTTTTGGCATATTCTACTTAAAAATCAAAATGAAATTTTGTTTCAATGAGATTTGGAGAATGTGACTATTATTATTTATCGAAAAAATCAATTTAAAGTCAATGAGTGAAAAGCTTTTTTTTTCTATGTGTGTCATACTATATTTGTAAAACAAGCATATTATATGCACGAACAAATTGTAGAAACTATTAAATTTGTGAATAAAAAAAGAATTTTGTGAAAAAATGTTTAATTATTACATAAAAATTTACAATTTATTTTTATTTAATATTTATTTTTAATAAATAAATGAATTTTAATATATTAAAATTTTATTAAATTGTATTTATTTTATTATAAAATAATTGTCTAAAAAGATTATTAATATTTTTATAACAGAATAAGGTAGTTCAAGTTGGGTGGGGGAAATCCAATATGGCTGACATCAGCTGATTTACCGGAGGACAAACAATCCATTGAATTTAATGGGACAAATCAGTTTTTTAACCATAACTTTTTAAATATTCATTTTTGAACCATAGTGTAATGGAAAATTATTCTTTATTTATCGAAATCTATTTTTTAAAACAATAAAATTTAATTTTTTGGTTTTATTGTTTTAAAAAATAGATTTCGATAAATAAAGAATAATTTTCCATTACACTATGGTTCAAAAATGAATATTTAAAAAGTTATGGTTAAAAAACTGATTTGTCCCATTGAATTCAATGCATTGTTTGTCCTCCGGTAAATCAGCTGATGTCAGCCATATTGGATTTCCCCCACCCAACTTGAACTACCTTATAATAATAAATAAATGAGTTGGAGATTGTTTTAAATATTACGATTACGCCATTCGTTACTTTAAATTTGCGCGCCGAAAAGTAACCAATAGCAGACCAATAGGAGTAATGGTAACTAACCACGTGCCTAACCTAACTTGAACTCTGCCATGCTCTTGGTGTAAATTGTAAAAAATAAAAAATTCTGAAAATTCGCATAAAAATTTTTTGTAATGCGGCACACAATAGTTTCAATAGTTTTTTATCATTTAGAAATTATAAATAGTTTGTAAAAAAAACGTGAAAATTAATTTTACAATAATGTCGCGAATATTGTTAAGAAAACTTGTGAGGCAAATCGATGGTGTTAAATATGTCAGTACTTGGTCACCACTTGCTACGGCTTTTAATTCAAAAGCAACGCCGGATTTAGAGTTAAATAACAAAAATAAAGAAGTAGTAAGTAAAAAATTCTCTTTTCTCTATTAACAGTATTTTTAAAAAAGTATTTTCAAGCTTTTTTTTACGTAACCTTAAAATGTAGTAATGTACATTTGCAAAAAATGGAATTTCTTGTTTTTTCTTATAAAAAACATTGCTGAACAAAATAATTACGAAATAAATTAAATACAACTATTTAATATTAATTTTGTTGTTCTTTTTAAATGTAAACGAATTTTTTTTGCAGGGATTGTTTAATATACCAGAATTAAAAGATGCGGCGGGTTTTGAGATTCTGAAAAATTATGCGATATCGCACTCGAATAAACTTGTCGAGGAGGCGACAAGTCCTGATCGTACAAGAAAAATGGTGGAAATTTTCGATGAACTTTCAAATACTTTGTGTCAAGTGGCGGATATGGCAGAGTTCATTAGACTTGCTCATCCCGACGATGATTTTTCACATCACGCAGAAGATGCTTGTTTGGCAATCAGTAGCATAGTTGAAAAGTAATTCAATACTTTTTTGTTAAATAGGATGGAAAAGACTTGTTTATAATGCTTAATAAAAAAAAACAATAAGCATTAGGAATTTTAAAAATAAAAAATTTCTTTTGCAGATTAAACACTAATCGTAATTTGTACGATTCACTGCAACGTGTTTTAAAAAATGGAGATATAGAAAAAACCACAGACATCGATAATCATGTTGCACAATTATTTTCGATTGACTTCGAACAGAGTGGTATTCATTTACCAGAAGATCAACGACGGGAAGTTGTTGAATACAACGACTTTATTTTACAAGTAATCTCTAATTAATTTTTAACTCAATAAATATTCAATTACAATATTTTTCATTTCAGTTTTTGGAAAATCTTATAATTTACATTCACAAGCAACAAATAATGCAAAAAATAAATCGTTTGCGTAGAAAAAGTAGTTTTGAAAAGAAAAACAATTTTGTAAATGCGTTTATTTTTTTTATTATTAATCTATAATAATTTTGCACCTCTTTCAGATTGGACAGAAATTCACAGCAACGGCTCTCGCGCCAAGATCAATACGCATAGATCAAATACCAACGATAGCGAGAAAATAGTAGGAAATTTTATATTTTAAAAAATTCTGAATATTAATTAATTAGTTTCTCTTTTACTAATAATTATGATTTAATTTTTTTGAATTAGCTTTATTGCCGAAAGAGGTCAAGTCGTGATCAACGGTCATTTCGCAGAATCGCCAAGTTCATTAATACGTGAAGTTACTTATAAAATATTTTTACAACCAGATCGAACGCAAGAACTATATTTGAAAGATCTCTTAAATTCAAGGCATAAACTCGCACAAATTTGCGGTTTTCCTTCCTATGCACACAGGTTACGTTTAATTAAATATTTAATTAAATTTTTTAATTTATAATTAAAACAATATATTTTTCATTTTTTTAACACTTACATATTTTCATAAATTTGTTGAATTTTTTTTTTGAACAATTTCTTGAATAACGTTTTTGAATTTCCTGACTAAATTTTTATCCTATTCTTTGCAATTTTATAAGGAAAATAAATTCTATTTCACAGAGCTTTGAAAGGAACTACAATGGAAACACCGGAAAATGTGAAGGACTTTCTGAATATTTTGAACGAGGAATTAAGAGACCGAGCTGAGAAGGATTTTGAAATTATGCAAACGATGAAGGGCCGTAATTTGATAACTGTAAGTAAAAAGAATTTAATTTTTATTCCTTATCGTTTGGAAATTTGCCTTTTTGCTTTTAAAAAATATTAATTTAATTCGATTATTTTCAACAATTTTCATAAAATTCTTTTAATTTTATGAAATATAAAATTATATTTTTACTTATAATGTTCACATTAATAGAAAATCATGCCATGGGACACAACATATTTCACGACTCAAGCGAGAAATTCTTGGTTACAAATGTCAACGACTGATTATTCACCGTATTTTTCATTGGGAGCTTGTATGGAGGGTATAAATTTAATAACACAAGCTTTGTTTGGAGTTCGTTTAGAGGCAGAAGCAACTCATCAGGGAGAAGTGTGGCACGATGATGTCTATAAATTGGCTGTGATTGACGAAACAGAAGGATCATTGGGACATATTTATTGTGATTTATTTGAGCGTGAAGGAAAACCGAATCAGGATTCTCATTTTACAATTACTGGGGGGCGACAATTACCAGATGGTTCCTATCAGGTTTGTTTGTTTGTTCAATTTTTAATTAAAATCAAATCTTAATTAAAATTAAAAATTTTATTTTAACTTGTTACGTGTAATTATATTTATAAGATATTTTTAATTACGCTAATATATTTTAGAATCCAATAGTAGTGATAATGATTTCGCTGCCAGTTTCGAGATGGTCGAATCCTTGTCTATTGTCACCGGCGGCAATGGAAAATTTATTTCACGAAATGGGACACGCTTTGCATTCGATGCTTGGTAGAACGAAATATCAACACGTAACGGGTACAAGATGTAGTACAGATTTTGCCGAAGTCCCCAGCATTCTCATGGAGTATTTTGCCAGTGATCCTCGAGTAATTAGAATTTTAATTCAATTTTAATTCATTTTAATTTAATTTAATTGAAAAAAAAATCTTTCTTTCTTCTAAATCAAAAAATCTTTTTTCTCACTTAACAATATTAAATATTAATATAAATTTTGATTTTTCAGGTAGTAAAATTATTTGCTAGACACTTTCAAACACAAGAACAAATTCCCGAACAATTGGTGGAAAAATTATTCGCCTCAAAAAGTGTCTTTCCATCGTCGGAAATGCAAAATCAAGTATTCTACAGTATGTTAGATCAAGTTTATCACAGTCAAGAATTAGAACGTGACACGACCAGTATTTTGGCTGATATTCAAAGGGATTATTACACACTTCCTTATATTGAAAACACGGTAATTAGAAATTTAATTAATTTATATTTTTTTATTCGATTGGTAATTAGTAAGTTTATAAATATTTATTGAAGAATTAATCCAGGTCTCGGATTGAGTTTAAAACACAAAGAAAGTCGTTTTTGTCGATTCAAATTAGGAAAAAGGACGAAAAAGCAGTTTTTTTATTCGGGGTATTTTTATAAAAACTAGAATTTATATTTACTTGTCAGTTTTGTAAAGTGTCTAAAACGAGTTTTTTGGTCAAGTTTAATTTTTCGATAGCTATTTTTTTTACAACTTTTTTAGTTTGAAAAATGCTTTTTGATACTTTTTTAAAATTAATTATCGAGTGCAAAGTCTGTAATGGAAAAAAGTCGAAAGTCATTATCCGAGGCCTGTAAATTATTATTAATACTCAAGTAAATTTTTAATGAAAAAAAAATTAAATTCACAGGCCTGGCAATTAAGGTTTTCCCATTTAGTTGGATATGGAGCTAAATATTATTCGTATTTAACGTCAAGGGCAATTGCATCGTGGATTTGGCAAACCTACTTTCAAAATGATCCCCTCAGCAGATCGTCAGGTGAGAAATATCGAAGAGAATGCTTAGCACACGGCGGTGGAAAGCCACCATCGAAATTAGTCTCTGATTTTCTAAATAAGGAAGCTAGTCCATCGAATTTTGCGAAATCTCTATTAAATGAAATTGATATGAGAAACGACAAAGTCCAAGTGATGAGGAAAAAATTAAACTCGTAAATATTCTCAAATCATTTTCATTGTAAATAGCATTATTAATATTATATTTTATATTTGATCGTTAGGTAAAGAATTATGTGATTAAATTAACAAGTTTTTGTTTCAAAAAGAAAACTACAAAAAAAAAGTAAAATCCAATTCAGTAATAAAATAATCCAACGGCTTGGGCAAAAGAAAGTTAACATTAAAAAATTAATAGTATTAATATATTTATATTAATAAATGAAAGGAAAAGAAAATTAAAAAAAGAAAAAGAGAACTTTAGAAACCTTAGAAATGAAAAGAAATTGCAAAAGAAACACTAAATTTAAAAATTATTTTTATAATTAAAATCTATTGACAGTCGTTGGAATATTAAAAAAATAATTTTTCTGTACATAGGCAAAAGCGATAATAATATTCTTTTTTTATAAATAACAAATGTTATAATTTATTTTATAACAGTTGTTTTGTCCGACTGCATTAAAAGTGTTAATTATTCCCGCTTACCATAGATATAAATAAAGAATTTTAAAGTAAAAAAAAATCAAGGCATAATTAAATATTTTCCATTTTTCGTTGTTTTGTTTTTTTTCTTCATGGTTTTATTACAAATACAGAACCTTAAGCTATTTACAGTGTTTGACGAATTCTACGAAATATTACACAAAAATAAGTTTTGTAGCATAAACCTATTTATTCAAAGTAAATGCAGTATAAAGTAACCCATCAGAAAAAGATATTGGAAAAAATTAAAACCGAGCTCTTTTTTAAATAGAAAATGGTTTTTATTTCGTTTTTAAATAAACGTTACTGTCTACTGCATTTCTTCGCAAAAATTGCATTTGTAATAAAATTCTTCACTGAATTTGCTCCCACTAATTTGCTATATTTCTCTTATTTTCTCTTCGTGAATTTTTTTTTTTTTTATTAATATAAAAAGTCTCAGTAATAGAAGCCAGTCTATAAAATAATAGTTTGAGACAAAATAATATTACGCTTGTCACCCTTTTAAATTTGAAATTAGTAAATTTTATTCACAATTTGAAATATTGATCTTATTTTTTCAATTTGTAATTTTCTCGTAATTCACGCTTTAGGTAAAAAATTATTTTTTTTAACATATAATTTTTGACTTTCTGGTTTTTAATAAATCGCATAAAATATTTATATATAGCGTTTAAAAAGAGGGGCAATTATTCTATTTACTATTTAGAATTATTACAAATAATGTTCTTTTAAAAATTCTACAGGAAACTTATTTATTATGCGCCTTGTATATATTATCATTTTTATAAAAAAAAATCACTTTATATATATATTGATGATAATTTTACTTTCTTGCGACAGTTTCTGCCAAAAAAAACTACTTTTCTACTAAACGAGAGAAAAATTTAAATTAAAAAAAATATTTTAATTTTACACAAATATTTCTTTTATTTTTTCACCAAAAAGTTTGTTTATAAATGAAAATGCATAAAATGCATGAAGTGCATCACAGAGAGGAAATTTAAAAAGTGCAGTAATTTATAAACTAATGAAATAATCATAATTTGTAAGAAGTTTGGGAAAATTTAGATTTTACTTTTACCAATTTTAAAATCATCAGAAAAGAAAAATTAAATTTTGGCACAAACTATTGCAAAAGTAAATTTTCTTAAATTTTTTTCTACGAAGAAAGAAAAAAATTGAGGGGAATTTTTTTTTAAATTAGGTAAAATCAGATCAAGTGAATATTGAGAAATTTAATTAATAAAGCAAAGTGAAAAATTTGTGAAAATAAAATCACACACTAAGCAAAAAAATTGATAGATTTATATAAATAAATGATCATTTGTAAATTCACTTTTTTCTCTCACTATGCGCGATGATAAAAAAAGAAGAAAATTTTTTCTAAATTTCGTTTTCAAAACGAAAGGATTTTATAATATAATATACAAGACAGTATGCGACTTATTTTTTTGTATTACTTAAAAAACTGTCCATTCTTGTATTGCTTTCAATTAATAAATACACTTAGGATTATTTTAAGAAATAGGCACGTGAAATATCTCGAGAATTTCTTCCGAGCTCGAATCGATTTTTATCATCATTTATAATAAGTAAATTACAAGGGTGCCTTGTGTTTTTTTAATTTTGGTTTCACCAACTTGATTTCTAAGAATTCACTTTCCTTCCTTTTTTTGTATCTTCAGTCTCTCATATGGAAAAAGTTACAAAGCAATTTAAATTAAAGAATTTATCCATTTTTCGTGTAAAAGCAAATCATTGTGCAGAATCTCCATTTTTTTACGTTTTCTATTAGGATTTTTTTCTCACACACTTTCTCTCTCTCGCTCTCTCGCTCTCTTTCTTTCACATTCAAATTCACTCAAAATTCTACGTCCTTAGTTCGCTAAGAAAAACTGCATTGCGTAAAAACTTGTTATGCAAAACAGACGCATTATTATAGTTAATATTTTTCCTGATGCTTTTCCTTATGTTAATTTAAAAAAAACCAAACACAACAAAAAGTAAACAAAAAAAGAATGTACGTTGACACTTTAACACATTTTTTTTTAAAAACGGGGGGGATGCATTTTGGAAAAAATGCGAAATTATATAAGCTGACGGACAATTACTTTTTTTGTATAGTCTTTTTTTTTTCTTTCTTTCCTAATTCCACGGTGTAGAAAAAAAATTCACGAACACGGAATCACGAGATTGGGAATTTGTGTCTTGGCATTTTGCAAGCATCAATGAAAAAATCGTTTTTTATAGCAAACGTAAACACTTTACACTTGGATGTCATTTTGGCAGGTGATCGTCGCGGTTATGCGACATAATTGTACTGATTTGCATTGTCCTTATCTCGCTCCATATAATCTCTGTCAATTAATGATTCTATTCGTTTTTTCAAGTCCGCCGGCTGGAAATAAAATTTGTTTTTGCGAATTCATTAATGATTAATTTGCAAAAATAAATTAACAAGTTTGTAAAATATAATTTTAAACTTGCTGACTATTTTTTTTTAAATTTAATTTAAATGCATTGTCAATTAAATATGACACTGAAGGTTTGCAACGTTTTTAAAATCGAAACCAATGATTTCTTTTGGCTTCAAAATGTTCTTTTTGATAAAAAGAATTCTGTTTTAATTTTTTTTACTTTTAAAAACGTCGAGAACTTCAGGTTTCATAATTAAATTAAATTAAATTAGAATCGTTAATTTTTATTAATGAATGGAAATTTTTTAGTTTCTTAAAGAACTAATTAAGATTCAATTTTTGAATAAAGAAAATAATAAAGTGAAAGTTTACCTTGACGGGAAATTTAAGTTGATTGTAAAGTTCACTGATGAGAAGATTGTGCGTAAGGGTTTTTCTCATTTTCATTATTCTCACAATTGCTGCGTCTATTTGATACTGACGATCCTGATAAACTCTCTCCTCAGTTGCTTTCTGTTCTTCATTCTAAAAAACAAAGAAAATTTAAAAAAAACTATAAATGAAAATATAACAAATATATATTTTTTTTAATACTTAATTTTCGAATTTTACTATTTCGAAAAAAATATAACTGTAGTTCTTCTAAAATTTAATTAATTTCAAACATTCATCTGATTTCCCTGTTTTTTTTTAAAATGTTTATTTATAATTTTCTTTATATTTCTTTAAAAATATCTTTTGATTCAAATTGTGTTTAACTTACCGTTTCCTTCATTTGGATTTGATTAATTTTTATTCTAAAAAGTTTGTTGGTAAAATCGGCATTGAAGACGAATCTATCATTATCAGAGACGTCTCGACCTCGAGGATTTTTTTGGAGAACTCTAGCTTTACCGCACGCTAACGATTGTAACGTTCTTCTTAATTCACCATCCTCGATATTTGTCGCAGCTTTAATTTCCTCAAGCGATAAATCATCGGCATCATTAAATAATATTAAAACCAGGGCTTGAAACAGCGACACTTGTAATTCTTTATTCCCCTATTTTTTGATTATTTCGATTTAATTATTTTCTTCTCAATCAGATAAAAAATGGTTTACTTGAACAAATCTCTTTTTCTTACCTGTTGGAACCACGCTTTTAATACACAATGTCCCAATGTTGGTTGCCATTGTAATTTTCTGCCACTATGTTTGCCTAGATAAAATTTATTGAACACGTCTTGATATTGGACCATTTCTAACGGTAAAGTCACTTCCATGACGGGATAAGTTGGCCAGTAACCCATTGTGAGAATTGACACTGTTAAATCTAAATTACTGGCCGATAGTTCATTTTGGAGATTGCTGGAATACTGAAACAAAAAGGAAAATAAAATACCTTCTCATGTGACGAGAATGTAAAAATAAAGGAAATGAGTAAAAATGAAGAAATGACAAAAAATATTGATAAATAATTACTTGTTTAAATGCAATATTAATATCTTTGCTAAGTTCCATGTCCTTAAACATTCCCTCGAGTTTACTGGTGAAACCTCCACCGCATTCCTGCTTTAATTTCGATAACATTGATTTTTCAGCGTCGACCGACGCCGATTTTCCGACCAGTAAACGTTTGGCCAAATCCTTTTTATAGAAAGCTTCGAAAACATCCTTGCCATGAATAAAACGAAACAGAACCATAATCTTATCCAATAAACGCTCCAATTCCTCCTCAGTTGCCTCTTTATTTCCCGCTCGAAGTTTACAGTCGACGAATTTCGCTGAAAAGAAAAATAAACAAATTCAATTAAAATTGTCCATATTTATATTTTCACATTTTAAATGTGAAAATGATTTAGATTTAAATGATTTAGACAATGTTTCTTTTTTAAATTTGTAAAAATCAGAAAGAAATAATATTTTTGTAAAATAATTTTATTGAATAAAAGACATAATTACCTATCAATTCGGCCGGTTTGTTCGCTCTTTGATTAATGAACGCCTCGAAAGCCTCCTTCAAACTATTCGCAAACTTCTCATTCTTGTGAAAACAAGTATTGACTATATTATCCATTTTATCTTTGAAATCTAACAATTCCTGAACCATCGTTTTATCTTTCTCGGGATCTATGACTATCGTTTTACCTTTCTTCTGTTTGAAACAAAAAGAAAAGAGAGAAAATTTCAAATGAAACATTTGTAATAAGTAAATTATTATTTATATTATAATATAAATACAAATATAATATAAATATAATATTTATAAGTAAATTTAGAATTGAATAAATATTTTTAAGAATATCAAGTTCATAAATTACCTTAATATAACTATTGAAATTCAAGCAAAGTTCAACGAGTCCATTTTTAATTCGACTGTACAAATTGTAAAGCAGCGACAAATCGTGAATTCGATTTTCATCTAATAAGCCACTTAAACCTTTTTGAAGAATGCTGGAAATATGTTCGGACAATAATTGCTTTTCCACCGTGTGAATAAGGGACCATCTGGAAATTGAGTTTTTTTTTAAATTCAAAAATTTCATTAGTCAAAACGAAATATTTTTCATTCCTAAATTAATTTTGGAAAAGTTTTTAAATGGTAGTTAAATGAATTTTTAGGGAAAAAAAGACCAATTTTTTTCTTCTTACTTCGTTGAGGTGTCAAGATAATGAAGTAAACGTTCGTTTTCTTCTTGTAAACGCTTGTCAACGTGAGCTAAATATTCCGGAACGTCATGCTCCGTCATGAGTCGTTGGCCTTCTGCCGCGTACAATCTTTCTGTAGCTTGAAGGAACCTAAAGACACAAATTATTATTTCAAGTTAAAAAAAACGTTAAATTTTGAATTTTACATATTCAATACGTCGCAATTTTTTTGAGATTAAAAATAAATTCTAAAAGTGACATACTTTGTTTCGAAGGCGTCCTGATAGATTTGCAAATCAGACAGCATTCTCAATAATGATTTAAGCAGAGTTCGATCCACTGTATCACCTTGTCGTTCCTTTTCGATGAGCATAAGAAGTCCTTCTACTGTTCGAGTTTGCACAAGATTATTTAGAACGATGTTGAGTCTAAATAAATAAAGTCCCATCTCCCTGTAACAATATTTACAGATTATTAAATAATCTACGAGAATTCAATTATTTAAATATAGAAATAAATAATTTATTAAATAATTGGATGTTTTTTAAAATTTAATTCCCATAAAGAATTTTATCAACAAAATTTTTTAAGAATAAATACAATTTTCCTAAAATTCAATTAAAATTGTATCGAAAATAATTGAAATTCTGCGATGAGTTTTATTATTCATCAAAATAATTAAAATTAAATAATTGAATTTCTAAATAGAATTTTATTATTGAAAATAATTAAATCCACGTAAAAAAATGTATTAGACATTTATGAAAATAATTGAATTATTGCGAAGAAATTTATAAAAAAAATTGTAAATAAATGAATTCCTGTGAAATTTTTATTATTCATGAAAATAATTAAATGTTTGCGAGAATTTTATCAACATTTTTTTTAAATAATTGAATTCTTTTGGAGAATTTTATTAAAATAGGTAGACATTAAAAATCATTGAATTGAGGAAAGTTTTTGAAAATAATTGAAATTTTGAAAATTTTTTAACACAATTAAAATTTTGCGAAGAATTTTATTACTTTTGAAAATAATTGGAATTTTGATGAGAATTTTATTAAAGTTTTTGAAAATAATTGAATTTCGGAGAAAAATTTTATTGCTTTTGGAAATAATTGAAATTTTGCCGCGAACTTTTCTAAATTTTTTAACATAATTGAATTTCTGCGAAGAATTTTATTACTTTTGAAAATAATTAAATTTCTGCAATCGCTTGTAACTTCAACGAAATTAAATTTTTTCAGTTTTTTTAAAACTAAGATTCTTCTATAAATCCATTATTTTTAATAATTACATAATTAAATACATATTCGAAACTTTAACTAATTTTAGAAGAATTTGAATTCAACTATTTCTGAGAAGAATTTTATTATTTATGAAAATAATTGAATTTTTACAAAGGATTTTATTTAATTTTTTTTAAATAATTAAATTCTCGTGAAAAATTTTATTATTTGGGAAAATAATTGAATAATTGTGAAGAATTAAACAAAGAATTATCAATTTTTTAGAAAATAATTGAAATACTAAGAAGAATTTTATTATTTATGAAAATTTTTGAATACTTGTGAAGAATTTTATTTAATTCTCTTGGAAAATTTTATTAAAATAGTAGGAAAATTCAGGATTCAGGAAAATTTTTGAAAAAAATTGAAATTTTGACAAGAATTTTATTAAAATTTGAAGTCTTGAGAAGAATTTTATTTAATTCTTTATATATAATTGAATTCTCGTGAAAAATGTTATTATTTGGGGAAATAATTGAATAATTGTGAAAAATTCAAGAATTTATCCATTTTTTAAAAAATAATTGAATTTCTGAGAAGAATTTATTATTTATTAAAATAATTGAATTCTTGCGAAGAATTTTAATGAATTCTTTTTATATAATTGAATTCTCGTGAAAAATTCAATTATTTGGGAAAATAAATGAATTCTTGTGAAGAATTTTATTAAAACTTTTAAAAGTAGGTAATTGGATTGTTGAGAAGCATTTTCTTATTTATGCGAAAATAATTGTATTCTTTCCTGGAATTTTATTTAAATTTTGATAAATAATTGAATTTTCTTGAAAAATGTTATTGCTTGTGAAAATAATTGAATTCTTGCGGTAGAATTTTATAAAAAGTTCTTAAATTGATTTTCTTCAAAAAAATTTATGAATTATTTCAAATAAATCAATTCATGTGAAAATTTTATTACTTATAAAAAAATTGAATGTTTGCGAAGAATTTTATCAAAAATCTTTTGTGGAATTTCATTAAAATTGTATAGATATTGAAAATCATTGAGTTTCGAAAGGTTTTTGAGAATTGAATCGTTTCAAATAATTTTATTACAATTTTTAGAATTTTTTCTTATTTCAGCTATTAGCGAATTTAAAGTGATGCAAATTTCCTCCAAAAATAAAGAAAAAAGTAGCTTTTAGTGTTATAAATCTAAAACAAGTATCCAAATAGTAGCAAATTGTAAAAAAGTAGTAAATAGTAGGTTTTAGTAGATGAGTGCAAAGTAATAAAAATAGTTACCAAATTGACGAAATGCCGGAATTTTGTAAAACGTAGGTTCTGTCAAGATATAAAAAGATACTCCTAATCATAATCATTTGTCGACAGTGCGATTGCCAGCATTCATTCATCTTTTTCAGAAAAATGTGCCTATCCATGGACTCCGCAACGAATTGCTCTATATTTGCTTTAACATGCGACTCCGTCAGGTTTGTTAAATTATTATAAAGTGTCGATGCCATTTTGTGATTACACATATTCTCTACTGCCTGATATAGTTCCTCCAATGAATATCTTATACTTTTGCTGGTTTGAATCGCAACCACAGCCTCTCTCAATTTCTCCCATGTTTCCTCTTGATAATTATCCGGTAATCTTGGCTTATCTAAAAACAATAATAAATTACCAACTTACTTTTTATAAATGTATTCATCATTTACTTTAAAAAAAATTTAATTTCTAAATTTTAAATCAGTTTAATTTTGTCTAATTTTGCAATTTGTAATTAAAATGTAAATGTATAAACAGAAAATTGCGCAGTGTTTTTAGAATTATATAATTGTCAAGTAATAAGATAAATTACAGAAAGAACTATCACCAGATTGATCGTCATTTAATTTAATTAGACTACATAACCTTCACCTTTCTTTAATTTTATTTTTTACACATCAGAGAGAATTGATAATTTAATTTACTTCTAGAAAGAAGAATTATATTTTAAAAAAACAATATAACAGAAATTTCAAAACATAAACAAAAATTCGAAAACAAGGAGAAAATCAGTATCGTCAATTAAGTTAAAACAAAGCCATATTTAAATTACTCCGAAATGAATGATTTGCGAAAATTTACTCATAAACAAGAAAACTTTTCTTCAAATATGAAAACTTATGAAAAATAATTATAGAAAATGTATAAATCGTAAAAAATATAAATACTCCATTGACAAAAAGGAAAGTATTTAAATAAATATTAAAGGTTGTTTTTTACAATAAATCCTTCATGCTCAAAAAAAAGAGAGAAAAAAACATAAATACGTCAAAAATAGGATATAAATGAAGTTTCGCAAGACAAGGAAGGCAGAGTGCCAAAAAAGAAAAAAAAACGAACAAGACAAAAATTGATCAATGCCAAATGATTTGAAGGTTATGTGTGTAAAATGATTTTTACAATATTCGTTCTTTTTTTTTACATAGAAAACTTACTTTTAAAATTCTTGATGACCAACTTTTTAGCTGAACCTGGTTTGGAATTTGCTAAACTTGGTGATATTTTATTCGTTACTCCGTTAGGATTGGTGACAGTCAATGCTGAAAAATTTGCCCTTTTTTGTGAATTTGTCGTGGCAGCCGCTGTGTCCGTCATATTCTCAATTTCGTCTATCTCCGTAACCGAGGCAGAGTATTTGGTGCGCTTCGTGGAGTTGAAGCCCGTGGCCGTCGTGTGCTCCGTGGACGACCTCTTCACCTGTGCAGTGCCCAGAAGCTGTGTTCTTTGGAATTTAGACATATGCAAACATCCTCCGGCCGCTGGCCCTCACTATAAGAAAAACTTGATTTCTCTCACTTAAAATTGTTCAAACACTTAAAAACTCTTGATTTTTTTCACGAATTTTTCCAACAAAAAACTGATAAAAAAAATCACATTTATACACGATTAAACTATACTATATAAATGTCGATTTCAGACATACACTAACTAATACACATAGACTGTGTTCCTCGAGGTTAAAACTTCTCGGGAAATTTATAACCGCGAATGGAAATATTCTCTTTACCAAATATTTTTTTTTTTAAATAACTGTTGAAGAAAAAATTTAAAATTGATTTAATGGGGGTGAAATACGACTAACTTTTGCTAATTATCCTATATTTATAATTAAACTGAAGGAAGATTTAAATTAAAGAAAAAATATTTTAACATAACCTACAAATGAAAAAAGACAATTTTTCTGTCTGGCACAATGAATAGACGGACAAAGTATTTTGCAGATAAAATTTCTGTCTATCAGTTTCTTAATTTATTTATATTTAATAATTTGTTCTGTTTTAATTATAAATTCTTATCAATTTCTTTAAATTATACTTGTAGGCATGTAGGCCTGTAGTTGAAAACAGTTGAAAAGTGGACAAACAGTTCATGACAGAAGGAGATACCAACGTTGCAGAAAAAAAAAATTGAAGCCAGGGTGTGAAATTCGAACTTTTTGTTCTGAAAAGTAATAAAAATAAAGTAAAAAATAGAAAAAGTAGAATTTAAATTAGAAGAAAGATAAATAAAGTTTAATTTGTTTTAAAGGTAGTCAATAAATATTATTTTTAATTATGAACACGGAAGGCAAAGAATTAAGAAGTTTAAATTTCCCGCCGTCCCGCTTCGATTTAAATTTCTTTTTTCATATTTGCCAACAATGCAAACTTTTCTCTATGTACTATATTCAGAGTGTCTATTCCAAAACATCAACAATGTTTCATTTTTCTTTCAAATTTAGTTAGTTTAAAAGTTAATTTTCAGCCTGATTGTCATTTAAGAAGAAGAAGAAAAGTTAATATTTCAATTTAGTAATTAGTTTAAAACGTAATTATTAAATTAATACTAAAGAAGGAAAAAGTAGAAAAAATTCTCATGAATGAGAAAGGCAAAACATTCTCGTCGTAAGTTTTATTGTTTTTCAAGTCAAATATAAAATAAAAAATAGTGAAAAGGAAAAGAAAGGGTAAATAAAAAATGCATAGTCCATTATAAAATGGCTGTATTTAATCGTGTTATACCTTTTTTTTGAACACGCCATTGCCTGTGTGCTAATTAAATGAACATGTTTAAAACACACGGCACTCTCGCCATATATCTTCCATCGCTTTCGCGAATTTTTTCCTTTTATTTTTACAAGAAAATGCAGAACAAAAAATGAATTCGAAACCTTTTTTTTTGCCAATCGTTTTGTTTTTTTCGAGTATTTTTCGTATTTTTTAAAGTATCTTTTTTTAGGAAACGATTTTTCAGTGAATACTTTTCTATAAAGTAATTCTTTGTATTCAGTTATTCTCAGGTGTGAATTCATTTTTGAATACATTTCATTGTAAAGGAAAAAGTAACATTATTACAATTTTCTCAAGTAAAAATATTAATTACCCACAATGCAATTATTTTTTTTTGTTCCATGTCTATAACTTTGCTTTCTTTGGAGTTTAAAATACATTAAACATTTAATTCTTTTTGCAATATCGAGCTTGTTCACAAATATAACGTCCGCGTCAAAATTTTATAAAATCTCCATTTAATAGCTGGAAAAATAATTAAATTACTATAAGTATATAAACTTGTTTATAAATTTTACTTTTGAACCGCATTTTGTTGTTCAATTTTACAGAAATATATTTTTTCAATGTGTTCCTTTTTTAAAAAAGAATTTTTCTCTAAAGGATAAAAATTAATAGTTAAATATTGTTGTTGTGAAAATTTCATTTGAAAAATTGAAAATAGTTTTACGAAACAGAAATATATCAGGCTTTCTTTTCTAAAGTACTTGATCATTTTTTTTTCAGTTTTACCATTTATAATATTGATTATTTTTGCGTACATTCGAAGATCGTTTTTTATCGACTTGTACTCGTTACTCATTTAATAAATTAATGAAAGACATTTTGTTATTATAACAATTATCTCAACATCATTATATAATCTATCGGCCGTGGAATATATATTTATATATAATTATATCATATGTATAATATATATCTCTTTCTTTTTAGACCATTCTTTAAACGCATCCGAATAAATTTATCGAAGAAGCAAAAAATACGTCTAGAAGTTTTATGTTTGTTATTTTTAACCTTTTTTTTGTATTCTTCAACTTAATTAATTAAATTAAAACCGTCAATGAATTAAAGATAAAATTATTGAAAATTATTGAAAATTATTAAAAACTTAAAAATTATTTAAATCATGCTATATTTTCAGCTTCTTCGATAAATTTCACACAATAAACTTTTACATTCGTTTCGATTACGACAAACGATTAACATCTAACAATTAAATAATGTTTTTTCGCTTTATTTGCTACTATGACACGATTTTATTTTCGTATATGTATAATATCCACAAAAATTATCGCGTTTTTGCGGATAATATTATATATTCTACAAATAACGAATTAATTTGATGTTTTATCGTCAATATAATAATGAAAAAATGGTGTATATATTATATAATGAAATTAATGCGCAAAAAAAAGGAAGAAAAAAAAATATTCCCTTTAAAGCAGCGCATTTTTTTGGGATGTCTTATGAGATAATAGCCAGCGTAACGTTTCCATTATTATACTTATATTTTATATGTTATTATGTATATAATGCATAATTTATTATTATTAGTGGTAATCATTAACAATAATGACCTCGTTCGACCTATTTTAGTCAGATCTTTTTTGCACGTATATAGGTATTATATTATTTGATTACTTTTGCGCTTATCTTGAAACACGTGACGTGTTTATTAGTATCCTAATTATTTTTTTTTATTATAAGTTGTGTAACTTAGATGTTAATTAATTTTTTTTATTGCGTTAAATAGTGATTTTTTATTTATAAGAAGGGATATATTCAAAGAGAGCCTATAATGTGAGATCTAAAATCTCCAGTTTGTTTTTTTTCTTGGAATTTTATTTATTTTATTTATTTTATTTATTATCATATAGAAACACGTGAATAATAATTTAAATATGCGATAAGTAATTTAAGAAACTCCTTTAATTATATTCCTGATTATTCTCAAAGATGGTAAAAATAGAAATTTCTAGGATTTTCATTCAATATTTTTTTTATTGCTGAAACTAAATGACTTAGATATTGATTATTTAAAATGACTTATTAATTAATTTATTAAAATCAAAAATTAGTTTTTAATGAAGAAAATATATTCTTAGAATGAAATATTCGTATATTCTAATATATGGTCTTAAATTGTCGCAAACATGAAAAATTGTTGATTGAAAAGATTTTCTCTTAAAAAGAGCATTTTATGTTTCTTTTTCAAAGCACTATTAATACATTGTTTTTCTTTTTAAATCTGAGTATTTTTTTTTGTTATTAAATTGCCATTTTTTTTGGCAAAAATAGTTGCGAAAATAAAATGAAGAACAATAAATCGTTTTTGCAATAATTTTGATAAATATTTTTTTTAAGGAATTTTCAATCCTATAGGAAGTAGTAAAACCGTGTGTTGTCTTAGCCGATATGTCACGTTTCTTTCGAAAACGTATAATATTATCAATCAATGAGATCCATCATCATTATATCCATATTTATTAGAAAATATATTCCATTATTATTTTCATTTACAATTATAAAAAAATAAATCACATTTGAATTTCTGTTTTGATACCCTTGTTTTTTAATATATATTAAATGTAAACAAAGTATATTGTACATATATAGAATTAACGGAAGACGAGTCTCGATTTGATTAAAAAATAATTATTTTCTGATTAACTATATTTTATTTTTGTAACAGCATAAATCTTTAATAAATTATTCTCTTTTTTCGAAATTTTAATAAAATATTTAACGTTTTGAGCTGATTTATAATTATTGGAATAATACAACAAAAATAATTTGCGGACAAAATAATTATTTAATAAATATTCGTTTAATAATTATTTAATAATTACTCGTTTGATAATTATTTAATAATTATTATTCGTTTCATAATTATTAAAAATTTATTTAATTAATAATTATTTTTAAGAATTATTAATAAAAATTATTATTGTTTGTCTCGAATATAATTTACATTATTCTTATAATTGATTTAAAAAAATTATCTCGACAATTTTGTGTGGCTATAAGTGAATTTTGTTTTTTTTAACAATGATAATTTTTTGTTTCAAGACGTACAAAATAATGAATCTCATTCTTATATTTTTTTCACAAATGTATATATATCGTATTTATATTTTACATTTAATTATATAATATGTGTAATATAAATTTAATATAATTTAAACTTTTGCATCACGTAATGTAATATATATGTTTTTAATAATTAGTATCTTTAAAAGGTAGAATTGCAATATGTTAATGTAAAATATCTCGTTTTTTTTAATGATAGGATATTTGACGTGCACCGATCAGCAATCTATAAAAATATTTTTTTTGATTAGACCGTGATGATTTGTTATTGAATATTACAGACTTTGAAGCATTAGGAGCAATCGATTTGTGAGATAATTAAAAATGAAAATTAAATTTGTAATTATTGATAAAAAAAAGTGCGCTCGATACGTTGGGAAATATAATGATAACAACAATAAAGTTTTTTGAAAACTTTTCTTAAAATGAAATTTCTTTTAAATTGAAAATATTTCTTGAGTAATACGTAAGTTTGAAAAAAATTGAATGAAAATTGCAAAATTGAATAATATTGCTGTCGCTCGTAACTTTATAATTTCCTGTCTGATTATTTAATTATTGGAAGTAGATTTGACATATTTTATATATAAGAATAAAATCTTAAGTTGATAATTAATATTTTTAAAAAGTAAATACAATTTATCTTCACGGACGTAATAATTGATTTAAAGAAATTGATTTTTATATAATGTTTTTTGTTAAATATATATAAATTTATTAATATTGTCTTCGGGACGTTTCTTTATATATATCTACTTAAGTGAATTAGCAAAAGTTTTTAATTTGCATTTTAATTATATTAAAATTATTCTAATTTTCAATAAGATGAATATACAGTAAAGTATATAATATAATAATTTATTAATAAAAGTTTTGGAATTTTCATTCCACTATTTTGAATGTAATAAAATTTTACACCTTTTCTATATTTCATTCAAATTCATTTTTTATTAATTGAAATCAAATTAATTTTTTATTAATTTAATTTAAATTAAATTTTTTATTAATTTAATTTAAATTAAATTTTTTATTAATTTTTTACTAATTAATTTTTCAATTTGGTAATTTTTTTTTTGTTTCATTAATTCTTTCTTATTAATAATTTACGATTTTTTTTAAATATTTGGTGAAATTTCAACGTTTTCAATAATTTAGCAGAAAAGGTGCGATTTTCTTTTCGCAATTACAGATTATTTTCTATACTGAAATTTGTCATAGACAAAAAAGTCGTAGATAAAAATCAGCAAAATTGTGAATTAAATTTGTACATATTTTGCGTTTTCTCATAATTTTGTCTCTTACGTATCGACATCTTTAAGACTGTATTTTTTACATTTTTTTATTCTCTCATTTTTCGTAGACTGATTGGATACACTTTCAATCTCAATTGTCATTTTCATAGGTCACGAAGATTTTATTTTTGTACGCGGTTGAAATTCACATTGTTTATGCGATCCAACGATTGAAAGACAAAAAATATTTTTTAAATTGCAGAAAGTAATATTTTTTGTTTGTGTACAATTTTTTATTTTTTTTAGTTTGTCGACGAAGAAATAGTTTTATACAAAAAAATATCCATTTCGGCTAAAAATTCGAATAGAAAAATATTTTTTCCATTAAATCGTTGTTTATAAACGTTGTGAATTTTTTTCTTGTCTTTCTTTTTTCAATAAAACAAAGTTGTATATATTTAAATTTTGAAAATAGCTTTAAAATTTCACGTATATACAACTTGTTTTTTTTCATTTCTTTTTTTTTATTACCTTTTCAAAAAAATAATTATTTAACAAATAAATTAATTGTTTGATAGTAAATAAATTATTAACGAATAAATAAATTATTTACGACTAAATAAAAATATTTATTTATTAAAATTATTTTCGAATAAATAAATTATTTGTTAATAAATTTTTTTATATTAAGAAAGTAATAATAATTATTCAGAAAAGTTTTAATCAATTCAGAAAAGCCTTTTGGTAAGGTAAGATTAGACTGTTCTCTATCTGCAAAGATATAGTCTCGTCTCTAAATATATACGTATTTTTGTATACAATATATATATATGTGTCTATATTTCATATATCGTTTTTCTAGTATTTTTTTTTCTTAAATATAACTGCGATTATAATGAATGAAGAAACACAACGTTTTTTATTGTCTAGTTCTATTTCTCACATTTTCTGTTTCCAATATTTCGAAATTGTCCTTCATCGCATTTTCGAAAATAGTCAAGGCGTGAAAAATACCACGAAATAAATATATATTTTTTTCTTTTTCTCTATTAGAAACATTATTTTTTTTCTTAATCGATGTTTGAAATTTGAAAAATTTTTTTCTGGTATTTTTTCACGTAACCCTGTGCAAAATTGAGATAGTTTTATTTTAGAAATATATTGTACTTGCCTCTCACGAAGAATGATTATAATAATATTTTATCTTCATCAAATCTCTTGTACACTTTTCTTTATAATATCAAAGACAGTTTTTTTGTCTCTCGCAACGCAGTACAACATTAATTTGCTACATGCTTTTCTAATTAACAAATATTTTTTTTTAATAACATTAACATGTGCGTATTTCTAATTTTAATAGATAGAAGCGCGTGCTATTTATTTATTATATTGTATGCGTATCAAATTCGGAGCATATTTTTTTTTGTAATATTGTTGCGAAATTTTCTTTTTATTTTTGGGGTTTTTTTTTGTTTTATTTTTGAGAAACGATTTCGATGATTCAAAAATATTCCACATCAACTTTTTGCTTTTTTGCAAATTTATTTCTTTTTTAACAAATGCAAAGATTTCTTTTTGATGCTTTTTTTAATACAATGAATAAAATGAAAATTTTAGAAAATATAAACCTAATTTTTAATGTGAATTTTAATTTTTAATTTCAATTTCAATTTTTATTTCAATTTCAACAATATACAATTTTCCTTTTCTTTTGATACGCATTTATTTTTTTGTTTTACAGAACGCCCAGAAGATTATTTTAATTTTGAACAACTTTTCTTTTTCAGTTTAGCAACTGTTTTTTTCTTTTATTTTATTTAGCTACGTTTTACAAAACATTGAGGACGTTCAACTGATTTATTTTTCATTTTATAAACTTGATTAACCAACGAATCAATAGAATAACACATTTGGTATAAATTATATTTTTAAATAATTAAATTTCTGCAAATTAAACAAAAAAATTAGTTTTCGTTCGTCGGGAAGTTGTACATAAAAATTTTCAATATAAAAAAAAGTAATAAAAAAATATTTATTAATTCATTTTGATATGACGAGCGCATTTTTAAAGCATTTTTCTCTTCTGTAAATCTGAATAATTTCTCTTATTCATATTTAGAGATTAAAAAAATAAACAAAATGATTTAATGACATTAATTCGAAAAAGATAATTTACAAAATTTTCAAGTAAAGATCAAACAAATAATTGTAAAAATTGTAAATACAAATAGGTAAAATAATGTTAAAAGTAATAGCCCGTCTATAAATTATCATAATAATAAATAAAACAATTAAAAAAAGTTTTTATTCGAATTAAAAGGAAGTTTTCAGATACGAAATTTTTTTAAATTCGGAAATCGATAATGAATTACATGCTTAATTTGAGAAAAAAAATAGTAACACCTATTACTATGTCTCGCGCTGATCGAAGTGAGTCAATATATATAACTATAATGATACGAAGAGCATAACTACTTATATTTATGTAATTAATAATTATAGATACGTACTAACAAAAGCTCTATTGATTGTTTCAGGAGCGACCTTGTTATAATTTTCTTCTTTCATTGTTTTTCTCACTATTTTTTTTAGAACTTACTTAAATTAAATCGAAAAAATAATTCTTCTATTTAATATTTCGTCGATGATCTACATTTCAAAAATTCTTCTTCATTTGATCGCCAAAAATTTAGATTGCCTTTAGAAGGTTCCTTTAGTAGATAATTAATATTAATAACAATAATAATAATAATAATGATGAAAATTTAAATGAAAATATTATTGCACTGAAAGATTTTAGTATATATTTATTTCTTTTTTCTTTTAATCTCATCTTGTGCTGAAAAACTTTTTTTTTTTTTTTTGTTGCAAATCTTTATAATATGAAAGCTTTTAAATTTCCTTTTAAGATGTTCTTTCTCATTTTATTGTATTCTCAAGTTTGTATTTTATTTTTCTTTCTTTCATTGTTCTTCTTTTTTTTTTACTTTTTAATTTCGAAAAAACGCTTCGTTACAATCTTATTGAGAGGAACTTGATTGCCTTCGTTTTTCTGTGTTAGAACGTCGATTTCCGGTTCGAGAGTTTTGACGAGTATTACACGCCCCGCGAACTAATTCTTCGACGTTAAGATTGTCACAAATTCTGTAAGAGAAAAAAAAAATTAGTTACAGTTATTTATAAATTTTTATTTAATGTAAAATTACAATTTTTTACTTTTTGGAATTATATTTATTATTTATAACAATTTATTTTACACAATTATATATGCGATAAATGCAAAAAATCAGGGTTGCCACAAAAATTTGATTTCGTTTTTTTCTGATTTCCAGACAGAATTTAAAATTTTTTATCTGATCTCTATATTGAAAAAAATTAAAAGGAGTTCAATTATTTATAAAAAATATAATATTTGAAAGAAAAAATTTAATTTAAAACTTTACAAGAAAATTTCTTTCAATTATTTTCAAAAATTTCAGTAAAAATATTTATTAAAGAATTGAAAAATTTAATTCCGTTTTTTCCGGATTTCTGGAAACACTTTTTTTATTTTTCTCTGATAATATAAACTTTTTTTTTAATTTATAAATTTAAGTCTATTTGCAATTTGAAGTTATTTGTTTTTGTTTGCTTTTTTGTTTTCTAATTTTTTTGATTAGTTTTCTTTTTCATCGTTTGGAATTTTTAAATTAATGAAATTCTAATTTAATGTTTCATATAGATTAAATAATAACAAAAATAACTGAATAAAATTGTTTTTAATTAAAAATCATAATTTAATTTGTAAATTTTGCGTTAGAAAGTAAATATTCTTTAAAAATTTTTTAATTTGAAAGATAACATTTTTGTTAAACAAATTTGATAATTTTTGTAACTTTCATGACTTTGAGTCTGAATTAATTTTTAGTATAAAATAAATTTTATTACAAAATTAAAAAAAAATAATTGAATTGATTTGAAGAATATTATTGAAATTTTAGTAAATAATAAAATTCTTTTAAAGAATTTAATTCAAATTGTAATAAAACCAAATAAAAAAAATAAAATAAATAAGAAGTTTTATTAAAATTTTTGAAATTAATTGAATTCATTTTAAGAATTTTATTAAAATTTTAGAAAATAATTGAAATTTTTGAAAAATTTTATTAAAATTATAAAAAAAATTGAATTCCTGTAAGGAATTTCTTTAATATATTTGAAAATAATAAAATTGACTGGATTTCTTCTAAAATTACAATTTTATTGAAGATAATTGAATTCTTTTATTATAATTAAAAGAAAATTGAATTATTTCGAAGAATTTTTATTGAAATCGTTAAAAATAATTGAATTCTTGCGAAAAATTTTATTAAAATTGTACTGAAAATAATTGAATATGGGAAAAGAATTTGATTAATATATTTTGAAAATAATTAAATTGATTGAATTTCTTCTAAATTAGAATTTTATTCAATATAATAATTGAACTCTTTTACTACAATTAAAAGAAAATTGAATTATTTTAAAGAATTTTATAAAAACTCTTAAAAATATCTTGAAAATTCTTGCAAAATTTTTTATTAAAATCGATAAAAATAATTGAAGTCCTTGAAGAAATCTTATTAAAATTGTTTTTTTAAATAATTGAAATCTTTATAGAAATTTTATTAAAATTGTACTGAAAACAATTGAATTTGTGCGAAGAATTTCATTAATATTTTTGAAAATAATTAAATTCATTGGATTTCTTCTAAAATTAGAATTTTATTCAATATAATTGAATTATTTTATTATAATTAAAAGAAAATGGCATTATTTAAAAGAATTTTTATTGAAATCATTAAAAAAAAATTGAATTCTTGTGAAAAATTTTATTAAAATTGTTAAAAATAATTGAATTGTTTTGAGAAATTTTATTAAAATTGTATTGAAAATAATTGAATTCTTTATAGAAATTTTATTAGAATTGTACTGAAAATAATTGAATTTGTGCAAAGAATTTTATTAATATTTTTGAAAATAATTTGAATTGAATTCTTTGGAGAAATTTTATTAAAATTGTTAAAAATAATTGAATACTTGCGAAAAAATTTATTAAAATCGTTAAAAATAATTGAACTCTTTGGAGAAATTTTATTAAAATTGTTTAAAACCTTTTTGAGATTCAATTTTTTCTGAAAATTATTGCAACAGTTTTTAACTAAAGTCTTTTTTTTTAGTTTATTATTAAAATATTATTAATAACTTTAAAAAAGCAATTCCACATTTTACTTATTTAGAAAGAAAGTTAATTATTTACAGAAATGGAAAAAATCAATTATTTTAAAATTCATTGTGATTCAAAAGTTTTTAATTTGAAAAAAATTTAATGAGAATTCAAGGTTCCTAAATTTTTCGAAAATGTTTTTAAAATCCGAAAAAGAGATTTTTTGCTATAATTTTAGAATTTTGATACTTTTTTAGTATTGTCAGTATTAATTTGATAACATTTTCTGCGATTTTCATGATTTCCCTGATTAATTTAATTTATCCTGAGTTTTCCCTGATTCTCCTGATTTTCCTAACCTTTGACAACCTTGTAAATGGAGAAAATGCAGTAAATGCAATAAATGCAATAAATGCTGCAATAAATCTTGATGGAAATAAGTTTTTATAAAAGGTGATTAAATTTTGTGCTTTCATATTTTCTTTATGAATCTAAAAGAGCAGGGAATATTTTATTCAGCTGGTTTTTTTATTTTAGAGGATAAAATCGGACTGAAGTTGATTTTTATTTTTTTTTTCTAATTTAAAAGTCCGAGTTGCGGAGGGAAATAGATGGAGGGGCAAAGTTCAATATTTCAGGCGTTCAACTATCGAAGTCAATATTACGTCTCAAAAATAGGACATTGCTATTCGTTATTCGTCGATTTTTTCTCGTACCTTTTCGATGCATAGCACGGTTATAAAAGTTTCTTAAACTTTTCTTTACGAGCAAATCAAAGCGTTTCATTTTTACGACAGCTCCTTTGTCTTCGTGATTCTAACTAATTAGTCTGAAGGACCTTTATACACTGAGCATCGTGTAAGAAGTTCATTAAGTCCACGAATATGCAAGTTCTCGCTTAATCGGACAATTAATTTTCCTCTTCTTTATAGAAACTTCATAATAATAGTTTCCCTTTTTTTTACCCCCAAAAAATCGAAGAATAAAAAAAGTAATTTGTAAACTTTGCGAATATAATTTGATTGCTTGTCAAGTGAAAAGAGGAAATTATTATGAAAACTGTTCACTTTTTTAAAAATCCGTTAATATTAGAATATTATTGGTTCAATTTATGTCTCTGAAGTTTTGAATATTCAAATGAACGAATTTTTTGTTACTACTTTTAATTTATATTTAAAAAAAAAGTATTTTCTATATATATAATTTAATTATTTTTTCTTTTTCTTTTTTATTAAATATGTAATTATACATAGTTCGTGCCTTTTGGCTGGGAACGAGTTTACGGTATTCTCCTTTTCTAAATTTCACTTATAATTTTGTATATTTTTAAAAATAATTTTAATTACGCGGGAAAAAAATTTATTTCATTCAAATATACTTGTCTATTATCAAATAAATATTTACCTTAATTAAATATTTTTTAATTAAATCAAATGTATTGTATTTGCACCAAAAATTTCTGTACATTGAGAAAAAAAATTTATTTGATTCAAATAACCGATTACTTTTTCCTATTATCAATTAAATTCTTGGCAAAATTTCAATTATTTTCAAAAATTTTCCTCAATTCAATTATATTTAATATCTACTATTTTAATTAAGTTTTCCATAAGAATTCAATTATTTAATAATTATTAATTATTTAAATAATAAAAATTTCACAGAAATTCAATTATTTACAAGTTTTCTATAAATTTCTTTGGAATAATTCAATTATTTTCATTAATCATAACATTTTTTACAGGTATTCAATTATTTTCATAAATCATAAAATTTTTTACAGGGATTCAATTATTTTTATAAATAAAAAAATTCTGCGCAAGAATCCAATTATTTTTAACAATTTTAATAAAATTCTTTGAATTAATTCATATTTCTATGAATTGTAATAAAGAATTCAATGTATTTTGAATAAAATTATAATTTTAGAAAGAATCCAGTCAACACAAATATTTTCAGAAATATTATTAAAATTTCAAGAAATTTAAGGAATATTACAATTATTTCAAATAAAATTATTAGCATTTATTGCATTTATTGCATTACTGCATTTACTAACTTTTCTGCATTTACAAGGTTCGGTTGTCACAGGTCAGGAAAATCAGGAGAATCAGGGAAAAGACAGGATAAATTAAATTAATCAGGGAAATCAGGAAAATGGCAGAAAATGTTATCAAATTAACACTGACAATACTGAAAAAGTAACAAGTTTTCTAAAATTACAACAAAAACTCTGTTTTTCGGAGTTTAAAAATATTCTCGAAAAATTTACAAACCTTGAATTCTCATTGAATTTTTTTCAAATTACAAACTTTTGAATCATAATGAATTTTAAAATAATTGATTTTTTATTTCTGTAAATAATTAAATTTCTTTTTAAATAACTAAATTGTGGAATTGCTTTTTTATAGTTATTAATAATAATTTATTAATAAACTAAAAAAAAGACTTTAGTTGAAAAAAGTTGGAATAATTTTTAGAAAAAATTGAATCTCAAAAAGGTTTTAAACAATTTTAATAAAATTTCTCCAAAGAGTTCAATTATTTTTAACGATTTTAATAAATTTTTTCGCAAGTATTCAATTATTTTTAACAATTTTAATAAAATTTCTCCAAAGAATTCAATTCAATTATTTTCAAAAATGTTAATGAAGTTCTTCGCACAAATTCAATTACCTTTTTTCAGTACAATTTTAATAATATTTCTACAAAAAATTCAATTATTTTAAAAAACAATTTTAATAAAATTTCTCCAAAGATTTCAATTATTTTTAACAATTTTAATAAAATTTTTCGCAAGAATTCAATAACTTTCAATAATTTTAATAAAAATTCTTCGAAATAATTCAATTTTCTTTTAATTATAATAAAAGAATTCAATTATATTGAATAAAAATCTAATTTTAGAAGAAATCCAATGAATTTAATTATTTTTAAAAATATTAATGGAATTCTTCGCTCAAATTCAATTATTTTCAGTACAATTTTAATAAAATTTCTCAAAAGAATTCAATTATTTTCAATACAATTTTAATAAAATTTCTCAAAAGAATTCAATTATTTTTAACGATTTTAATAAAATTTTTACATGAATTAAATTTTCTTTTAATTATAATAAAATAATTCAATTATATTAAATAAAATTCTAATTTTAGAAGAAATGCAATGAATTTATTTATTTTCAATGATATTAATGAAATTCTTCGCACAAATTCAATTATTTTCACTACAATTTTAATCAAATAAATTTGTTTTTATTGTGGCGTTGGGTCCAAAAATTAGGGTTCTGAAAACATTCTAAGGTGCATTTTTAATAAAATTTCTACAAAGAATTCAATTATTTTAAAAATCAATTTTAATAAAAATTCTCCAAAGAATTCTTTTATTTTTAACGATTTTAATAGTTTTGAAATAATGAAAATTATTTTCGTAAATCATAATATTTTTTACAGGGATTCAATTATTTTCATAAATAATAGAATTTTCTCTGGAATTCAATTATTATAATAATAATAATTAATAATAATACAATTAAAGAAATTATTTGATTAAAGTAAATATTTATTTGATAATAAATAATTAATTTAAAATCAAAACTTTTAATATAGTAAAATATTTTAATTTTGTATATTATTTATTGTATACAATATTTAATGTTATAAGAGATTATTATAATAATATAATTTTAATCAACTAAAGGTTAAAGTTACATTAGTTTGCAAAATATGGTAATTTTTTGAAAATACTTTTTAAAAAGTTTTGTTCATTTAAACGTTCAAAATTTGAGTTGTGAGTTTAATTTACCTTCATAATTAACCATTCCGTCACCATCGAGATCCGCTTCTTTAATCATATCATCGACCTCTTCCTCCGACAATTTTTCACCTAAATTCGTCATCACGTGACGGAGTTCCATTGAGGAAATCAATCCATCGTTGTTTTTGTCAAATACTCTGTTATGGAAACAAAAAAAATATTACTTCTTCAATCAATATAAAAATAAATTTGGTACATTATTAAAAAAAAATTTTCACCTGAACGCTTCACGTAGTTCATCCTCTCCATCGGCACCTTTCATTTTCTTCGACATCATTTGAAGAAATTCATTAAACTCAATGGTTCCATTTCCGTCCTGATCCACTTCATTCACCATATCACGTAATTCTGTCTCTGAAGAAAAAAAAGAAGCACATTTTAAAAATTAAAAATAAAAATTTTTAAATTAAAAATTTAAACTTAAAATTTAAAAATTAAAATTAAAATATATTTTTTTAGCTATATAATTTATTACAAGTGTAATAAAGTATGTAGAGCACTTCGAGACCCCTACAGTAAATTTGAATAAATTCATAGTGCGATAAAAAATTTGACTAACGTAATTATGAAAGTTTAAATTACTGCGCCTCGAGTAATAACTATTAAAAAAACAAGTATACCTGAATAGGCTATGTTTTTTATTTTTCATATTTTATTATTATTTTATAACTATACTTGACTATAAGGGTTTTTCCTGAACTAAATATGATAAATTTTCAATTTTTATTTAGCCAATTTCGATTAAACTTGAACTACCGATGCAAATTGTGTAAATGCTAATTTTTTAATGCTACATAAAGAATTTTGCTATAAATAAATTATTCTTAAACAGGGTTGCCATTAAAATTTAACTTTCTTTTTCCTGACTTTTCTCTGATTTCCATACTTTTTCCAGACTGATTTTGACTTTCTCCCTGACCCTAAAGAATATTCTGCGATTCACTCTAAAAATGATTAAATACTCAAAAGAAATGTTCTATCGCACTTATTTACGAATTTCTTTAATTTGTAAAATTATTCAACTTTTTTTTCAATCATTATTATTTTTTCATATAGGAAAACAGATTTCAAAAATTTCAATTCAAATTGTAATTTTTGTGCGCCGATTCAAAGTTTTAATGTTGTGATAATTTTAATTTAATAACGATTTTATAACGCTTGAAGTATAAAAAAAAACATATTTCGAAATCAGTTTTAAACTGATTGCCCTTTAAAACTTTATTTTTATTTATCAAATTTTTCGTGTGTTTTTCTTTTTTTAACTGCTTTTTTAAATTTATTTTCACAAGTCTAATTGCGTTGGTAAATTTCAAAAATACATTTTTGAAATATTTTTTTTCAACATTTATATATATATTGAAAAATGAAAACATTTAAATGGAATGCTTTTAAAGCAAATGCGTGTTTTGCGAAATAATATAGTTTTTATTTATTTTTTTTTTTCACATCGCCTGACATATCGCAGTATTTTTCAGTCATGCCGGAAAAACAAGGTGAGATTTCCGTAAGAGCTTCGCACAAAATGGCACACTTTCCATGTAATATTTTATTTCAGGAACGATAAGCTTGAAAACAGTGAAAATAGCACAAATACATGAGTTATTATTATTATTATTCTTTGAATATGATAATATTGTGTAATAACGAAATTATTTATTTTTTTTCGCCTTAATTTACTCATTTTTTCGTTTTTTTCCATTAATTATTTTTGCGCCCATTTGTTTGTCTTTCTATTAATTTTAATTATTTTTAGAGTGGAGAGGAAAAAATTTTTTTTCCAAGTTTTATTCTTTAGAAAATAGATTTAACCTTATTCCAATTTTACAAATCCCTAGCTTCATGGTTATTCATGATGAGACAACTTACCCGATGGTCTTTGTCCCAGTGATCGCATGACAACACCCAACTCAGCCATCGTAATAGTGCCATCTTCGTCTTTGTCAAAGAGCATAAAAGCTTCTTTAAATTCTGAAAAGAAGATAAATTTTCAATATTTCAATCTTTCATATTTTTATAGTTAAAAGATTTTTTAATCGATCATTGTTTTCTTTTCGTTTATTGAGGGGAGGGTTTGGATACATTTTTAATTATATCAAGGAAATGATTTAAATCTTCGGTAAAATTATTTTTATATAGTAATTTTTTGAGAGGAATTCAATGGTTAAAAAAACGATCAGAAAATAATTTTAAGCATTTAAAAAAAATCATTGTTTTTAGGTTGAAAATGTAAAAAAGAAATCATTGTTATTCAATTTGTTTAAATGGAAATTCGTTTATTTCTTAAATAATTTCAAATCATAATTTTCAGGGTTTCTGCAGGTCAGGAAAGTCAGTGAATTCAGGGAAATTAGGAAAAAGTGAGGAATTTTTATTAAAAGTACTTTTTAGAATTCATAAGAAAATTCTAAATTTTGGTGCCTCTTTTGTTTGCCTCAGAAATAAATGAACTTCGAAAGGTTTTAATTTCAAATTTTATAAAATTTCAATTTTGAATTAATTTAATTAACAATTTAAATAATTCAAATTCTTCTGAATTTTATTTTATTTACAAACTATTTATAAATTTTTTCGCAATCATTCAATTATATTCAAAAATATAAAAATATTCTAGTCAAAATTTCAATTATTTTCAAAAGTAATAAAATTCTTCTTGGAAATTCAATTATTTTCAAAAATTTTAGTAAAATTCTTGGAAAAAATTCAATTATTTTCAACAATATTCCTCAATTCAATGATTTTTAATACCTATCTACTATTTCAATAAAATTTAAAAAAAAATTGAATTCATTAAAAACATTTTTGTGAAAATACTACACAAACATTTAGATATTTTCATAATATTCATAATATTCTGACCAGAATAAATTTTTTAATTATTTAAGAAGTTTTAACACAATTATCTTCGTAAATAACCAAATTCTTCGACAAAATTCAATTATTTTTATGAATTTTAATAAAATTCTTTGCAAAATTCAATTATTTTGATAAATAATAAAATTCGTCACAAGAATTCAATTATTTTCAAAAGTAATAAAATTCTTCGAAGAAATTAAATTATTTTTTCAAATTTTAACGAATATCTCGTCAAGAATTCAATTCTCTTTATAAATATCAAAATTTTTTGCCAAAAATTCAATTATTTTCAAAAATTTAAATTTAAATTCAATTATTTAAAAAAAAAAATGTAAAAATTCATCCAAAATTCAATTATTTTCATAAATAATAAAATTCATCAAAAAATTTCAATTATTTTTAATACAATTTTAAATTAATCAATCAAAAAATTCAATTATTTTATCAAATAAAGTTTTCCACAAGAATTTAATTATTTAAAATAAAATTTTCATAGTAATTCAATTATTTTCATAAACAATAAAACTCATCGCAGAATTTCAATTATTTATGGAAATTTTAATAAAATTCTTCGCAATTATTCAATTATTTTCATAAATAATAAAATTCTTCTCAGGAATTCGTACAAATTCAATGATTTTCAGTACAATTTTAATAAAATTTCTGTAAAAAATTCAATTATTTTAAAAACCAATTTTAATAAAATTTCTCCAAAGAATTCAATTATTTTTAACGATTTTAATAAATTTTTTCGCAAGAATTCAATTATTTTTAACAATTTTAATGATATTCTTCGAAACAATTAAATTTTCTTTTAATTGTAGTAATTCTATTACTAAATTCAATTATAATTAATATAAATTTCCAATTTTAGAAGAAATCGAATCAGTATAATTATTTTCAAAGATATTAATGAAATTCTTAAAAATTTTATTAAAATTCGTCATAGGAATTCAATTATTTAAAAATTTGTTGATGAAATTCTTTATGATAATTCAATAAAATTATTATTTAAATGAAGAATTTCCGAATAATAGAAATTTCGAAAAAATTGAATTGTAAACAAATGGATTTGAAAATTGTTAAAGGACTTTTTTAAAAATTATTAAAAATCATAAGGTAAAAGAAGGATTTTAGAGTGAATCAGAATATTCTTTAGGGCCAGAAAAAAAGTCAAAATTTTGTCTGAAAATCAGAGGAAAACAAAATTAAATTTTTGTGTCCACTCAGATGTTTTAAAATAAAAAGTAAATAATTTTAAAAATTATAAGAAAATTATGATTTGTAATTAGTTAAAAAAATAAATTAATTAATTTCCATGTAAAAAAATTGTATTTTTTTAATCAAAAAACAGATTTAAAAAAAAAATGTTTCAAAAATAGTAGAAATCAATTTTTTCATTCAGCAATTTTTTTATTGATACAAAAACATATTTTCTAAAAAAATTACGAATGAATTTTAAAATCTTCCACTTTCTAAGAACAATAAAAGTTGAAAAAAGTTAAAAAATTTTTTAAATATTATCCGACCGAATTCAAATTCCCCTCAAAAATTATTATAAAAATAATTTTACGGAAGATTTAAATTTAAAATTTAAATTATTTTCTTAATTAGTTAAAAATGTAGAAATCGAATAAAATTTTCTATAAAAATAATATAATTTTTTGCTTATTTCTTTCTTCAGTGCGAATTGAAGGATTTAAAATCCTTCAATGCGCACTAAAGAAAGGAAGAAGCAAAAAATTACAGTTTATGTTCTTTCCGTTTCTTCGTACATAAAATTTCACATCATTCTCATTGTGTATTATTTTTTTCGCCCAAATTTAAATTAATAATTTTAATTTTTTATGCAAATAAAAATTAATTATTTTTCCAATAAAATATTACAAATATTTTCTATTCAATTTAACGAAAAAAAAAACTATCGCGATGAAGAAATAATTCTAAGAGACCAGATCGTGAAATTTGATATAAACACTCGAGTAGAAACGGAAGTATTTGTTTCGTTCTTCTTCTTCTTCTTCTTCTTTTTTTTAGTAACTGTTTCGCATTACGCTCTCCGCTTTATGATCCATTAGTTTCCCAAAGTCATTAATTTCACATCAAGATCGATAAACTGAACCAAGTTCGAGTACCACTTGTGGCAGCTAACATAGAATACACGGCAAGATATTCAACTGCACGCGAATTTGCGGTCACAGCAAATTTGATAAGATTTGCAAAAGTGAGCTCGTAAATAACACTATAGAGAGAAAAGGTATCAAAAACTGTATATAAACTTTGCCAAACTTGTAAATTTGTAAGAATGAAAAATCTATTTCTTACTTCAATTTATTTTCTCTGCGAATTTGTCAAAAATTTTCCATCTCAATCAGGAAAAATTAATTAATTTTCGAAAATAAAATTATTATTGAAGAAATAAATTACTTAAATAAATAGTCAATATAAATTGACTTGAAAATTAAAACTATTAAAATTTAAAGGTAAAAAAAAACTTAAAAACTATTAACTATTTAACTATTTTTAATTTTTAAAATTGAATTATTATTTAATAAATTAATTATTATAAATTATATTTAATATATTTAATATAACGGTATAGATAGAAACTCTTGGATGTTTGGATTTTTGGATTATAAAGAGATACTCGGAATTCTAGAAATGGGCAAGTGGCCAAATATGTATGTTATAACATACTTTTAGAAATGCGCTCTTATAAATTTTCAATCCGCTACTTGTAGTCGACATGCCCCTATACAAGTTTAATGTCAACAAGGATATTTTGTACACAGAATTATAGTTTTGTGCCCAAATAACTCACAAGAAGCATTGATATACCTCTCTTTTTCTTTTTTCAGGACAACACATTTTTAGCGTAGAATTTCCATTATTATGTGTTATTATAGTCGCAATTACTCAATTGTCGCAGTGAAGAAAGAATAGTGAAAAAAAAAATTATAGGTTAGACGCAATTGCGCATGCGCTACTCTCACTCTTTAATTGCAGACTTCACACTCGATAATAGCAAAAAGTAGCTTTCAAACTACAAAAAATTAGTAAAAAAAAGTAGCTATTGAAAAATTAAACTTGACAACCAAAAAAACTCGTTTTAAACACTTAACAAAATTGAGAAAAAATTCCATTTCATATTTTTTATTTTCCTAATTTTCATTAAAAATATTTAATTCATTCTTATCCTACTGCTAATAAATTCAATTCCTGTAACGAATTTTATTATTCGCATCGAAGAATTTAAATATTTATAAAATATAATTTAATTCTTGCGAAGAATTTTATAAGACTTTTTAAATAATTCATTTCTTTCGACTAATTTTATGCAAATTCTGATTAAAATAATTAAATTCCTGAGAAATTTTTCTTATTCATGAAAAAAATTAAATTCTTACGAAGATTTAAAAAAATTTTATTTCAAATAATTGAATTCTGTTTGGAAATTTTATAAAAATAGAAGATATTGAAAATCAATGATGTCCGAAAAGTTTTTAAGAATAATTAAATTTTCCAAACAATTCTATAAAAAAATTTTGAGAATAATTGAATTATTGCGCAAAATTTTATTAAAATGTTTCAAAAGAATTGAATTTCTATGCAAACATTTTTTATTCTTGAAAATAATTGAATTTCCAAAAAGAAATCTATTACTTTTAAAAATAATTGAATTCTAGTGTTGAATATTGCTAATTTATGAAAATAATTGAATTTTGCAAATAATTTTATTAAAATCAAAAAGAATAATTGAATTATTTCCAAAAAAATGTAATTAAAATTGTATTTAGAATAATTGAATTCCTGAGAAGAATTTTATTATTTATGAAAATAATTGGATTTTTGCGAAAAACTTTATTAAAATGTTTCAAAATTATTGAATTTCTGTGCAAAAATTTTTTATTTTTGAAAATAATTGAATTTCTAAGAGGAAATCTATTACTTTTAAAAATAATTGAATTCTTGTGTTGAATATTGTTAATTTATTACAATAATTGAATTTCATTAAAATCTAAGGGATTAATCAAGATTATTAATTTTTATTTTAAGATTAATTAAAAGATTAATTTAAAAAAAATTTTTTTTTATTAATCTATTATCTATTCAATAATTATTGAAATTTCAGCAATTATTTTGTTATTTATCCACATAATTGAATTCCCAAGGATTTTATTAAAATCTAAATGAATAATTGAATTATTTCAAAAAAATATAATTAAAATTCTATTTAAAAAAATTGATTTCTTTTGAAAAATTTTATGAAAATATTTGAAATTCATTGAATTCCAGTTAAAAATTGTACTATTTTTGTAACTAATTGAATTCATCCAAAGAATTTTAAAAAACATTTTTTAAATAATTGATTTTTTTGAGAAATTAAAATTAAATTTTTAAGAATAATTACATTCTTTGAGCAATTTCTGTAAAATTGTATTAAAAATAATTGAAATCCTGCGATAAATTTTATTATTTATGAAGATAATTGAATAGTTGCTAAGAATTTTATTAAAGTTTTCAAAAATAATTGAATTTCTGAGAAGAATTTTATTATTTATGAAAATAATTAAATTATTGCGAAAGATTTTATTAAAATGTTTCAAAAGAATTGAATTTCTGTGAAAAATTTTGTTATTTTTGAAAATAATTGAATTCTTCGTAAGAATTTTATAAACATTGTTTTAAATAATTAATTTTTTCGAAATATTATAAATATTATGAAAATTTTATTTTATATATTTGAATTCTTGCGTGGAAAACTTTATTTGTGTAAATAGTTGAATTTTTCAATTAATTAATTTAAAATTGTATTAAAAATAATTGAATTTTTTCGATGAGTTTTATTATTTATGAAAGTAAATTGAATTCTTGCTTAGAATTTTATCAAAAATTTTTTTAAAAAATTAATTTTCTATGAAAAATGTAAAAGTATTTGAATTATTGCGAAGAATTGAATACAAATTTTGTTAAATAATTGATTTTTTCGAAATTTTTTTTTGAAAATGCTATTCTAAATTAATTCAATTTCTGTGGAAATTTTATTGTTTATCAAAATATTTGAATTTTGGATGAATTTTAACAATTTTTTTTTAAATAATTGAATTTTTTTGCGAAATTTTATGTAAATAGTAAATATTGAAAATAATTGAATTTCGAATATGTTTTTAAATTAAAATGAATTTGATTATAATTTTTGAGAATAGTTTTTTGATTTTTAGTATTAGCGAATTTAAAGTAGTGAAATTTTCAAAAAGAAAAAATCAGAAAGAAAAAATAGTCTGCAGGAAAAAAATTTCAAAAACTTGCTGGTTTTACATTAAACAAACAAATATTTTCGACTCAAATAATAATAATTATGTAATAATAACAAGTTTTTTATTAATAGTCAATAATCCTCAAATTATTCAGTTGAAATAAGAAAATAAAAATTTTCGCTTTTCACACCTCTGAAAATTGTAAAAGTAACCTAAAACTTTTCTCAAATCTAAAATCAATATTTGTGTGGTTGCTTGAAAATAGGTTAATAAGTGTCAGGGAAATATTTTAATGGAGAAGTTGGACAATTTTTGTTTTTATTCATTTTTTGGTCACTCATTTCAGACATTACGTTTATACACTTTTATAAGAATTCTCTTTTGCTTCACGAATTGTATTTTACGGCCATTTTTATCCTTCTTAGGGATTCAATTATTTTCATAAATAATAAAACTCATAGCAGAATTTCCATTATTTCTAATAATTTAAAAAAAATTTTTCGAATTGATTCATTTTTCTTTTAATTGCAATAAAAGAATTCAATTACTTTTATAAATAATAAAAATCATCTAAAAAATTCAAATATTTTTAATACTATTTTAAATTAATTAATTGAAAAATTCAATTATTTACACAAATAAAGTTTCCCACAAGAATTCAAATATTTAAAATAAAATTTCCATAATACTTATTATATTTCAAAAAAATTAAGTATTTAAAAAATGTTTATAAAATTCAATTATAAAGAATTTAATTATTTTCAAAAATAACAAAATTTTTCACAGAAATTCAATTATTTTTAAACATTTTAATAAACTTTTTCGCAATAATTCAATAATTATTTTCATAAATAATAAAGTTCTCATCGCAGGATTTCAATTATTTTTAATATAATTTTACTTAAATTTTTCTGAAATAATTCAATTATTCTTTTAGATTTTAATAACATTATTTCCAAGGATTCAATTATTTACATAAATAATTCTTCTATAGAATTCAATTATTAAAGATAAATAACAAAATTATTTCCGAAAATTCAATTATTTTGAGGAATTTTAATAAAATTCTTTACATAGTTCAATTATTTTCATAAATAATAAAGTTTTCCACAAGAATTTAATTATTTAAAATAAAATTTTCATAATAATTCAATTATTTTCATAAATTGTAAAATTCTTCTTAGGAATTCAATTATTTTTGAAAATATTAATAAAATTCTTAGTAACTGTTCAATTATTTTCATAAATAATATAATTCTTCGCAGAAATTCAATTATTCTGTTCAACAATTTACAAAAATTCAATTATCTTTATAAATAATAAAATTCTTCTCGGAAATTCAATTATTTACAAAAATTTTAATAAAATTGTTGACAAAATTTCAATTATTATCAAAAAATTTGGATCAACTATTTTCATAAAATTATCTAAAAGAATTCAATTATTCAAAAATTTTTTGAATAAAATTCTGGGCAAACATTTAATTACTTTCATAAATAATAACATTTTTCACAGGTATTTTATTATTTTTGTAAATAATAAAATTTCTTGTAGGAATTCAATTATTTTCATAAGTAATAAAACTCATCGCAGAATTTCAATTATTAAATAATTTATTTTTAAAATTCTTTATGAGAATTCAGAAACATTCAATTCTTTAATAAATTATTTATTTTTGTATTTAAATAATTTGAATTCTCGTAGAATTTTCTATTATAAATTGATTTAAAAATGAATTTTAGTTAAAGTTTTCAATAAAATAATTGAATATTAAAAGCATTATGAACGTTAATTTTTAGAAATAATTGATTTTTGAAAAGGTTTTAAATTAAGCTCTCCAAAAAATTTCAACTTTTTCTTCTTTTAACTAACAATTTTCTAGATATTTAATTTTTTTGAGAAAGTTTAAAATTAAATTTTGTTTAAAATTATTTGAAGTTTTTATTTTTAACATACCTATATTTATAATAAATAATTTTATTTCTATGATAAATAAAATAAAAAAGAACAATTATCAATTTTTTAAAAGTCATTTGGATAAAGTGGAATAAATTATGGGTGATTTTTGGTGCAATTTTTCTCGGACTGAATTTAGAAATAAAAAGTTGTTATAAATGTGCACTAAGAACAGAATTTAAATTATTCTTACAGTAACATTTTTTGTATTTTATTAATTATAGAAAAATTTTTGAGCGTTAAAATGGTGGTTTTAGTTTCTCCACTTGAGAACGCCAAGGTCACCACCAGATGGCTGTGAAAATTCCAAGAAGGAACTGAACTGCCATCTAGCGGTGACCTTGGCGTTCGCAGGTGGAGATTAGTGTCTCCATATTGAATCTCAATTTGTTCGTCCAATATTCGTAATTTTACAATTATTTATAATCAAATTTAGAGAGTTTGACAATATAAAAACGGATTTTAATTTTTAATTTACTTTTATTTGTGATATTTTTAGTCTCTAATTTGTTTAGTCTCAAATTGATATACCAAATGTTTTAGAAATAGTGCAACATATATAATATTTCTTGTACCTTTAATTATAGTACTAATTCTGCCATATTCACAAAAGTAAAATAAAGTAATATAAAAATGAAAGAATGCTTTATCCACTTAAAGATTTATGTATGTTTGAAAGATTTATGATTACGTGATTCGTGTATTCGTAAATATATTTGTGTATGTGTGAGTGTGTATATATAAACAGACAACGATTAGGTATAAATTGCTGTGGATTAAAAATGTTTGTCCTGATTTCAGACTTGCAATCAATTATTAAAAGAAAAGTACGCGACATACAGATATGCATTATAAAATAGCTTGTGCCAGTTATCGAACTTTAATTCACATGAATGAAGCATTAAATTGATTTGCGTTCCTCGAGAAAGCTGTGCAAAAACTTTGATATCATCATCATCATCGCAACTTTTTTTTTTCTTTCTCTTTTTTTCAATCTTTGGCTCGACATCAATAAACTTTGGAAACTTACCCGCAACCTGATCTTCTGAGAGACCATACTCCGACTGAAAAAGAGAAAACATTTTTGATTAGATGAATTGAATTGAAAAAAAAAATAAAAAATAAACAAATGTTGTAAAAGAAAGTTTGATTCTTTTTGATATGGAAAATTTTATAATTGGTTCTTTTTTTCATGGCACATACACACGCAGAGTCTCTTTTTGAAGCTAATTATCAAGTTAGGAAAATGGGCGAACAGAAGAGGTCACTTTAGAAATTATTATAATAATGTGTGCCAAAATGCGTCCACTCTGTTGAAGCGCAACACTCTCATTAATTTTGACTATCCGCTTAGAAAATTAAATTCTATTTCTATAAAGTTTTGAATAACAATTTCATATTTCTAATCTGAAAATATTTATATTGAGATTAAAAATATGAAATGCAGTGATACAATACAAATTGCTTCATTTCGATTAAATACATTTATTTTCTGACTGACAGTGGAAACAGTCAACTTTGGTCAGACAGATGGTTGTAACATGTGCTTTTTACGGTCAATTTCTTTCGAGACAACTGCTCGACTGTGTGAAACAAAAAAAAAAAAAGAAACAAAAAATACAAGTATTAACGAAAAAAAATTTTTTGGCCCATCTGGTTGAAACATTCTTTCACAAACTTGTCTAAATCATTTGCGAAACTTTATTTCAATCTTTGGCAAATGCATATCTGTTATTATTTTGACAAAATCGAGTTTTTTTATTGAATCAAGAAATAATTTCGACTATAACTTTAAGAGGGTTGCCACCGATTAGGGAAATCAGGGAATTCAGGGAAAAGTCAGGAAAATGAGAATTGGTCAGAGAAATCAGGAAAAAGTCAGGGATTTTTATTAAAAATACTGGAAAAATGAAATTTTTAGAATTACTTAACTATTTCAAAAGTTTAAACGCAATTATCTTAGTAAATAACAAAATTCTTCCTAGAAATTCAATTATTTTTAGGAATTTTAATAAAATTCTTTGCAAAATTCAATTATTTTCACAAACAATAAAATTCATTGCAGGATTTCCATTATTTTTTAAAATTTGAACGAATATCTCGTCAAGAATTCAGTTAACTTTATAAATAGCAAAATTTTTCGCCAGAAATTCAATTATTTTCAAAAATTCAAATAAAATTCTATGCAAAATATCAATTATTTTCAAAAGTTTTTCGAAATTCAATTATTTTCAATCTCTAGTATTTTTATAAAATTTCGCAAAAGAATTCAATTATTTAAAAAAAAAATTGATAACATTCATCCAAAATTCAATTATTTTTAAAACTATTTTAAATTAATTGAAAAATTCAATTATTTACACAAATAAAATTTTCCACAAGAATTCAAATATTTAGAATAAAATTTTCATAATATTTATTATATTTCGAAAAAATTAATTATTTAAAACATTTAATGTTTAAAAAAATTTAATTATGAAGAATTCAATTATTTTCAAAAATAACAAAATTTTTCAGAGAAATTCAATTATTTTTAAACATTTTAATAAACTTTTTCGCAATAATTTAATTATTTTCATAAACAATAAAATTCTTCTCAGGAATTCAATTATTTTCATAAATAATAAAATTTGTCGAAAAATTTAAATTATTTTTAATACTATTTTAAATTAACCAATCGAAAAATTCAATTATTTAAAATAAAATTCTCATAATAATTCAATTATTTTCATAAATAATAAAAATCTTAGCAACTATTCAATTATTTTTATAAATAATAAAATTGATCGCAGCATTTCAATTATTTTTAATTATTCTTAAAATGTTAATTTCAATTCCTCGAAAAAATCAATTATTTAAAAAAATGCTTTTCAAAAATTAGTTAAAATTAGAATTTTTCACAGGAATTGGTTTATTTTAAAATATTTTAATAACATTTATGAAAAAAATCAATTATTCTAAATACAATTTTAATTAAATTTTTTTGATAAATAATTCAATTATTTATTTAGATTTTAATAAAATTCTTCTCAAGAATTCAATTATTTACAAAAATAATTCTTCGAAAGTATTCATTTATATCACAAGAATTCAATTCTTTTGAAAAGTAATAAAATACTTTGTATAAATAAAATTATTAAAAAATTTTTTTAAAAATTATCGTCATGAATTAAATTATTCTTATTAATAGTTAGCGAAATTCTTCTCAAGAATCCAATTATTGTCAAAAATTTTAATAAAATTCTTTAATATAATAAATTCCAATAAAATTTTAATTAAATTTCTTAAAAGAAATTAAAATATTTTCAAAAATTGTTAATAAAATTCTGCGTAAAATTTAAATTTTCAGAAACATTAAATTATTTAATAAATTATTTATTTTTGTATTTAAATAATTGAATACTTGTAGAATTTTTTATATAGATTTTTCGAAATAATTGAATTTTGAAAAGGTTTTGAAATCCAAATCTTCGAAAATTTGAATTTTTCATATTTTTAACTAACAATTCTGTAGAATTAGTTTTTTTTTGAGAAACTATAATTAAGGATTTTTTTAAAATTATATTTAAAGTTTTTTTTTCTAATATGAATTTTTATTTGTTTATATTTTATATACATTTTCAAATAATCGAAATTTCGTAAAATCGAATTGTGAACAGATGAATTTGAAAATTCTTAAAAAATTTTTTAAAAAATTATTAAAAATAATTGATTTAAAGAAGAATTTTAGTTAAAAATTCTAGAAAATAATAATTGAATTTAAATGATGAAAATAATTTCGAAGAAGTTAGAGTAACAAATATTCTTATATAAAATAATAATTTTATCACTCGGTCATCTTTAATTGTAATGAAACATGAAGACATCGATTGCTCCGAGTCGAAGACTCGGAGTGATCGATTTCTTCATGTTTTATAACAATTTTTTATAAATTGTTTAATTTCCAAATAGTTTGAATTTGAATGTTTTGAAGAATTTTAATCTCTTTGGAAAATAATAATGATTAAATTTTTTTAAAAAAGAAGTTATTGATGTTTTCGAATAATTTTACTCTTGAAGAAATTCGTAAATAAATGTATACAAAAATTTCTTTTTTTTTTTGATTATTTAATTATTTTTAGAGTGAACCCGAATATTCTTTAGGGTCAGGGAAAAAGTAAAAATTCTCTCTGGAAATCAGGAAAAAGTCAGGGAAAAACAAAGTTAAATTTTTGCGACAACAAAATAGATGAAAATTATTATTAATAAAGAAAGTTTTCTTTCTCAATTTCAAATGCAAATAAATTAAAAATTTATTTGCATTTGAAATTGAGAAAAAATTTTATAGTAGATATTTGTTAAAAGACAAATCCTTTCTATTATCAATACTATATGACCAATTAAATAAGGATAAAAGTTGACAATGTATCAAATTTTCTGAAAGATTATCCGACTCTCGTCCTGCATCAAGAACAGATAGGTCCTCTCGTTTATTCAGCTTGATTGATCATCGATTTCGACGGATGGGATATATATTCAATAAAACAACAGTGAACACGATCGAGATAACGCTATGATTCATTTCTTTTTTTCGTTTTTTTACCCTCATTTTTTTTTTTTTTTTTTTATTTATTTGGAAAAAAACCTTTTATTCACTAACTCTATTGTCTACAGCTCATATTTTTTTCCCCTAAAAATTGAATTGCCTCCGCGAAATCGACTAAACTCTGCCGTATTCATAATTCAATTTTTAACTGCCATTCAATTAACAGTTTACAAATATTGAAGGTCCGATATTTATCTTTCATTTTTTTTTTATTGAATTTTAACATTGATATTTGTATTTATAATTAAATTCGATTTTTAATGCCAAACAAAAAAAATAATTTTCAATAATAAGTATTTCATTTATTTTAAAGTTCATAAGTTTTAGAACATCAGAAGTGTGATTCACAAGTTTTGAACTTTCAAATGAACGAAATCTTTTTTATTAAAAATATTTTTTATAACTTAATAATTGCAATAAAAGTTGAAACTTAAATTGTAAATTTAGAAACTTTATAATTAATTTTTCTTTATTGTTTATTGTTTATTGTTTATTGTTTCTTTATTGTAAAATAAAAATTTTGTTTTGAGGAAGAAATAAATTCAATTCGTTCATTTGAACGTTCAGAACTTTAGGATCATTAAAAGTTTACAAAAAATTTTTTAATTTTCAATTTTTTAAAAATTAAAAAATTTTTTTTTTATTAATTTATTCAACTTGAATTTTATTATTAAAAATGTTTTTTTACATACAAAAGAATTAATTCTTGCCATACATTATTATTATTTGCATTATTTTATTTTTCACAATTTTGATATTTGTATTTATATTTATAATTTCGAATTTTAAGTTTCTTTCAAGAAAATAAAATTTTCTTTTAAGCATTAATTTTATTTCAACTCATTAATTAATTAATTCATTAATTAATTCAATTATTTTAAGAAATAATTAATTTTTATTATCGCAATAATATTATTTATTTAGTATTCGTATATTATTATTTTTTATTATGTTAGAATAGAAATAAAGTAAAATGTTAAGTCATAAAAAGAACTATACTACTTACACTTATTTGTCTAATTTGACCGTCAATTTTGCTCGTAAGTCTTCTTAATCTACCATATTCGGAGGAATATTTCTTTTCTGTATCCGCCATTTTGGCACACACAATTTTTTTTTTTGGTGAATTACTGATGAGATTTATAATAATAATAATTCTTTTACGACCTTGACTTTAGAAAATGAAAATAATTTCTAAATTTCTATAAAGCTTGAATTGAAGAAAAATTTTAAAAATCTCAAATTTTTATCTTCAATGTGTCCTTGCATTTTTCTCGTTGCAACTCTTTTCTAGTTCTAGCAACTTGCCAAACAGCGATATATCGTCAGACAGAAAATCAATATTTGCTGCGCTAGCGTTATAACTGAATTGCCCCTTTAAATTAACAATCAAATTATAACAGGTTTATAATCGTTCAAATTGTTGTTGAAAATTATTTTATTAATAAAATTAAGAAAATTAAGAAAATTAATATAAAA